TATCTATCTATCTATCTATCTATCTATCTATCTATCTATCTATCTATTATTCTATCTATTCTATCTATTCTATCTATTCTATCTATTCTATCTATTCTATCTATCTATCTATCTATCTATCTATCTATGTGTCTGTCGAGTTTTTGTGAAGAATATAGTTCGAAATCATATTGAAGTATCGAAAAACATGCGTGGTTTCTATGGGTTTCTTTCCTGGCCAAGGCACTGCAGTGCTGTGGTGTCGGTCACTTTTTCAGAAGACGTCACCAGAGCATTGACCACGACCTCTTCCCGTTCCATTGCCATGTACGACGCCAGCAGTGGGGCAGCTGGGCTGATGTTTCACCATCGAAAATCAATGGACAAATGGACAATCAATGGAATATTGATGAATATTGATGATAATGAGAACACAGTGCTGGAGCCCAGGTTCAAATCTGGAGAGTTCTTGGACCGGTGCAGGATGCGTGTTTGGCGGCAGATGGACGGAGAGTTCTGGTAGGGCAGCCTGATGTGCAGTTGCCACTGCTGAATGGGGTGTTGAATCTGCAGAGGCTCAATAAGCCAGCAATCCGGTTTGGCATGTCCGACATCCCAAGTCTTCACTTCAAGTGGAAACTGAAACAGAGGGGTAATTGATTTAATTCTGGATGTCTCCGACCAGACACAATTCCCGGAAAGCGTTTGCAATCGGTTTTCACTGAGAATGTTGTGACAAAGACAGCTCACTGCAGGTTATGGACTCACATTCGGTCGTTGGCCTGCTGGATGCCCAAACCGGGCGCTTGTTGACCAACCTTGTGCATCATGCGCAACTTGTTATGCAATTTGTGTGCTGAGATCAACACGGACGCGCAGTATTTGTGCCATGCACAGCATCAGAGCCAGTCAGGTACTACGTTTGCACAGCAGCTCCTTTGCCAGCAATATGAGTCGATATGAAATATACATCATGGAATGTCGTCAATCCCATGGCATATCACAGCCATGATCCCAACCTTGTAGCTGCAGGTGTTTTCTCCAGATGGGAAGGCTCTTTTGACTTCCTCTGTTGAGGGCTTTGCCCGGCTTTTCGATGTGGAAACTGGCGGCTGCTTGGTCACCTTTGGTCGCAAAGCCACTGGGGGCTCCTTGGCAGTGGATGGGGCGTTGGCTTTTGGGCGTGGTGTTGCAATTTTTATCCGTGTTTAAAATTCATGAAGAATCTTGAAACCGCTGGCGCCATCAAGCAAGGCAAATTCCTTCAGGTTTCTAAAACACAATAATGCCAATGCGTTGGTATGTGACGTATAGTTTCAGATTTGTGTCGTGTGTTTTCGTTCCCGTGTTCAGCAGCGGCTTAGGGAGGAGTGTGGGCATGTCGGCGGCCTCTTTCTCACCAGATGCGACGAAAGTGCTTGCGAGTATTTGGCCGGCAGTTTCACTTTTGCAGTTTCACTCTTATTTACTTCATCGAATTTCCATCTCAGATCCAAATTGGTTTGTTGGTCGGCGGTTTGATTTTCCATTGGATCCCAATTGACGTTTGATATTTCCGGGATGAGTACAACCATGCAAGATCAGTGGATCCAATTGACATCAATTATAAAACTAGTTATATATGTTTGGGGATTGGAAAAAATCAGGATAACGGGATCCAGTCAACATCAGTTAGCTATGGCCCTGTTACATTTTGTATATACATAATTTACATAATTAATTATTTAGTTAATTAATTAATTAATTTTTTTATTCATTATTATTCGTGTTATACATATATATGCCTTCGGCAAGCCCGCCGGCCATAGAGAGGTGGCCCCAAGGGAGTTTGATGTGCAGGAGAGAGAACCAGAAGAGAAGAGAGGAGAGGAGAGGAGAGGAGAGGGAGAAGAAGAAGAAGAAGAAGGGGAGACGAATACAGAGCGGTAAAACGGAAGCAGCTTGTGTAGCAAGTGCTGGCCGTAACAACTTATTGACCCTGTACCAAATTAGCACCGCCCCCAACAAAGTAGCGCCAGGTACTATGTATGAGCCACTGGCTTGACAGCAGACCGCTGCATGGAAGGGAACAGGGTGGAAGCGGAGAGAGGTTGCCCCAAGGGAGGTTGATGTGCACGCTAGGTGGAAGCCTGAGAGAGAAGCAGAAGATAAGAGAAAAAGAAGAAGAAGAAGAAAAAGAAGAAGAGAAAGAAGAGGAAAAAGAAGATGAGACGAAGACAGAACTGTAGATCAGAAGCAGCTTGAGTACCAAGTGCGTGCTTGAACAACCTATGGGCCGCATACCAAATAAGTGTCGGTCGATCAGTTTAGTACCGTGTGCGTCCTGTGACTAGTACCGGTAGACCACTGTAGTGCTGTAGACTGTGGACAATGTCATTAAATCTACCGGCACTACCAGTTTAGTATATACTTGGGGAAGAAGGAAGGAGTATGATGAGTGTATGATAGTATATACAGTATCTCTAGGAGTAGTAGCAGTAGTAGCTCGTCGTGGCAGCAGTACTAGTAGACTAGTGCGAGTAGTAGCAGCAGTAGCAGTAGCAGTAGTAGTAGGAGTAGTAGTTGTAGTAGCAGTAGCAGTAGCAGTAGCAGTAGCAGTAGCAGTAGCAGTAGCAGTAGTACGTAGTACGTAGTACGTAGTACGTAGTACGTAGTAGTACGTAGTAGTACGTAGTAGTAATTAGTAGTACGTAGTAGTAAGTAGTAGTAGTAAGTAGTAGGAAGTAGTCGTAGTCGTAGTACTAGTTGTAGTACTAGTACTTCGTACTAGAGTACTAGAGTACTCTAGTACCAGTACAGTACTTAGACCTGGACGTGGACTTAGACTTGTATACTTATACGGGGAGGGGGGCGAGCGGAGTTGTCCACAGTTTTTTTGGCCCCCAGCACCAGGTATGTATGATGGCTCTGCTGATCTCTATGATCGCACCTCTGGGGAGCGGATTTGCTCTTGTGATCCTTGAACGAATGCGATGGTCTTGGGACTGTACAGTAATCGATGTAACTGGTATACACATATATACACCAGAGAAATAAAAGTAGGGGATTTCATGGTATAGCCGGAGAAATCAAAAAACTGACCGCCTAAGCATGCCTAAACCATGTTTCGTATCATGTGGCAACACACACTGAAACAGCAGAGCTACGGACACTGAAACAGCAGAGCTACGGATTGGTGCAAGAGAGAGCTCCATGAGCTGCCATTTGTCAGTACCCAGTAGAGGTGTCCAGTTTTGTATTACATGGTGGGAGTCCGTGGATCATTTCATGCATCCTATAGATTTCACATTTCACACTGCAAGATCCAGTCCAGAACCGGTCGCTTACCCGAGGCTGGTCACAAGTTCTCTTTGAGATCCTGTATCATGTCACCAGATGGCGCCTGGATTGTGATTGGCGATGATTCATTTGGTGACAGAAACTTCATGAAGCTTCCCCATGGCCATCAAATCACGGCAGGTTGCAGGGCAGGTTGCACGCGTGTGATGCAACCCGTACTGAGGCAAGAAGATCCTCACTGCATCCAAGGATGGCACCTCCAAGTTGTTTCTTGCCTGGACATGTGTTTCTTCGCTTGGTGTTTGCAAAGTTGTTTGCTGAAATTGCCCTATATATACATGCACACGCACACACACACATATATATATATTTTATATATACATACATGATAACCAAGCGTTTGCCAGGTGTCTGACATATGTTTATTGATTTTTGTTTAAATCATGGCATTCCAAAAATGGTTCACCTCGAGGTTCTGCGCCTCCAGCGGTGAGTGCCTGGGCAGCTTTGACGCCGAAGCGGTGCTCTGTGGAGCCAACTTCTCGCCAGACCTTTCGAAGGCGGTCAGGGGAGATGAGGGGTCAACGACATGGCTATGGCTATGGGCTATGGCTATGGGCTATGGGTGTTTCTACCAAAACCATGGCATAGCTGGCATAGCTTCCTCAAACCTCGGGTTTCCGGGTGTTTGTTCTCTTTTTGATGACCAATACCTTGGATGATTTGAGGATCTCCGCATGTTCAGACATTTGCCTGTTTGCCTATCTATCAATCTACCAATCTATACCTTATCTTGGCATAGCTTAGCTACAATTATTAACTATAAGCAGAACTACAAGGAGAACTAATTATAGGTACAACATGGTACAACTATAAACATATTTATAGTAACTTCTATACTATAACTATAACTTTGACTGTAACTGTAAAGCTGTACTTACAACCCAAACACAGCCATGGATATGATACAACATCTTTCTATATATAGTATAGGATAACGATGGAAAACAGGCTTCCTGATATGACATGATGTTGCAACCCAGCCAGAAATAGTGCGAGAACTGCCAGTTGCTAGACAGGGCTACCGACCAGTTGCTCAAATGCAGAGATGGCAGGCATCAACAGTTTCAGCTGTTTAGGGACTCAACAAATGTATACAAATGTAATATATGCAAGAGATCCAACGCTGGCCTGGTAACCCCACAAGGTTCATGCTTGGACCAAGGCTGATTCAGTGCATTGAATGCCACCAGACAGCAACAGAAATTGGTTGACTCCATACGACTGCATCTCTTGGTGCTGCAGGTTCTAACTGCTGCGCAAGATGGTGTGGCAAAGCTCTTTGATACACATAGCGGTGCTTGTGTCTTGCCATAAAGAATCCGTGCAAATTCATTTTTGATTGAACGCTGTGGACAATTTGTATATTATATATGTACGTATGTAATGGAATGGAATGTAATGGTATGTAATGGTAATGTAATGGTAATGTAATGGTAGGTAATGGTAAATGGTTAATGTATATAATGTAATGTAATGTAATTAATGTGTGTATATTATGTATATATATATATATTATTTTTGCTTTTTGAGAGGTTTGGGGTCTGGCGTGGATCTTTCTGAATATTGCCCCAAGGCTTGCAGGAATTTCCAGACCACTCGGCTCCAGTACTCAGTGCCACGATGTCGTTCGATGGTACGTGGGTTCTTACTAGCAGCTTGGTTTCTAAGTGGGAGGGCCGCTTTTCGTGAATGCCATCGCCTGTCTAGTCGCAGCAGGGGATTGGAAGCCAAGTCCACTTGGAATGATTTGATGCTGCAGTCGAGGCTCGAGTGACCTGGAAGCCAAGCTCTTCGAGACCAATACTGGCAGATGCCTTCGAAGTTTCATGGCCAAAATATGCCAAAATGCTGTTTCGAGATGTCTCTCTTGGACGCACAATGACACACCAACACACCCATTCCATCCCTGAGTGACATCTTGGCATCTCTCTCTTCCATTTGTTGGGTATTTTTTTCTCCACCGTTTCTTGAGGTTTTTCAGAGGAGAGCACCTGGTGGTCCGGGGGCGGGGTCAAATATATTAACATATTAAGATTAATGTATACTGCATACTATATATATACCTTCAACCGGTTGGGTAGCTGTTTTGATGCCAAGACACATGGAACGAAGATGTTTATAATACCACATCATGCCATAAGTCAAAATACGGCCCCTGTATTAAAAACAGCTTACTCTTCAATTTGGGGTTTCACCCAAAAAACATAAATTGAGGGTAACCATCTAGCGCCACCTCTTAGTTTCTTTCACTGCGGCCATTCTTCTCCCAGCGTGCCCTTCGGCACCACGTTGCCACCGAGCCGTCGGTGATCCCAGCTGTGAAAGGACTTGTGGATACTAAACCATAGGGAATATTGTAATATTAAGATCGGCATACTAAGTTTTAAAGAGCCCTGCGTAGCCATATATCACAAGTCACTGTATCCATCTAAGCCTCGCTGGTCGGAATCTGCACGAGATAAACTTTCCTGGTAAACAATCAGAGACCGAAACAAAACTGATCTGTGAATGGATCTTATATTCACCCGGCGTGAGATCCTAGCCGGTCTCCCAATAAAGTCTTCTTGGGATTGATTGGTGTATGCAATTGGGTTTTCAACCCAGTCAGCCATCTGGGATTGAACCCAGAGATCAAGCGCTGTGTGCGCAATCATGTGGACCTTTGGCACCATCGGGAAACGGCGTTTGTGCTGGAGCAAAGTGATGGAGGCACAGCACGCATACCCAGCGAGGAATCTGAACATCAAATTGCTCAAAACGATGGCTTTCTCCTTCCGGATCCAAAATCCAAACGAATACAACGCAGCCATTGTCACATTGAAACAACGTGTGGCATCAGCCTCAGTAATGTTCTATCCCAAGTACAAAACACAAAAAAGATCAGGGTAACATATCCGTATCCCAAAGCTTCACCACTTTCCCAAAAAAAACAGTTATCACATGGCGAGCAACTATCGAAAGAAGCAACCGGTCTTCCGTGTGACCAACGATGTAGTCTCGGCAGAAAGCATCAAGGAAAGACATCATCTCAGCAGAAGCCGCTCCTTTGCTCCACTTCCCAATGGGGCTTGCAGTACTGGCCGGGAAACACATTGTATCTCGAGAAATCTCAGACACAAATGGCGGTGTTCTGAAGTGCTGCCGATACAGGCCTGTCAGCCATGAAAACTTTGCCTCAATTGATCCAGCAGGTAGGCATCCCAGTCCACTCTCCACAATTGCCACAAAAGCACATGCTGTGAACTGCTTCAAGACACCTAAGTGCGCATTGTGCCACAGGTCAGTTCGGAAGAAACGAATCTTCTCCTCGGTCGACAAGGGCAAATGGGTCAGGATCGTAGGCAAAGTGTTCCAAGGCACCTGCTGGGCAGTGGTTCGCACCCAGTCTGCATTCCGCGAAACATCCTCGTATGGAATTGCTGGCAAACCAGCAACAGGATCCGCTTCCTGCCCAGCACTGCACAAATAGCAAATGCCCTTGCATGGGTTCCTTGACGAAGCAGCCCGTGGGACATTGCCGAAACTTCGATAGGAGTTGGTCAGTTTCTGCAGGGCTGGCAAATCTGCTTTTGTCGCCAGGTGAATAAACCACCAACGCTGCCCATCTGCACTCTGCAGTCCTTCGGTCATGAGCTTGTACACATCATCACTGTGCACCTCCAAGATCTTGTCAAGAGCGCCTGGCTCCTGGATGACATTTTTTGCAGCCGAGCAAAAAATGAAATTCGTTGACCAGGTGGAACCAACCATGTTCAAACCCATTGCATTCCTGCGCAGTGGCGCTTTGTGTTTCCCTTGGGCCAGCCATGACCTGCTTCCTCTGCCAACTGCTCCATGGCTGCTCAAAACAAAGAGGGGCAAATGCTTGTAGCTGCGTCCCTCATCTGTGTGCGACAAGAATGGGACGCACTGGTTCAAAGGAAGGCCATGAGCTGCAGCAAATTCAAAAAACGCTGAGTCAGGCCTGACAGTCTTTTGCCTGCGCCAGAACTCACCCAAGATTGCCTTCATCTTGGTCAGGTTGGCAGCACCCACCATTTGCCGCGATAGGCGGTTTGTGTCAATCAGATATTTCATCCAATCACTAAGTTTGATAAATGGAAACTTCTTCAGTTTCCCTTCGCCGAGGTCCAACTCAGAAATTTTCACTGGGCAAGAGTAGCCTCGCTCCCGAAACAATCTATGGACCCCAACCTCTGCATCCTCTAACCGGATGTTTGCAAACATCCTCATGGCTTCACTTGCTCTTGGGTTAGAAGCGACCTGCGCCTGCGCCAACTCCACCAAGTGCTTGCACGGCGCCTAAGCGAGCGCAGCTTTGGCTTGGAAAGTGTGATTGGTCGGGATGGTGTGGAGGAATAGTATGGCATTGACTCTAACACTTCCGACCAGCGAGGATAGTATAAAGTGGCAGGGCATCTTTATGATATTGTATCTTGTATACCATATCGTATTCCATATCGGGTGGTATGCATATATTCCGGTGAATATTTTATATTTAGAGGAGTTGATGCATAGAATTTTCTTGGCTCATTTCCAATACCAATCAATCGAACTGGTTTTGCACTATGGAGCTGTCAAGCATGCACATCGGTCCTTTTTTTCACATCAAAAGTCGGGCCTGGTCTGCCCTTGCTCCGCTAACGTAAACATAGAAGGGCGGGCTAACACACAGTTTTCGGTTCAACGCTCCTTCACCCCCAGTTCCTTTTTGATTTCGGCAACCAACATGTTGGTGGTACTCCGAAACCAAAGCAGCTTCTAACATATGTACCACGTCAACACTGTCACCAGAGAAAATGACCCACATTGATGTGAAACCCTTTTCACGGTAGGATTGGTATCGGGTTAGTGGGTCAGTTGTCACACCAATCTTGAAAACACAAAGGCGAATGCCCATCGCCTCTCTGAATGACAATTTTTTTTCTTTACAGTGTTCCAAGATCCGGCCGCATATGGGGGATCGAGTTCCAGTTTTCATGCAACGGTTCAACATACCATCTGGGAGAGGGCCACTCAGAAGATCTATTTTGGCATCGTCATCTTGTACCTGACATGTTTCAATGGCCGTTTGTTTTTTACGGAATTGGAGTGTTGGACATATAAATATTGCAATGGTCATGAAACATGGGTGTGTCAACGGCGTGTTCAGCTGAGATACTTCGTTCATGTCGGCCACGGTCTTTGGAGAAGGACAAGGCTGGGAGCATCCCGGATCGAATGCTTCAACCCCATTCAGTTGGAAAGGAGCTACATCAACTCCGTTTGCTTGAAGTGGTTCATAGTCTTTGGAAGGCTGCTCAATTTTTAAACACCTCAGCTAGGTACACAATACAACTGAGGGAAGAACATAAAGAACATCATTTTTCACAAGAGCATACCCATGAACATGTTTCAGTCACAACTCTGAATTTAGCCAAAACACTTTGCATTGCAAACATCGATGGGTGTGGCCCCAGCAGTGCGTTTGGCCCCCGAAAAAGGACATCTGTAGGTGAGAAGTTCCCACAACATATCGTCACCACCATCTGCTCCATCGCCCATGATGAATTATGATTGAATTTGAGATGCAGGAAAAGTAACCAGATGATGTTGTCATTGTCATGGTCGTTGTTATATACTATTGCTTTGTTTTTTGTTTTTTGGAATATCATGGTTACACGTTTGTCCTGATGTTTGTTGATATTTGTTGATGTTGTTCACTATTCCCACATGTGATGTTTGGATCTGCACTATGTGTACTTTGCTCACCATGTTTTTCCAAGACTGTACTTGCATATCATCATTGGATAAAAACTGGCTACAGTACACATGCCAAGTGTATCAGCCATCCATGCATGCACAGAGGTTGTTCTGAAACTTTTCCAGCATTGGGGATCCCAACTCCATTGGCTATCAGGCGAGCGCAGTGGCGCAGGACTTGGTCAAGGTCAGCTTGACCTGGCAATCCAGTGGATGCAATCAGAATGGGGAGACCTGGAAAAATTAATGGATAAATTAACGTTTATGTGATTCAACATTTTTTGGGGCACCTTCAAGTTTGGAAAAGGTTGATCTCACAACAGTTGGAATATCTAGTTCGGGCTCCTTCCCCATCCGCATGGTTTAGTTTTTTGGGATGTGAAGTCACTCTGCTAGTGGGCCCACATCTGCATGGAACATCAAGCTGATAACTTTTTGCATCGACCCTCTAAGCTGGTAAGCGTTTCCAAGCGAGCAATCTGTTGATTGCAGCATATCGCACATATGAACTGTTCCACATCATGACTCCCCAACACGTGTTCTGCACATGTTTGAGTCCATCTAATGTTGCAGTCGCATCTCAGCACTGCAGCCAATCCCCACAAAAAAAGGGCCCCTGGATGCCCTGGGTTTCATCGACCTCTATGGGCAAAAGAGGCTAAGCACTGGGACTCTCAAGCATCAGCCCTTGACTTCATCACATTGGCCAGCAGCTTTTTCACATTCCTGAACAGTGTTGAGCTGATGGTGGAAATAGGGCAGTAGGTTGTTGAATCACCACATCTTGAGGTTACTGATGTCCATATACCGGGCACCTTTAGGGTAGGATGGTGTTTGCTCAATATCTTGGGAGTAAACATGGAACCCATCCACTGTGAAGACTCTACGCACACTGTTGTGGACAGATTCAAGCACAAAACATTTACTGTAGCCTTGATAGGACAGGAGTAACATTTGTTCATTGACTACTGATATCAAGTTCTAATTCCATCATCGAACCCCCACACTACAATGCCACCAAAGATCTTGGCAGCAACTTCAGCGGTTGTGACTTTTGAGCACCTGGGCCATTGGTGCAGGACCAGGTGATGGGCCTTCGGGTGTCATGTCTACGCCACATTGAGTGTGGACGAGGCACGCCGACGTCGTCTTTTTGATTTGGCAATCCATCTTCTTACGAAGCCTGGGTGAGTGGGGTTCATTAGTGCTGCAATTCGATGACTTGGAGTTAGCATGTTCGTGCATCCATTCAACCACCACTTCAAAATCTGAAAGCACGAAATATATTGGCTATTGCTTTTCAATGATGTTATTCAAAAGAGTTTTGCAGTAAAGCTAAAAGTTGATCACCCTAACGAATATTTTAATTGAGAAACTGCTCTACACTGTGCTGGTCAAGTCCTGCACCACCATCCTTCAACGCATCCACGTCCAACTTGACCACATCGCAATGCTCGTACTCTTGCTCCAGGACATTGCCAGCAACCTCCAAGCTCTGGATCGACCTGAGCTGAGACTTTGGGAGCGTGGGTTGTGTGAATGCTTGGCTCACCACATTTTAAAAATGAGATTGAACATACACACATTGTGTGAATGTGAGATCATTGCAGCGCTAGGATTGGTACTGTTTGACCTTTTTGCCTTCAAAACTGGTTTCACTTTTGCCTGACTCTTCCAGCCCTTGTTCCAGACTTTGGGAAAGCTCTGATAGCTTCCCCGCCCTCGACAACAAGCTGTCGCAGAAGCGGATGAACTTCTCATACTCCTGCATCAGATAATATCAGATAAGGTTTATGCCGAGATGGTATTTTCAAAACTGATTGAAAATTGATTCAATTTTTAGATACGCCAGTTTCGGTTTAGAACAAGACCAAAACAATGTTGTTTGAACCCATCCTTCTGGGCTGTGTTGACCTGCTTTGCATTTCCTTCTTGTTCTGAATCCTCATCAGATCCATCATCCTCCTTCTGAAACCCAAGTCGCTTGTGCACCACATCCCCTTCAGCCACCTGAGGCAAAGAGTGCCGACAATGATGGAAGGAACCGAGGACAGCCAGAGTCTGACATATCACTTACCTGAACATGTTGTAAGGGAAGTACACTAAAGATGCATATGGCCTCTGTGTCTTGGTGAATGTGGTTTTCCTCATCCTCACTCAGCTCTGACTCTCCATCTTCAATTTCCACTTTGTACTTGAGCAGCTTCTTATTGTATTTGTCCTTCCTAGGTTCACTGTTGGAGGACTTGTAGCAGTGTGAATAGACATCTTGAAACTACAAAATAATTGAAGATTGCCATGACCAGCATGCAGACCCCCATGTGCAAAGAAGTTTCTTTGTATGCGTAAGAGCATTGGCCGGCTTCTCACAAAACTCCACGACGCATCTGATGTAGGACCTGGGAATCAATCGACTTTCACACAAGGCCCAGAACCAGAAAAGGGGGTCTTGAGTCTGTCGAGCAGTGGTAGTTTTCTCTACATTGTTGATGCTTTGAAGATTGTGATTGGTTGGCTCATCCAAGTATTGAATCTAAACCCCAAAAGAAATTGGGAAATATAGAGAACAAACTTATCAAAATGAGACATCAATGATCAATTAAGTAGTACTAACATGTACAATGTGAAGATGAGTAACGAACTCCAGCCCAAATCTTTGGCCATGGCTTCTTTGGTGTACCAACCCCTTCTCTTTTTCCGGGACTGCTTGTTGGTCTTGATCACTGACTTCGTGACCCGTGTGATGAACATGTCCTGAAGCCAAGGCTGATGAAATATGGGATTGGTTAGGTAAACATAATGCCAGCGGGTTTTAACTCAAAACCTGATTAAAAACAAAACATATAATGTCATATCAAATAATAAGTGTTTGCATGTTTGTTGTTTGCGTATATATCTAGCAGTCCTTTGCCCAGTTTGCAGCTTCCAACTCATCTGCTAGTTTCAACCTTTCTGTATGGTTGGCCTTCTTCCAACGCTCGTGAATTTCAGGGGTTACATGACACTTCCCTGAGGGCTTCATCTCGCACATCCTCCTCAATCTTGCCAAACGGGCGCCTTCCGTTGAAGGCGCTTCGGATGCTGCTGCTGGTGCAGCACCCTGTGGATTGGCCAAGGCTCGGGGCTGGGACGCAGAGGGTGCAGAGGACCCACTGGCCTTTGCGTTCGGAGTTGGGCCACGGACCTTTGGGGGTGGAGTCTCATAAGAATTCTTGGTAGGCTTCTTTGCCTGCTCCTGCTTGAGTTGAGCTAACTCATCCATCATCTTTTGGTTGGCCTCCCCAGGAGCTAGAATGAAGTATTGTGAGATATGGTGAGTGAAGAATGGGACATTCCCGATGTGTAATTCCTTTTATTGTTTTTGAATCATCATAATGGAAAATGATGAAGTCCATTCATGTGCATATGAGTATAATCAACTACAATATAAGGTATCTGACCGATATTCCCATTGCACCAACGTAGGTACCCAAAAGGTTCCTTAGTTCTTCTGCCAGCTGCCCATTAAAAATCACAGTATAGCACCAGGAGCTTGGTCCCATTTAATTTTCTAAAGGAAAACAGTTTGATGCGCCTCACGCAAGTCATCAAGCTGCTGCGCCATGTCAGGGTTGGGCTGTTTGCCTTTGACTCGCTTGGAGGCCCCAGGGTTGGGCGAAGCTTGATCGACCTTTGGGGGTGACCGGGGATGTTTGTCAGCCTTTTCAACTTGGGATTGCGGTGGCCTTGGTTTGGCCGGAGCGCTGGCCTTAGGCTGCGCCTTCGATTTAGCCGAGGTCTTCTTCAACTTGTTATTGATCTGTTCCTCTGATGCCTCATTGAGAGCCATCCATTGGTTGAACATCAAAACGTTAGAAAAAACAGGGCGAGCACTGACCCAACATAATTTCAGATGAGAGACTGGTTGGGTCTCAGCCTCCTTAGATGGGAAGCACTTAGATTCATGTGTAAAACCATGAAATCCTAGTCATTGAGTCATCATGCTGGTACTATATTGGATCGGTTGACCAAGGAAAAATATCACTTGATGAATACCCACCTAAGTTGATTATGAATAGAGACCCTTTGTTGCTTAAATTGATTGGGGCTAGAACCATCAATCTGCCTATTTCTTTATTGACCTACATGAATCTGTATATGCATACCACATTTTACCCGATGAACTGATACCCATAATCCAGTTGGGTTTATAAAAGGGCTCTTTGACCTTAAAATTTCAAAGTGAGTTGGTGGATTTTGGGGAAGGGAAATGTGATGGAAGATATGGAAGGGAAACAATCCAAGACCATCTTCCCCCCAAGGCTGTATGGACAAGGCTCACTCAAAGACATATCCGATAAGCCTTTCTTCAAAGCAACCAGCTGACGTTCATAGTCCTGAGAATGGAGCTGAACACATGATGTGTTTATGCTTGTGTGTCTTTATCTTCCCAGCATCTTTGGAATTGATATAGGTGAAACTGTTTGGGTTGCACCAAAAGATCCCAAAAAAAAACACGACACATATTGTTATGATAAGCTTCGTCAATCTGTTTCTGCATCTCATCCGGTGAAAGCTTCTCAGACTTGATCTCCAAGAGCTTAGCATGACCATCTTGAAGCTCTGAGCAAGACCATTGCCGTGATGGCACAGTTTTTTTGGGGGCAGTGTCTTGCTTAACCGCCTTACCCATGCTATTAACTTTCCACTGATCCTTGAACCAATCCCTTCAGCAACAGAAGAACAGTTGACCATTTAGAAAGACAGCAGTGAAAGGTTCCCATATGCACAACAAACACTTCATTGGGAATCATGCGCATCTAAATTCCACTTTTTTGGGAGTCAGAACCTTTAAATTGGGATCCACCATGCCCAAAATCCCAAAGTGAAAAATTGGCCCAATTACGGGAAAAATACGTATTTTGGTACGCAAAAATACGTGACTTTTACGCAAAAATACGTGACTTTTACGGGTACGGGTTCGGTACGGGTTGAAATACGTATTTTTTACGTAAAAAATACGTATTTCACCAATTGTGGGTTTTGGCATGATTTTTCACTATTTTTCACCAAGAACCAGCCATAGTTCTTCATATTCACCCTTGATGTTTCCAAAAAGTAGTTCTAGATCAAAAAACAAGCTAAAAGGATCATAACATACAGTCATGAATGCAGCAAACATCACTGGACTTGGGTTGACCACTGTTCTGAAGGTGTTGGCCCCTAGACTGAGTGATGAGCTGTTCAAAAAGGTAAAGTAATCACTGATATATGTCGATGAATGGTCATCAGGGTTACACCTTTCTCGATCTGAACAGAATCATCTCTTTTGCATTTGTTTGGCAACATCGTGCATGGTTCTAGATAGCAGGTAGCACCAACATCTCAAAACATCAACTTCGGAACTAACACGTACATATGTTTGGACCAGTCATTTTACAAGCCCTCAGCAGCCTAAGATACCCCTTTGAGATATAGCATGAATAATGTATGAAAATCACTTGAGATGTTGGAAATTGCAGTGCAGTGATCAACACTGCAAATTTAGATTTCCTCTGGAAAGCAAGGCCGTAGGCTGCCTAAACAAAGGCCCTTAGCTCCACGTAAATAAATAAAGATGGATTTCATCTCAGCATCCTCCCACCAGTCTGTTTCCGACCAGGGGAGGCTTTTAAACAGCTCCAACCCACAATTCAGGTCATCATGGTCAAGAGCAGCTCCAAACCACAAGGTGCGGGAGTTGATGAACCGAGGGTGGAGTGCAGCCAATCGCTGCCCAAATTTGGGAGGATAAGTCCTCAGTAATGAGGGAATGAATGGATTGACTGCAATGGTCATAAACATTATTGGGAACAAACAAACTTGTGTGGGTCACCCATGAGCCACCATGAGATGATATACCCTGGTTGGTTTCCATACCCCATGACCCTGTTGAGTTGATAGTTGGGTTCCCTAAATTAGAAGGTTACAAGAAATTACAAGAATACCAAACCAAAAAATGCAATGAGGATGTGGGTCCATTTCCTGCATTTGGTGAGAGTGGAGCCAAAAAATTAAGTGGTCTTCGGGTGTACTCATGGCTGGTTGGTATTTACCCCGACTCATTTCTTATGAGAATATGATCATGACAACTATAAAGATCGACCCAATGTATTTAAAAAAAATTGAGTTAAACAGACACCCAACCATAGCAAAACCATGTTGAAGGCATAGACCAGGTATCCCAGTAGACTTAAGTGCCTTGGAACCACTGAACCTTTTCTTCCCCCAACGGTTCTTGTATGTCTTGGTTGATTTCACTCCACGTCTCTTGATCTTTGCCCGGATCGTTTTGTTCATCTTTCCCTTGTTGAGGCATGCAATGGTCCGGCTGTTGGACCATCCTACATGTGGTTTCTCAGTGCCAGATCCATACATTCCAGCATACCAGGTGCCTTCAAACACCTTCAGGGGATCAATATTGTTTTGCCACCACCTTATCACACACAGGCATGCATCTACAAACAGTGAGTTATCGGTGAGACCCATGCCATGAAGTCCCTGGAAGAATACCTTTTTGAGGCTATGTTGATCCCAGGTATCAAAGAGGTGGATACGCCCCATATAAAAACAATTGAGGCTTACTTTTCCCAAACCAATTAGATTGTTGAATGCTTTTGGGGTTTAAAGCCCACACCTCGGGCAACAAGCGCCAAAGCAAACGTATCCTGGGATGCCACGTCAGCAGCGATGAGCGTGGCTGCTCCACCATCCAACTCCCACCCATGGCCACCACTGCCAGGATGAGAAGCGTTACCCTGAGCCGGGTTGCCAAGCTGGTGTCAGCGAAAGGGTTGTGAGAGGTTCAGCACTTGGACCAAAAAAGGGGCCAATAACTTTATTGATGATTTGTGAAACACATAATATATACTTCGGATTCCAACTTAAACCCTTTTATCAGGAAAAAAAATCTTTCCAAGGCCAGCCTCATGATAGACTACCATGATGCCATCTTTGATAACATAAAATAATAGGTTTCACCAAATGAAATTCATCCATAACAGCAACTAAAACAAGTAGTCGGAAATCCTTTGGAACATCAATGCATCATTTATTTGTGAACAATGCAGTGGCTGTGGATTAGATCATGTACTGGAACCCAGTGTTTGGGCATGACCAAGGTTTGATTTGTGATAATCTTGGGATGATCCACATGGTAATGTTTTGCACGAAACTTTGATTCCCCAATCCAAGAGTTTCACACAGCCAATCCTGATTACTTTTATTTTTGATTGTTTTATCCCATAAGATGGTCATGGGGGAATTTGCCATGTTTGAACATGTGTTTTTTGAAGCCACGCTCCTGCATGTCATCCGGTTCCCTTCGTCCACAAAGGGTATGTCCTCTCTGCCCAAAGGAAACCATGGAGCTCGGTAGTGTGTACCCATTGATACTGTCACATATGAAGAACACACCAGACCCGCCAGGAAGAAAAAGTCGTCGAATCTAGCATTGAGAATTGCCAGTGGTATCAACCTCACTGGTCCCCAGGTCCCCAATGTGTTTTGGTAATGAAGTACCCCAAACGACATATGTCTGTAAGTGATCCCTGAAAAGATATACACAAATTACCATTTTTTTTGTGGTATGAAAGCCAAATAACGTAAATCCTGCATCTGTTAGAATGTTCATGGCATCTTGCTTCCCCTCTATCGGCTGGCTGAGATTGATGTCGAACTTACATGAGGCAATGCCATTGGCCTGCATGCACTTTGTCACCCAGCCAGCACCTGAGAAGACTTCAATGAAGCCATACGCCTCACAACCGTGTTGGGTGACTTCAGCCAAGCTGTGTGGGAACTACTATGGGAATTGCAGCAATTTTACCTTATTTAAAAAAAATATATATGCTTGTAGGCCAAGCTGAACAGAGCATTTCTGACATTGGTGCCACAATCAGTCATAATTGGATCTTCACACATCACAATCAAAACGAGGATGCCAATTCATAATTGATATATATATATATATATCTTATCTTTCGATATACATAGCTTGGTAACACCAGGGCGAGCCTCGGAAAAGACTGTCATATCTGGGTTGGCTGCCAACAGTAGTACACATGCCATCAGTACCTTGGGCCAAGGTTGGGATTAGTTTTTTGGCTGAACATTAACTGGATAACATCAAAGGTTGCACATGTTTCTTGGTAGGGATGATGACATTGACATATTAAGCGTTTATCTGTTTTTTACACATACATACATGCATCTATATGACTAAGTGGTCTACATTAATAAAACCAAAATGCGTTCTTGATCATGCTAGCGAATCCTACCAGTTTAGACACTGGCTGGGTTAGGCAATATATCATACATTATCTGACATGATCAGACTGAGCATATGTTTGAAAATGCATGTGCCATAGGTGCCATAAGTAAGTCTAGCTGCCTTGGGTGCACCAATCAGGTAGAGCCGCTGCAAAACACAACTCAGCTTTACCCGTTTGTGAGGTTCCAAAAGCTCCATTGCAGGTGGTGAGCAAACAGGGAACTGCTAATTAGATGGTGTTTGGTTTTCCCTTCCGGAGCCAAAACAACTCAAGATAAAGATTGGTTTGGCTTTGTAATAAACTCCCACACTACTACTGTTTCAGCTGCACCCCAACACATGAGGAAGTTCGATATGTTTGAACTGAAATCTCATTCAGCCTCCACACCCATTTACTTTTTTGGGTCAAGTAAATCAGAAGCTGGTCCAAGGCTAGCCGGCATGACCGACAAGGTTGACGTCATTTGGAGCAATCATGGCCTTGGAACTCAGGGCTCAGCTGGTCATGGGAACTCACTGCCATGTGCAAAAAAAGATGGTTCCAAGCCCGTGCATGGCCCTACAATTGTAGATTCATTACCTTTTTTATGCATTTTTTTATTCTCCCTATGGCAGTGTAAATATCACCAATCAACTCAGTGGTAACCAAAACGTGTACCATGTGGAATTATGTCTTTCTGCATGGAAACCAATCTTTGTTCAAACTACCCTGTATCTTTGGAGGGTGCTGAAATCTTACATTTTATAATTTGGGGAAATGGTTGAACAACTCATTGCAACATGATGAAGCCAAAGCTAGAACAATTCATGAAACAAACTTTGCGAATTTTGATTGGTCTAGGGGAGATGGTATCCGGGATCAATAGCACTGTCACTTTTGACCAGCAATGGGACAACGGTGGCAAGCACTTGCCCTGATGGTGGCTTCCTGTCAGAGGCACACGTAGCTGAGCACAGGCAACCACAAAACCAGATCATATATACCCAAATGTTGGGCCACATGGACAGAATATATACAGATATGGAACATACCTATATAATACATATTAATTCACCAATGAAACAAATAATACATAATACTTTTTTCATTTCCACTTAGATTCATATTACTTGCACTATTAGCTTCACTGCCAGTTTTGTTGGAAAGTTATTACTTTATTTGCATCCTTTGTAGGTTGTCCTATCTTGAAGGATTATATAGGATTCTTGACAGATTGAAATTGATTGAGCCAAGCCTGCTCAGCCGGTGCAGGCCCTACCGTTGTGAAACACTGGCATCACATCCCCAAATGCTATTGGTGTTGCTAAGCACTGCAAATGAATCCATTGATGGGAATCCCACAATTCTTTCAATAGAAATCCAAAGATCACTGGATGAAAATTCCCAAATCACGATGACATTTAAACGCAGTTTGAACCATAGTAGCATATTGTAGCAATCCAGCGCACCGCAACACACTGCTCATGACCCTAGGTCTGAGAAATCTATTTGATGGGCAACCTCAGTTTTTCGAAATTGCCAGAAACTCAGTGGCAGCCAAATTGGCTTCGGTATCTAGCTGATCCTGTTGGACGTCCATGTCCTTCCACTTCTCAGTGGCATACTTCCAGAACTGGTCCTACAGCACATGTTTGGGGTTTATAAAGAGTGTAGCTGGAATGACCCATGCGCCTGAATCTTGGTGTCTCTTGGGGTGACTAATGCACATGGGATTGTAGATTAGTTGGATATGGGCTGAAAAAACTTAAAGGTATAGATGCATTTCTGGGACGCTTGGAAAGTTGCAGCCAAATTGAAAAAATAACTATGGGATAACATATTCGATGGAATTGGTCAAGTAACACTCACAAACAACTAAGAACAAAAGTCAGCAGTGCCAGACACAAACCCGAATCATCAGCGAGTCCTCGGCAGCGCTGTAGTGAGAGAGAGTGGGCTTGATGACTGAGACAAAGGCATCTCGCAAAGCTGACCACTTTGCCCTGCCATACGGTGTGCTGGGTTCTACTCTGCGAGCAAATGTTGCGGCCTGCCCACGGGGCTTCTTCTTGGGGGGCTCCCGAATGTCTTTCTTGTCCTCGGGCTTGCCAGGCTTGTCGGGCTTGTCGGGCTTGTCGGGCTCTGCGTCGTGCTTCACAGTGATCTCGGCCTCCTTGGTGATCTCGGGCTTGGTCTCATCGGTCTTCTCAGGCTTCTGAATCTGGTCCTGCTTGATTTTCTTGATGGGTTTGTCAGCCAACGTGTTGGGATCTTTGTTGGTCTTCTTCCTCTTGACAGGCTTCTCTGAAGGCTTGATGTCGGTGAGGTCCGTTCCAGCACTTGGATCCTGTCGCACTTCCGCATCCTCTGGTGTTGCATCCTTGGGATCTCCCTTGCCAATGTCGGAAGTTGAAGTTGCTTCAGGGTGGTCCCCATCATGGTCATCCCCCTTGTTGTCAACCAACTTCTTACATCCCTTGGCCTTGGATTTGGCTTTCGCCTTGGCTTTGCTTTTTGCTGCAGAAGGTTTACCCTTTGGCCTGCCTGGTCCCTTCTTTTTGTTCTCTCCCTTGTCCTCGTCAGTCTCGGGTGCCTTGAGAGCAAGCTGCGATCGCCGAAGCACCTAAGTAGCCGAGATAGCAAAGCAGCTCAGACAAAAAAAAACCATGGTGCTCCAAAACATGCAAGTTCATGTCCAATAGTATTTGATTTTGTGTTTTTTGTTTCAAGGGCCTACCACCCACTACACACATGGAAAAGGTAAAAATACCACCATGATAGATGCAAGTCACTGTGGGAGCTTCAGGGACGAAACCCTTGTAAGTCTCAGCGGGCGTGTTTTTGAACTCCTCGGCAAGCAAGTCCATCTCTTTAGAGTGTAATGGCAGGGTGTCCACTTCATCACCTCCAAACGGAAGGCTGTCCATGACTAGGGCAGGGGTGTTCGAAGATGATCCAGAAGAACCCTTCTTCTCAGCAGCTCCATCCATAGCCTTCCTTAGTTGGAGAAGGTTAGCAGCAATGAGCTAAACAATGCAAAACTAACATGTTTCAAAAATAGCCCTAACCAACCAAACTCTTGAACATCAGCTTATGTCTTCTCTAAAGGGTTCAGGATTCACAGAGTGTTTTTGTTGAAAACAATTTGGCATAAATCAGCTGAAGATCTTTGCCGCACTTTGCTTACGGGCATTGTTCAGCTTGACGGTAAGCTCACTGATCTTGTCCTCGATCTCACGGCGTTGTTTAAACATAGCTTGGGGATCCTTCTCCTTCTCAGGGGTATCCTCAATGCAAAGAACTTCAGGGTCAGCTTGGGTAAGACCATGTAGGTCAGATTCTTCTGGAACTTGGCTATCGGTGGTAAATTCAACAGCTTGTTCAAAGATGGATTCATCCATGGAAGGAACCTGGGTATCACTTTGTTCGACATTGGATTCACCCACGAAGACATCACCCTCGGCAACCTCCTGGCTCTCAAGGGCATCCCCGAAGATATCATGGGGCTGCTCCTCATCATCATACAAAGTTGAACTAGTAGGCCCATCACCATCATGGATAGCAGGTTCAGGTTCCCCACTGTCATCTAACTCATCTTCATCAGCTTCATCACCACCTTGGTCATCCGAATCCACTTCTTCCTCAGAATCATCGACCGCCTCCATGCCCAGGTCACAAGAGTTCTCAGTGATCTCCTGACGTGGCTGTGAGCGGACCCTTGGATTCGATGACAGGGAAAGTGGAGTAGGGTGAAGGTGTGGGGTCAGTATATAGTAGTGCCGTGAATCTGACATCACATTATACTATATACTAAGTAAGAGGAATAACCTTACACAAACATAGATTTTTTAATGTCGAATCATGTGGGTTCATCCAATGGCCTTTTTCAGTATAAGAATGGCAAACCCCAGTCAAAAAGATTTGGATATCCAAGTGCTGTTCTTTCATCATTTGGTCTTAATCTAGTCCTGCACTTTGGAACGTGTTGATGCAAATGCAGAAGCCAAGAGCTTTCGAAAAAGAAGAGTCCGGCAAGTCTGTCCACGATGAAGCTTAGCCTTGACTAGCACCATGAATTTCTTGGCCGCCTTGGCTTCCTTCCTCAAAATTTTGGCATTGGGGACTGGAGCCTGGAACTTGATGTAGAACGCTTTGATCCTGAGAAGTGTTGGCTGATGTTGGATGTTGAAACATGTCAATGACTGGTAGCACGCAGGTGCAAAGGTGGCAGGAGGTATTGTACTGGTTTCCAGGATGTTAAACATCTTAAACCAACAAAGTAAAAAGGTAATGAATTGAATGAGACTAGATTCTGCTTCTTGAGATCTGGGAGCGAATGCATGCCAAGTACACCAGGGGACTCTTCAAGTCTTTCCACCAAAGGCTTAAGGGTGTGGTAGTTGATCTGGGCACATGCTATGTTTCCCCTCACTTCTGCCTGCCCAGCCTCCTTCACAAAGAGAGAGCCATGATTTCGCATCATGTCCCGCACATGGGAGCAAGAATCCCATTCATCAGCTACTCCTCTTAAGCTGCCCATCCTAGTGAAAATCCTACCACAGAACAGCCACAGCTTTGATCAAAATGGGCTGGCAATAAGAAGGCCGATGGATCAATACAGGTGTGACAGAATTGACCAATGCGACCCGTAGCAAGTAAGAATTAAGCCCAACAAAAAGAATCCATCATATTCAAATACTGGGGGGGTTGATCTATGATTATGATCAATGGATCGGATATGAATGGAACTATTGGATATCTCCCATTCATCCTCCACTCCATGCCATGTCCAAACATTGTGGCCAACAGCCTGGACTGAGGACCCCTGCTCAAAATGAGACCAATGGCCACGTTGTGAGTCAAAACGAGAGCATGGCTGGGAGATGTTGGGAGCAAGCGGTGGGGTCTAATGGTTTGTCACTTAAATCTTAAAATATCTTAAAGGTGAAAGGGCCAGAGTAGTGAAGATGAACTGTCAATAGGACCCCTGTGTTGAAATATCAGCAGGGATGAATGTTTGAAAGTAATCCTGTGGCTAACATTTCCATATTTCCATCAACAACCAAAAACAATCCTGGGGCCAGACCAACGAATGCCAAGGAGAATGGCAATGAAACAAGACTATGTGGGGATGTTTACCCAGTTTAACCTGTATAAACGTGTACAAACCTGTATCATATAGATGTTCAACTCTGAAGGGTTCAATACACGGCCCCTTTCAAAAATACGGCTCTTGGGTTAAAAAGAGCTCTTTTGATCACAGGATCGAATTGCAAATTGGATAGCCCAATTGAGCTAACTTCCAGGCTCCAGGTATATATATTATAATAGATATTTGGAAAATTTTGGATATATTTGGTGGGACATGATGGCACCAGAGGGTACATGATTTGCTCAGATCGCCAGGAGAATGGTTTTGTGACATGTGCGCAGTGGGCACCTGGCGGCCGGCAATTGCTGCTGGCAACTGTGCTGCAGTGTGCCCTGTTGGTGGTACACATCGACGAAGATGAGATGAATATAGATGAATCATGTTGCATCAACTGTCAACCATTGGTAAACCTTTCTATGAACAGTTCCTAAGTCGAGTCAAATTGAAGGTCAACTTACTGAACACTCAAGCAACATTGCAGGTGTGTTTTGAGCGTCAGGCATTCTTCAGCGGCAAAGTGGCGGTCTTTGATCCAGCAAGTGATCGCTTCGTTCAAGAATTTGTTGGACACACGGACTGCGTGCATTCCATGAAGTTGATCTGACCATGCCAACTGCGGCATCAAGAGGCGTGTCATACTGATGCCAGAATTGACGCTTCTTGGACAGATATTCCAACAGTAGCAAAGATGAAGCGAACGCCATGCGATCCAAAAGAGTGCCTTGTACAGAAGTGACTGCGAGCACTAGGCCAGATCTTCCACGCGTTCTGTCTTTCTATATATGCATCAATTGATATCAGTTGCTTTAAGGCAGAACATTGTCCAAAGACATCACAGACTTCGCACAGATGTCATGCGAAAATGTGCTCTCAAGCGCTATTGACATTGATGTGTGTGTGGGTGTGTTTGTCTGTTGGTGTGTATGTGTGTGTGTGTCTCACAATTCATGGGATTGATGCCGTTTCTGAATCAATGCTTTTTGAGGTACCGGTGGAATATACAGCAAGCCCATATTTTTTGATATTTTTTGCACAGCCCATGAGATACTTCGACGGCGCACCAAGGCAGGATCGCCTGAGGGTCGGCTTTGGGCTGACTTGTGCCTCAGCAGCAGAGACGAGTGGCGTGGCGCGGCACAACAGATGGTGCCATGCTCTTGGCACAGCCAAAAAGGCACTTTTTCAACAGCGAGACAGGGCATGCAGTCACAAACTTGAAACATGACAAGAAACCTTTAGCAACTGGAAAGAGAGAGAGAGAGAGAGAGTAATTACTGTAATATTTATATAAACACGGCTCTGCCACTCTCTCCCGCTGCACAACTGAGGCGAAACCCATTTGACACCGGGTGTGGAGCTTATCCTTGTTCCTCCATGCGTGAATTTCCGGCTGGATCAGCATCAACCATTGAATTGCTGAACTGGCTACCGTCAGAATACCCATAGAACATCATAGAACTCCGAACAACACTTATATCCTGTTCATACTGTAGCTTTCCCGATCCCTATGGCATTCCTTGCCACATGCCTTCCCGTGGGCTAGATTGAATTGCCAAACATGAGGCCACCAGATGTGAAGTGGGGTGTCATTGATCCTGTCTCGGGCAGGAGCACTTCAGTCTCATGCATAGAGAGAGAGAGAGAGAGAAGTATTGCACATGCTATTTCACACCTGTGAGGCGCAGTCGGGAGAAACAAACGAAACAACACACCTTTTTGCCATGTGGTGGATCAAGTTTTCCATGAAATCCTTCCAACAAGATGACTCCAATTGGTGCTCTCAAGATTTGTAATGTCACCCGGTCACCCCGAAGGTAGTGAACCAGACGGGTTGTGTGCCAAAACACTTGGACCCCAACAGCTGGTGGGCAAGCTGCCCCAGCCAGGAACATCACTCCTTTTCGTGGCACCCAGCCAAGCATCATCGCAAGCTTGGCACAGGAAACTTTAAGCCACTACCTCAGGGCACCGCCAACACGGAATCAACTTGAAGAAAGGATGGGTTGAAGGATGTTGGACGTTGACGGGTGGGTTCACCTTGGGGACATGGGGCACTGGTATGGCATGACCTGGGCGGGTGTTGCTCTGCCCAAGCCTTCAGGGTTGGCATTTCCAGATGCTGAATGATCTGATGACCCGGGCACAAAGAGGCTGCAGCGGTGTCAGAGCTTAACCGGCCCCGAAAAGCCCGAAACTTGCTGTGGGACAGGTCAGCAGCGGGTAAAAGTTGGTGCTGGAAGGATTTGGAAGGGTTCATGGTGCGCATCACCATTTGTAGTACGTCCACTTCTTATTGTCTTATTATCTTATCGGTCTGACGCTGAATGATATGATCTTTGAGACAAGATGACAGGAGTGCCAGCTTGGTGTGTGGGTTTGTTCGCACAGTTTAGTGCAATGTGCTGTAATGTGCTGTTTTTTTTAGCCTGCTGCCTTTTTATGTGTTCAGCTGCAGCTGTTTACCTGCTGAAACACATGATAGCCACAGCCATGCAGCATGTCGCGTTTTTTTTCATCAGAAAAAGGCCGCCAAGAATTCCATTGACATGCTGGAACAGCTATGACCAAGTCATCACAGGTCACAGATTCGCCGAGAAGGTGGTTTCTCATGACCGCTTCAGCCATGGCAGCCATGGACATTTAACCGATCTTACATGGAGATGGGTCTGCACCTTAGATCCATGGATGATCACTGGAGCTGAAGCGATCTGCTGGGTGGGTCTGAGGTAAGGATGCCGCACGGTCCTTATATCCATGCATGGAAGCAACGGAAGCAGAACCATGGGGTTTGAACATGTCAGGTTTACCAAACACATTGCATATCGTTGCATATCGTTGCATATCGTTGCATGATCTCAGTAGATATCCCTAGTTTCCTTGGGAACAGCTGGCGTTCTTCATGATCAATAGCTTGCTGGCTCAAAGACGGCCATTGGCGATGAAGCGTTTTTTTTTTGCATAAGTTTCATCTCGTTTTATGTTTCTCACATATCCATGGCGCGCTAAGTGTAGCATGGCCACAATGCTAGATTTCCTCCGCCAGCCCAAGTTCAGCAGACTGACCAGAAAGTTTCTGCCTCCTTGAAAGGTTTGCATCCCACCCTTGAAGCCCATAGCAATGATGAACTGCAGTGTCGTTGGGCTTTCGGGTGAAAGCTTGGACTTAGATGTCCCAAAGGAGTGCTTTGGCCGCAGAGAAAAGGTGTCAAATGGTGCAACGGGGCCAACACATCCCATACATGGCTTATGGGCATGGTTGACATGCCATTTTATGGTGTTGAATGATGTCAATTTTGGGGGATTTAGGACCCTGAAGTACTTGGATCAATATTTATTATTTGATATATAATATACATCATATGCACATATCTATTTATCTACATACATATTATACACATATATATGATATATTGATATGATATGTAGTTTTTTTTTAAAAGTTATCTATATCTATTTATCAATGTTTGCATTCATTCTTTGACATTCTGATGTTTGCCGACCAGAAGATTTATCCGCCTGTGGCGGCCACTGATAGGTCGAAGGTGGGTGACCTGAAGCGCCTCGTTGAGGATCTCTGGGCAGTGCCTCGGATTTGTCGGCATCTTAGATGGGTGCCCTTTGTTGACCTGCGGAGCCTGATGAATTAAGATTGAATCTATTTGAATCTATATACTATATTTACATATATTTACGAAACAATAATAGATTATATATATACACATCTTTTCAGAGAGAGAGAGAGAGAGAAAGATTGAATGATACAGTATTGACACGTGTGGTGTGTGATATAAATTTATATGATGCAAATTGCTATATTCATTTGGATCTTCAGGAATCATTGATAAATATTGATAATATACGGATAGATTTTGCGTTTTCATGGGTTTGGATTCCTGCAGGTTGCAGGGAGCTTAAACAATTGTCCTGCACGTTGAGCTGATTTCTGCACCCAGCTGAGGTCAAAAGTTGCTATGTGCTGGACACATCATGAGCGACGCCTTTCGCTGTGAAGCGTTGCCTGAGAAAGAATTGCAGCCACTGGGTTCCAAGATATATTACAAAATGAGAACAGTGGTGTTTTGCTTTATGAAGATGAAGTATGCTAGATATTGGCCGTACAATACTGCATGTATCGGTAAATTGCAGTATAGAGAGACTATTCTGTACAAAGGTCATAGCACTGAGCTTACGCTTAGGCTCGTGGTGTCCACAGAGACTCTTCACATCGCTTTGCAGTCTGCCTTGGCCGCAGAGGCTGACGATACTTTGGCTTTGCTGAATGAACCAGATTGAAAACTTGACATTTGTGTTTAAATGAAGGCATTTTATATCAATGATTTTGAATTATAGGGGAATTCAAGGCTTCTGGATGCTTGGCCACCAATGAGTGAGTTCGATTCTTGCCATCAACCGATTCCACCAATTACCGATTCGCTCACTTCGTGTCCCGATTCGCCAGGTGCTTGATCAGCTGCAGAAGTGTGCGAAGGAATGCCGCGGAGATGACGGAGTCGGGATCTCGGGTAGAACTGGTAGAAGGACGTGGCTTAAGACATGGCTTAAGACATGGCTTGAGGGCGTTTGACAAATGAGTTTCAAATGGGTTTCAAATGTTTTGAATCGATGTTTGGATAACATCGCCAGGTGTGGCCGGCAGTTGAGGCGGAGGTACTGACCTGCAATGTGTTTCTTCGGTTTCATGCCTTGATCCATTGGCATCCATTGGCACAGGTCTGGGATTGCTTGCAGACATCACCTGTGGTGGATGCTGCTGGGGTAGCCAATTCCGCAGCTGCTGTGCTGGTGGCCGCCGCTTTGGCAGCTTTGACAGCAGATGGGATGATGCAAATAGCGAGGTAACATGCTTTAATCCACCAAAGCATTCTAAAGTTGAGCTTACCAGGCTTACCAGTTTGAATCACTAGCCCAAGAGGTTTGGCAAGTGTTCTTATGCACCTAGGGATGTTCATTTAGAAGACATTGGTGTGTCTGGCATGCCAGTGGGGCCGTTCAACTCTCAGCCGAGGCGCGTCGACCCAAGACGTTGGAAGAGGTGCCGTGCTTGGGATTTTTGCTCCTGGTGTGCTGGTGACATCTGGTGACCATAAGCACAACCCAGGCCTTTGCGCGGTTGGAAGGTTCCTGCGAACGTGGAAGGCACAGGTTGCAGTGTTCATCATTTTTCATTAATGTGTCACTCTTACTTCGAGATGGTTGCATCATCCCACACCTGCAAGCGCTATTGGACAGGCTGGCCTCTGTGAAGATGCTCACAGCCATGGGCCACTCACTTGGATCTATACCGGGATATACCATGGTATACCATGATATATATGATATATATATATATATTTATATACATACAGTAGATATATTATGGTATATGTATATACCATAATCATCCATCATCCATTTGTGATCTGCGCAGTTCCTGACAACGGACGCCGAGGCGATACCAAGCACATGATGTATCTTCGAGGTCGGTTGGAAGACCTGTGCCCTTCGGTGAGAGCGGAAGCTGTCAAAGGAATCGCCTCTTTGGCACCGTTGGACCAGGGCCTTCTGTCCCTTGACGCTGCACTGTGGCACTGTGGCTCTTCCATCAGTCTCAAGGGGACTCAGATCATCCGTTCCTAATCTTCACACACCCACCGGAAACATCCAGAAACCATGGCTTAGTAGGAGAATGTAGATGAATGTAGGGGATCTACACCTTTTTTGGAGCCATTAACTATAGACAACTATAGGGATCCATTGGGTACCGAGGTTTGCCATCAGTGGCCACCTCCATGACAGCAACGTCCTGGTGCGACAGGCCGCAGTGGAAGCCATTGGCCAATTCGTCTCCGCCAGTGGCTGTAGCGAGTGCTCCAAGGACAGCCAGTGACCCAGAATTCTGCCATGCTTGGAGCGCAACATGTGTGGGTTTAGCATGGTTTTAACATGCTTAAACATCAGAAAGTCATACATCCCAAAAATTATGCACCTGAGTGAAGAAATTCCGACCACTTACTGAACTGAAGTGGGAACACAAGGTGAATGTGAGAACTTCCCTGAGAATCTGGAGTTTGCTGGCATGGCAGTCCTGGCAAGACTGCAACACCCTCAAGTGCCACATGGTTTGCAAGCGCTTGTCGTGCGTCGTTTCGCGCCACCAACCTCACACTTGCTGGTGATTTAGTAGAACATCTTGAACTAAAACAGGACAAATCAAACATCTTTGAAATTTGATGGGACCATGGTGGGACCATGTGACAATCACACCAATCGTACGCTTCAACAGTATTCCCCCAAAGTTGACATGTTTCAATCACGGGCGACTCCCAGGTCTGTAGATGACTCACCTTATTGACACATTAGAATCAACGTGTTCGTTCAGTGTTGATGGTTATGATATCACATGATGGTGGAGCCAACTGGGTACGTGATGCGGGAAAATAATGTTTGGTTAAATATGTATAATTAATAAATTTACATCAATAACAGTAACATACAGTAACAAGTCCCAGACACTTCGATGATTTAGCTCGTTTTGGCTTCAAATTTGATGTTCTTTTCACGATGGCCACCCCGTCGTGGACTAATTACAGTCAGCCACAACCACCATATCAACCACCATATCAACCGCTATCGCCATATGAACGATCCTCCATGAATATGTATATATATAGACATACATACATAATCATACATAATTACATACATAATCATACATACATAATCATACATACATAATCATACATACATACATACATACATACCATACCATACCATACCCTACCCTACCCTACCCTACCCTACCCTACCCTAAATTACATTACATTACATTACATTACATTACATACATACATACATGTAGAATCATGTAGATACAAGTAATCACACACAGACAAAAACACACAAACGCACACATACATATATATATATATGTATATACACACAAATCTCATATCTGATTGTACATGTATATGGTATATTTTTTTGCCATTCGCATCCAGCTATGTTTCTCCCCCTTCCCCCAGGTCGGTGCGAAGCTTCGTAGCTGCGGCGGTGGCCCGCGCCGTGGCCGGGGCCGCTGGAGAACTCTGCCAGCGATGCGGGGCGCGGCGCTGCAGCGCACAGGTGACAGGGGATATTGGTAGCGTTGGATTGTGACACATTGTGCGAAATAACATGACACATGACATATTATCATTAGATATCATTAGTCATTAGTGTTACATTATGATTATGATTACATTATTATTATTAACCATTGCTATTAAACCATCATTATTGTTCTATTTATAGGATCTTTTTGCGTTGTCCTGAGCATTGTCCTGTGTTATTCACCAATGAAATCCAAGCAGATTGGGCCCATTGGGCCATGCCATGGGTTGCAGGAAAAGACCTGGGCTCCACAAGCTGCGCAGCTGCTGGGAGCATGTTTCTTTGATGCGGCAGCTCCGGTGCGCCCGTGCAACGCAACACTTCTGATGAACATGGGGTTAAAAATGGGTTATATAAACATATATAAACGATGAAACGGTAGAAACATGATGAAATATGCTTGAACATCTTGAAATTTGTAATTTGTTTCTTTCCTGGTCGCTACTGTAGTCGCTATTTGTCGCTCATGTTGTTCTATGTTCGTTATATTGTTCTGATACCCTATGGATTTTGTTGAAGGTCCAAGGGGTGGCCTTGCAAGCCATCGCAGAGCTCCCGGGCGAAAAATTGACATCGCCAGAACTGCTGGCATTGAAGGCGCAGGCACAGCCAACTGGCCAACTGGCAGCTCAGAAGAAAGTTGCCTGAAATTCTGAAAGCTGACTGTGAGAGGCAGAGTTCCAATAGGATTTTAGAATATTTTAGAGCATTTGCCGATGTGACAGCATGTGACAGCTATGGCCCTGGAGGTTTTTGCGTGCCTATCCCATTCCGACGCTGGCGTGCGCATCACCGCATCACGAGCCATCACGAAGTTAGTGCCGACACTTGGCAAAAATTCATCTGAAACTGGGACAGCCAGGGGTGCTGGTAGCATTTGGTAGCGTTACATCCAACGGTCGGGTTGATTGAGTAATTGGGAAAACTAAAGACTTGTGATTGTGATCTTGTGTATATGTGGCCATGAGATGTCATGAGATTTTGAGGATAGCGTTTCTCATCAGTACTCACTTGAGAAGATGACACAATGCTTGTAGCCTAGGTTTGGTGACCACGAGGTGGCCGCAGCTTTGCGAAGCTTAGCAAAGCGCGATACCGACATCAGCTCTTTGGATGCGATTAAAAGTGCTCCAAGTGACAGAGAAATGTTTTGTTGCATTCTTCTGCAATTACGACAGGAACATGCTGGATCTAGGCCTAAACAATATATAAAAGTAGTTATAATATAATATATATATATATATTATTGTTGTTGATATTATTATTGTTATTATTATTGTTATATATTATATTATTATAATATTATTATTGTCATTATATGTTATTATCATTATTGTTATAACAATGATAATGATAATATATAGTCATAATAATAATGATAAAAATAATGATAATACTAATATTTGTTTATTATTCTTATTATATTTTATATTTTATATATTATTATTATTATTGTTGTTATTACTATTATTAATATTTATTATATATTATTGTATATTACTATATATTATTATTTATTATATTGTATATTATTATTATCATCTTTATTATTATATATTATTATTATTATCATCTTTATTATTATATATTATTATCATTATTATTACTATATATTATATATTATTCTGATTATTATATATTATTATTATATATGTATATTATTTTAATTATTATCATTATATTCTATTATTATTATTTTTTGTTTATTATTTTAGTTATCATTATTATATTCTATTTTATTATTAGTATATTTGTTATTTTATATTTTATATATTATTCTTATTTTTATTTTTATTATATATAATCATTAATATTTATAATAATGATAATAAGAATAATAATAGTGGGGGACTGAATCACATGAAAAAAACGTCTGACAGATGAGACTTTTGAAGGTTTGCTCATATTATGTAGACTAATGTTCTAGTTGGCCCTCAGCACAGTGTGGTACCTTGAGCTCTGGCAAAGGCGTGAGGACTGCAGCCAAAAATGCGCTGCCATTCATGGGCGAGGATCCCTTTTGATGCAGAAAAGGGGCAGACTGCTGACTGCTTCACAGTGTGAGCATGTTTGAGTTTGACCCAGCAACTACAAGTGCAGCTCGATTCTACAAGTCGATCAAGTCAATGTGACCCAGCGGATCCCGGTAAAATGCTAAGGTCGTCGAAGAAGCGTAAACGAGCAAAGGAGGTCCCTAGCTGACATATCGACTCTGCAGAAGATGACTATTTTTTTTCTGTTATTTTCTGTTTATATTTAACAGCCTTCGGCATTCCGCCGGCCCTCTGGCCTTTGGCCTACAGGCCCAAAGCAGGGGTTGTGTAAAGCTGGTTGGTGTAAAATTTTGGTTTGATGATGATCATCAGGATGATACTAATGATGAGGCGGAGGAGGATGATGACGATGACCATCGAGACGAGGATTGATGATGTAAGTAAGGTGAGTGCTAGTTCGCTTGAGGAAAGAGACGAGACGAGACTGGACGACACGACACTAACCAGACGAAACTAGATTAGACTACACTAGACCATTCGGCTATACTAGACAATAGTCTATTGGGGGGTTAGGGCAGCCGAAGCAAAAATCCGTTGAAGAGATAATTTCAGGTATAGCTATAGCAATAGCTACAACTGCATCTCAACTTAAGCCATCCTAATCCTATATAGCTATAGGTACAAGTAGGTCTCAACCCAAAGCTATGACAATCTATAGCTAGAGCTAGAACTAGATTTCAACCTAAAGCTAGAACAAAATCAAGCCATTGCTGGAGGTAGGGCTAGGCTAAATAAAATCTAAAGCTAGAATAAGAGCAAGGTACTGCCGTAGCTAGGACATCTAGGACTAGAACTCGAATTAAAGCTAGAACAAGATCAAACTATAACTCTAGTTGGAACTAGAATTCAATCTCAAACCAGGACAAGTTAAAGCTACTGTAGGAAGCTATTTCTAGAAGAAGCTTAAGAAGAAGTTAAATCATGTTAAATTATAAGTTATAACGCAAGCTAAGCCAGGAGATACTGTAGAACTGGGACTCAACTGAAAGGCTATACCCAGCCGGAGCAACGCACGCAAAGCAAAAATCCGCGCAGAAAAATCTATAGGAGAAGCTAAAGCTATCACAAGATATCACAAGATGTATCATAAGAACATCCACAAAGCACGACGGCACGACGGCAGGCCGGCGGATTATTTTTCTAATTCTTCTCGCCATGCTTTGTCGACTCCGAAGGCCGAGCTGGATGAGGAAAAGCCGAGAAAATCCAATTGGTTAGCTCAGCAACGCGTGGGCCTCAGCTGTTCGCGGTTGATTTTGAAGGAAGACAGTGAAAACACTGGCATCACCCAAAATGCATGTCATATCGCGATGCCTTCAGGAAAGCAAACTAAGCTTCCAAAGCTTGAAACTAGCAAGAATGGCACGGCTCTTATTCAACTTTTATTTGCGTCCCAATTGAGCAACTTTAGGCTGCAGCTGTGTGCCCGTGGCTTTTTGCAAACATGTTGAGTGGCAATGTTGCCTAAGTGTGGTCAAGTACGCACTTTTGCAACCAAAATGTAGTTGTGATACAGGCACCTATGAACGTATAGACCTTGATGAACGATGATCAAATTCTCCGATGTCGCTGGCATGCAAAGACAATTGACAGGTGATACGAAGACAGAGGCTCCAGATGCAGAGAAGCCTTTGGGCAGGACTGCCATCAGAGTTGAGGTTGCAAAAATAGAACATCCATTAAAATCCATCAGATTTGTTGCTTCCGCCTTGGAAGGAAGAAAGCCAAACGCATAGAAAAACTCCAAGCTCAGAAGGCTTGCTTTCTGCGGTGCCATCATAGCAGACCTGAGAGCTGTTTTCTGGCAAATGTCAACATCATGCTTTCGCCAAATTGGGTCCAGCTCATCTTCTATTGGTGGATCCAAGTCCATTCTCAAAATCTCTCGGCTATTTATTTTTTCATATTTTTTCCCTATATTGTTGTCGACTCAATTCCTTCTAAAGGCATCATTTACTAATTGAAGCTCTGTACTGATTGCAATTAGTCCTGACACATCCTGACTCTGACATGCAAATATGTTTTATTTAGTAATTAAATCTCTGAAAGGTATGCACTTATATGATACTTATATGTAATTAATAACATTAATCAACTACTGTTTTTCCATGTTTTTCCATGTTTTTCCTGGATCTAATATGAAGATGTCTCCAGGTGACTTGTTCTGCTCCCACGCCACAGGCCCGTGAGGCGAACAAGGCGGCAGATGCGGCCAAGAAGGCCTTCGATGAAGCCGCTGCGGCGGTGAAGGGCAAAGCCAAGGCCAAAGAGGGTGAACTCTCCAAGGCGTCGCCGGCGGCCATGGAATGCCATGGATTCCATGGATGCATCCTGGTGGAAAAAATGGCAAAGTGACGTTGCTGCAGTGCTGCATGGGCAGAAACAAATAGAAACAAATAGAAATGGTCATATATTGTCACATGCTAACTTCTTTGGCTCAGAACATTGACAGGCTGCAACCGATCTCATTGAAAAGATGCGGAAGGGAGGTGCCATTCAAGCTGTCCTATGCTCTCCTCCCGCACATACAAAGCGTTTGAAGCAGGTGCTGGGGACCAACGATTGTCGTCGCCTTGGTTTTGTTGAGTGTTGCAGACAAAGTATTATATAAGATGTGACATGCGGCTGGACTCAGCATGATGCAGGGATATCTCTCCTGAGATCATTTGAGGCTTGCAGCAGCTGCTGAGCGAATTGCAGCGGAACCCGAGAAGGACATGATGCAACTCCGCTGGTTCTTGTCGTGCCGTCCGTTTTTCCCTCCATCCATCCATTTATCAAATCGAACTAATGCCACATGTTTAAACCAAGCACGGGCTCGAGCTGCTGGGTGTGGCAATCAATGCTCTTGAAACTAAGTTGGATCCAAAAAGCCCACTTGTTTAAAAATTGGTTTTCTCGTTTTTATGGTTTTACAATATGTTCCAGTCATCGAATCCGCTGTGCACATATATGTATATATATTATATATATATATATATTAATTATATCATATTATATTTATTATACTATATTATATTATTATATTATATTATATTATACTATATTATATTATATTATATTTATTTGTTTATTTATTTATCCATGTTTGCAGGGCAGTTTATCACTCTCAGACGTATGGATTGGCATGATTGGCCCACAGGAGCTGGACCTCTTTGACATCTTCTTTCATTTGCATCGCTTGCCTCTCAGGAAGTCTGCAATGAAATTGAGGATGACTGAGGTGAGGTCATCTCAGACGCGAAGCATTCTGACCAGATCTGACCAGTCTTGTTGCAAAGATGCCGTTAACTTTTTCAAAAAAAGAGGGTGTGGTGTGTTGTTCCCCGGACACTTGATCCAGCGCAAGGCGTTGGCGACCAAGAGATCAAGTACATGGCCCTGCTTTCTGCTATCGCAGTCTTCAAAGATTTAGTTCCAGGCTCTGGAATCAGCCTTGGTTGAGCCCAAAATTGGGTACAAGCCCAATGTGCCTGCAAAAACTCGCGTCGTGTTTTGCATTATGATGCTCATTCACAAAATCACACATAATCACACACAAGATCACACAATATATCGTTATAATATCAATAACGTCGCAATACTTGCTAACTTTCAGGTTTGCAACCTTGGTTGAACGAGTGTGAGATCTTCTTCGTGCATTGTGAATTTGATAAATGGTCATGCGCCACAATGTCCTCAGCCATTTTGGCTGGAGGCTTGGCTGGGTTCACCGCAGTCTGGGGTTCAGTGCACCCTGCGGGTTCCACTGTTTCGACTGTGATGCTGCAGCAATGACTGCCGAGACCAAAGGGTCCGCAGTGTCACGCAGAGACCTCTTAGTTCAGCAGCTCTTAGAGGAGCGTCGTCAACGGCTGCAGCAGAAGTTGGCTGCAGGGCCTGTTCAAGAGGAAAGGGAAAGAGAGGAAACAGCGCTGGAGCATCTGGAGCCGCTAGAATGCAGCTTCAACAGCTTCAACAGCCAAGAGAATTTGAGCCCCAAGCGCAATGTCAGGACTTTTGCTGAAAAGGACTTTCGGCCTATGGAACCCAGAGATGATGGTTTCCTGACCTCGGTCCTGGCGCGTTTGAAGGCTGCTGAGGCTGAACTTCAGCCTCCACCCGTGCCGGAGCCTGTTGCCACTGCCACTGTGCCAAAGGCAGCTCGCCCTCGATCCGCACCCACCAGGGCAGCCAAGGCTAGGGCAGCCAGAGGCGAGACCGAGAAGATCGGCACCAAGGTGTCCAAGCCTTCCAACGCCACCCCAACCAAGGCCCAGCCCAGGGAACCACAGAGCGCAAAGAGTGAGAAGCACAGTGCTTCCAGAAGGAACAGCTCTGTGGAGGGATCTTTCCAGCAACGTTTGCAAAAATGGCAACTGCAGCATCAAGCCTCCAAAGAGAAGCAAATGCAGGCAAAACAGGAAAAAGAGATGGAAGAACTGGGGGAATGCACCTTTCAGCCTTCAATCAACAGCCGCTCCGATTTTTATGCTCGCCGCTCGCGGGGTTGCTTTGCAGAAGCACTGCCCGAGCGGTTGTACCATGAAGCGGACAAGAGGACTAACCTCCGCAACAAGGCGAAAGAGATCATGGAGGCAGATGCTCTTTGCTCCTACACATTTCAGCCCAAAATCAATGAAAACAGCAAAGGCAGCATTGGTCAACGTGCTCCATTGCACCTTCGCATAGAGACTTTGAACAAAAAACGTGAAGATCGAGTTCGCTCTGCCCAATTGGCTCAGGAGAAAAGCGCCGAGCACTTTTTTCAACCAAAAATTTCCAACCGCAGCGAGCGGCTTGTCCAACGGAAGCGTGACATGCTGTACAGGTCAGCTTCCCATGGGCAGGTGGAGTGTTTAAAGCAGCTGGGCCCAGTGGAGGAACGGCTCTATGCCGAAGCTCAGGAGAAAGAGCAGCGCCGTGCTGCACTCCAAGAGTTTCACAACGAGGAATTGCAGTCTTTCCCGAGTGTAGATGATACCTCAAGGAGAATTTGCAAAGCCTCTGTTTACTTCCAAGGGCCTCAGCAAGACTTCCTCACTCGACAGGAAACCTTTGAGCTGGCCAAACAGAAGCGAATGGATGTGCGTGCTCAGCACTTGGAAACTGAATGCTCCTTTCAGCCCAAGATCACCGAGACCAGCCGTCAGTTGGTTTCTGGACGCTTTTTGGTAAGTTGTTCTATTGTTGTTTCATGTTTCCTTTGAAAGCCCGTGGAGTTCGCAAGAATTATTGAGCCCGAAGCAGACGTTTGTATAAAGTGAGATGAGCCACTCTCCCCGGTGTGATGCCCATGAAGCGACTGTCCAGGAAAATCCCATGTGTTGATCAGTTCAGTATAGATAGTATATGATAGAATAGTAGGATACAGGATGGATACAGGATACACCCCTTGTGTGCCCTTATAGAATCCAACTAGGAGCGGACATTGTATTTGATAATAAGATCTCATAAGGTATACATATAATTGGGACATCACGAGACATGCAAAGCGCCATTTCCTATTATAATCATATAGACGGGATATGTCTAATATATACCGATACCCCTTTATTATCCTTTATTCTTGTTGCTCATCGGTATAGCCCATGTGATAACATCATGATGACATCATGGCAGTCATGGGGGCCCCATTTGGGGACCCCAGGTCTGTAACAACGTGGAGCTGCTGGGCGAAACCTTGGACGAACGCATCCACCGCCTGGCGGTGCGCGATGCCGAGCGGCGGGAACAGCTGAGACAGGACTTGGAAGAACTGCATCACAAGGACCGGGCCGGTGCCGTTGATGCCATGGCGATGCCAAACAAAAATGGGCGGTTGGAAAGGTGTCCTCCAAAAAACGATGGATTTTAGTGTAGTTTTTTTTGTTTCAAGTTGTTGGGGTTAAACAATGTCAAAGATCTAGGCAATTCTGGTAGGTCTGGCCTATGATTTGTTTTGGGACAGCGATCCCTTCCCAAATCATCCCAAATCTGGTTTTGACCCATGGTTTGGGCACTGGGAATTGCAAAACCATTGAGAAATAATTCCCTGCCTTCCCTGCAATGGTATAAAAAAATTGCATAAGGACCACCCCAAAAGAATTTTGTGGAATGCAGAATTCTTGGGATTTCATTGGGGATGGTTAGTAATGGGGATGGGATTCAGGTGAGTTGCATGCTGGGAACGATGTGAAGGTGGGGTCAGGGAATAGGTTTGGACCCTGCAAGGACTACACCTTCAAGCCGGAAATCAACCCTGTCTCTCAGGTGCTGGCTGCACGCTTGGACAGCTCCAATGGCGACGCACATGAACGGCTCTACCGGTCCGGTCTGTCCAAGAGTCAGAGAGACGATTCCATCAGATCTGATTGCAGTTTCAGGCCCCAACTGGATCCTCGTAGCTCCAAACGCTTTGCACATGTGAAGTCGCGTTATGCGAAGAGGCCAGATTTGATGGAAAACATCCGTCAGGAGCAGGAGAAGAAGGCTGAATATCTACTCGAAAGACGGCGTGAGCTGGAGGAAGAGCGAAATGCAGATTGCACCTTTACACCTTCGGTCACTGAAGGCTTCCAAGATATCCAAAGACCTGTAGCAGTCAGTGGTCTTGATCGGTTCTTTGAGCTTAAGACCTTGGCATTGAAGAAGCAGCAGGAGCAGATGGAGAGGGAGCAGAAGGTTTTCCGACCCGAAAGTGTAGCGCATCAAGGCCTCAGTGTCACAGTTCCGGAGCCCTTCCAACTCGGGAAGTTCGCAGATGACCTGAGACAATGAGGTGATGCTGGAGGTTTTCGTGATTTCATGGACCCTTGCAGGGATGTGTTCGACCCACAAAAGTGGACCTTTTGGATATGATGTGAATTCGTTGGCTGAAGGCTTTCCTTCAACCCTTGCAACTCAACAGAGCAAAGGGTAGTTAGAAAAATGTTGAAAAGGCAGACAGGCCCTTTGGTCAATGCAGAAGCGCCAGCTGTAGTTTCCAGTGCCGCACTCGCGGTGTTGAGAAGTCAAGCTTAGCAGCTAAGTCAAGCTAGGTAATTCCGCTGACCATAGATGTATCGATACTGCTTAAAACATCTTAAAACATGGCACCTCAGAGGGCACATTGGCACAATTTGGCACACTTGTGAGGCTACCGTATCAGGGAGCCCACTGAGCAGGAGAAGGCACAGGCTCGGTCCAAGTGTGAGGCCCCAGCCATTACTGTGACTAATTCTGACTACTTGAAGAGTGATGATGCTAAAAGACAGCATGTTATCATAGTTGACTAAAGTGTTATATAATTATATTTTTATATGTCTTGAAGGTTCTTGAAGCATAGTCATTTCAGGTCATTCCAACAGCAGAAAATTGAGAGAGAGAGAGAGGGACTACTGTGTGTCACAAATGTGACTCAGAGTCAGGTCAGTCCTGACTTTGGAGCGCTACGAGCTGAAGCTGTTGCAGACTTACAGGCGCTTGCTACCTGACATGGAGGCCACCGGAATGCCAGCTGATCGTGCTGGGCAGCATGCTGTAGGCACCCTTTATTGCCTGTTCTGTAGAATCCTGAGGTGAAATTGAGCATGTCCACTATGGAATGCTTGTGGCTGCCATGCGGTTGCAACTTTGGGCTGAACAGCTTCAATACACACTGGATATACGTGTGTCAAGGATGCCATTGGACAGGAGGCAAGGTGTGATACTTACTACATATTATATATTACAAGACCACGAGACCCCCGCAGGAAATCCGAAAGACTGACGTTTTCAGGTAATGATCAGGCCGGATCCTTGTTCTAGAGACATGTTTGTCCCTTCATGGTTCTTCAGAACAAAGGCAATCCAAAGTCACAAAAAATAAGAGGAACATCCACGTCCTAGAACTGCGCCAATGGATCGCATACCTTTCACAACTTCTGTGTGCATTGGTTGCTTGGCGATTTGACACATTTTGACACAGGCCTTTACAAAAGTGGATCTCTGTGGTTGATTTATGCTGCCCAAACTGAGCTGTTTTCGGTTCGTCCCACCTGGAGCTGAGGCGCTAAGGTCACTGATGGGTTGGGTGCTTGAGGTGCTAAGCATCTTGGCAGATTAATAAAGATCCAAGTCATCCAAAACCAGCAGTCAGTGCATAATACTGGGTCCAGAATATGACAATTAATTACTTGCAATTACTATATTGACTATATCATATATATGACATTATATGACTATATGATATGTATGGTAGTATATATGTATATATAATATATATGTGTGTGTGTTCAAGACAATGCATTATGAAATTTGCATAGCAACTAGTTGGTCCAGTGCCAGCATGCCCAGCATGCCAGCGCTTTTTGCCGAGGCCAAACAAGCAACGTGGTCACTGCTTCATTGCTGTTACCAGGCACTTCTCAGGTGGGCCGGGCGCAGACGGCGCAAATCCGCTCCACCCATCAGTCCCTTGGAAAAAAAAAAACAGATGAATTGTGATATCATGAGATATCTTTGATCACAAGAATTCAGATCAAATGATCAAATGCGATATCTTTGATATCTTTTGATAATATGCTAATTATTCAACTTATCAGACATATCAAATTTAAATTTGATTGATGCATTGGGTGATTTGCTCTTAGAGCCATGGAAGTACCAACTTCGGTTGTTTTGATCCAGTGTTGCGGTGTTGGGTTTGTTGCAAAACTTAACTGTTTGCCCGCACACTTGCGGACAAATCCCTGGACTTGTTATGACTTGATGGAAGCAGATTGAAATCTTTGGGTGTTCTTTCGGAAGTTGAAACTGACAAGAAACTCCAACAGCAGCAGCATGTTGTTTGCCACGGAGTTGCCCGGCGAAGGTCCGTCTCACGTGTCCATGCTGAAGTTGTGGTTGAACCCACGCAAGGCTTGGTGAAATTGGGTGAATCAAATGATATCAGTGGCTTCATGTTGTTTCTTTCATACTGTTTCCGGTCAATAAATGGAGGTGTCCATAGGTGTCCTAAAATGGTGGTAACCCCAAATCATACATTGAAAATCATGTTAATTAATTAATAGGATTTGCCATGAAATAAACCATCCAGCTGGGGTAACCCCATTTAAGGAACAACATGGAACAACCCCATTTAACGCCAGGCACTTTGGCGGAGGTGCTGCCCTTGAAGGTGTCCATTGTCGATCGCAGTTCCACGGGGCACACTTTCGTCAATGATCAGCAGCCTGGCAAGGGCAATGTCATGAAGCTCTCCGCTGGTGATGTGCCACAGCTTCACTTTTTGCGTCAACGATCCGCAACAGATCAAAAGATTTGACATGAACAAGTGCGCAGGTGAACTCCCGTGTATGTTTTTTTACCTTTGCTGCTGGATGATCTGGATGTTTGATTGATTAAATCTGATGAACTCGGTTGTGATGTACTTTCCCTTTCACCGGTTAGGCATTGGAGTAATGCATCGGTTGAAGGAGAACAATGCTCTGAGGTGCTTCACTTTGGCGTGGAACCCTTGAGGTATACTTTGTCCCTTATCGGCACTGTATGCCAGGTAGGAGCCAGCAGTCAAGTCCATTGCTTGGACAAAGCATGAGCACAGAGATTCCACAGTCTGAAATGTTCGCCCAATTTGTTCCGAGTTGTTCCATGTGTTTTGGGCCAAGACAAGTGCCTCAATTCCCCATCGCTGCATTGGCAGGGAGTATTGCACGACGTCCCAGGTGCCAGAAAGCTCCAGCAAGTCTCATCTAACACTATCACCACAGGACCATATATAATCATCAATCATCAATATATATCAAGTTATATCAATCGTCAGTCATTAGTTATTAGATGTTATTAGTTATTAGATATGAGTTCTCATGATCATAACCGGTGGAACACCATTGCGTCAACTGAGGCGCTGGAGACCGATGCTGCTGAGCATCTCCAGCCGTTTGTCCGCGGAAGAGCTCCAAAGCCTGGACGAAAAGGCGCGCAAAGCTGGGCTGTGACCTGGCGTCGCAGAAAGGCTGTGGCTGTCAGATCTGTCAGGACTTGGTAATGGATTGGTAATATGGTAGGTGGAGATAGGTGGAGCAAATGCTGGGTAAAAACCATATGGTGAATTGGTATCGGATAGGCAAATGTCCATGTTAGATTTGGAACAACCCACAAATGTTGTTCAGAGAACGCGGACACTTAGCATGCAGGGAACTCAGCTTTGTACACAGAAAAGTGACCGTGATTTCGATGCCAGTCTCACGTTCTTCTAGTGAAGTTCTGCCAAATTTGATTTTCAGCATGAAGGGTTTTCACGTTTTTTTTTGGGGGGGGAGGGCGTTTTCAGAGCATCATCCAGAGTCTATAAAGTTCCAGCGCATCCAAGGTTTTTGACACCGGATTGGACCGCCCAATGCACGCATTTGCTCTTGGAACAGTTTGCCATCACGCCAAAACTGCTGTGCTGCATCATCGATGGGGCGTCGCTTGGCCCAAAACATCTGGCTTTGGCATCGCGTCCCTGGTGTGGTTTCACCATGTTTCAGCAGCATCAAAGCGAACCATTGGAGAACCATCGGAATATCTTGGAAGATTATTGGACAACCATTGGATAACCATCAAATGTCATTGGATAACCATTGGATAACCATTGGATAACCACTTGTGACATTTTGATACATCTTCTGACTGTGCTGACCCGCCAGATGACTTCGAGGTCACCAGTATCCATGGCCTTCCTGTCAGAGCTGCTGAAGCGTGCCAACGAGAGCAGCGAGTGCCCGGCCAGAAATTCTTGGGAATTCCTTGGGACTGCCGTGCTTTGGAGCAGTTCTGTGTCATTGATGAGCCGCTCGTGAAGTGAATTCTGGGCATCAAACGAGGCTAAGCGCCGCACCTTTGCCAGCGGACTTTGCACCAAAGGCTGCGATAGGTGGGAAGCCAGTCTGAACAACCAGCATTATATCAGTAGTGACTGACCTGCACCATTTGACATCCAAGATTCGTACAGCCTCAACTTGCAGCTGGCGTTTCTGCATACTCGCAGCGATACCTATATATACCTATATAATATTATATAATCCTATATATACATGTGCCTAGCTGGTACACATATTAAATCATATTTACCAGCTAGGCGCATGGTTTGCCTGTGTCCTTAAATGAGCCACAGCCTCAGCCACTGTCACCGTTCCAGGCCCGGACGCTGCGTACAACTCCGAATTGGATGCGTACGTGAAGGCGCCACGGCCACGCCGAGAGCTTCTCCGAGGTGGGCATGCTCAGTGAATCATCAGCATGGCTTGGAAAATGTATGAATGAACATAATGTATGAACATAATGTATGAACATGCTGTATGCAGTAAGGAGTTCCAAGGTTCAAGTCAGGTGAAACACATCAGACTTCTGGGGATAGAGACACGTTGCTTTGTTTGAACTCTTTGAATCCTGTGTTTTCGGATGTTTTCGGAAGGTATTTGGGTGATCTTCAGCGCCAAGGCTATCTATGACACCTTGTCAGTAGCTCTCTCAAGTGCTGGCTCGCCAGTACAGATCCTCACACAGGATCAATCTGCGGCGTCAGTCCTTCAAGATCTCAAGAAGGCTGCAGCAAAGGCTATGCCGCAGGAGGTCAGCTGAAACACTTTGGTTAGAGTGACAGCGATCCGTTCTGCTTAGACAATGGGGCTCAGTCTGGAGTGTTGATGTTCATGTTCATTCTCATTCATTCTCCGTTGACGTCGATGGTTGGACATTGACATGGATGTGACATGGTGCAGGTGCACCAGGTGTCCCATTCAGCCATTCCTCCATATTCCAGCATCTCCAGCACCATGTCACAGCATGTCACAGCATGTAACCGCCCCTTTGCTCACCAGGTGTGGATTATCCCAACGTTACCTCCGGGCCTTGGAGCTGTGCTTTCGAAGCCTTTGTCCGAGTTGAGATGTGCTTGCCGGATAGTGGGTCAGGAGGCGCCCCCGGAGGTCGACGCAGGGAGTTGCATTGTCTATATTCAATTGAATATTATTTGATATTGTGTATTATATATATAATATTGATATTATGATTATTATGTACAGTTGTAATCAGAGTTGTTGACTGTGATAATTATTGCATTGGATAATGAGCATGACTCTTGGATTTCTGATGATTTCTGACTCCTGTGAAATTAGTTGCTCTTTTCGGCGGTTTCGGAGCACGTGTTTGCTTTGTGTTTGCATGTGCCACTTCTTGTACACAGGTCAGGGTCAGTTGTTTTTGTGCATACATGTTTGAATTGAGAGAGAGAGAGAGACACACACACACAAACACATTCTCGTAGCATCGCAAGGTCGAGCATTCTGGAACATGATGTCAATTCATAATATGTTATAAAATGTTATAAAGTATATTCAGTTTGAGAGTTATAGATATGTTGTACATGAAGGACGGTATATGCTGTGTGCCCCACTATGCCCCACTATGCCCCACTAAAGTGATAAGTGATATAATGATTTTCCTTGACAAAGAGGAAGAGCATGTACGATCATATACGTTTTTGATCGAGGACCAGCAACATGTGGGAGAAAAAGGGGAAAAAATGAAAAGCAGGAAGAGATGGCACTTCTCCCGCGGTTTCAAGATGAATGATACCTCAATGTCCGTAATTGGTATCTTGGCCAACTGTTTTAAAAAAGCAGCTATACAGCCTGTTACAGCTATAGCACGCAAGATTTTACTAATTACTAAGGTTACTAAGCTCTTTTTTCCTCCAGACATGGCTTACCTGGCTTTCTTTTTCTCAGGCCCTGGTGGGTGCCATCCTTTCCGGCAGCATCCGCGGCATCCGGGAAACGGCCCAGCTGCTGCCCAAATCGGAGCTCGCCGCGGAGACCTTCCCCGAGACGCAGCCGACGCACCCGACGCACCCGATGCAACCGGCGGAGGTCAGCCAGAGCCAACCGCGGAAACGACAATTGCCCTGGGATGCCCGGTACCATTGGGGGCACATGGGGGCACCACGGGTTGTGATTGGGTTGTGGCGTTTATGGATGGTTATGGCAGTTATGGCTGATGGCTAGTTATCTCATGTTGTGTCCTAATTTGAGATGAAGGAGGGGTTAAGGCTGGGTTGAAATGTATCATTGGCATATGGAGGCAGTGCAGGTGGTGATGTCATTGAAATTAGAACTCAGGAGAAGGCTTCGATGCAAGTGAAGGAGGACCGGAGTGGGTGAGAGCCTGGCAGGTAGCACAGTGGGGTGCAGGTGTCAGATTACATTGGATCTATCAATTATCCATATCAATCCATGTGAGCAGAAGCATTTCCGGCAGATTTGGACTTGTTGGCGCAAGAAAGTTTTCAGGAGAGCTTTCCAAATACATTGCAAGAAGTGCCCAGCAGCTTGTACTGCAAAATAATTTTACGTATATTCTATTTGGCGTTATTGGTTTATTGATGTTATTGGTTGATTGTTTTGTTTGATGTTCTCTGTATTCATGTACTTTTGGGATCTAGCTGTGAGATGCGTCGATTTTGTCTTCCACCCTGCTCAATGCTGAGGTGAACCATCAGCGCCAGCACCACCTCCCAACAAGGTCAAGATGGAGCTGGAGGAGTTTGCCGGAGATTGGGGATTAGCTTCGTGAAGTCCCTATCCAAGCTGGCATTTATTTCCTGTTAAATGAGGGGCTGATTCTGAACCTTAAGGGGCGTTACGGCGACAACAGTTTCCTGCGCAGGACAAAGATCCATCAGGGAAGGCGCAGCCGCATGGTGGTTCTCTGCGTTCTCTTCCATCCCAAGGTGCCCAAATTCAAAAGGCATCAGAGCAGCGTTCCCCGCCGCCGAAGGCTGCTTCCCCAGGACGGATCATGCTGTCTTTACAGCAGGATCAAAGCAAATCAACAGATCGAAAGAACGCAAAATCAGAAATCCTGATTGATGTTTGATTAGCCACCCCATCATGTACCCATCCTGTACTCATCCTGAACCCTCGAGGACCTTCACAGCCAGCGCAAGCTCCACGGGCTGCTTCTCTGCGCCAGACTCTGCAACCTCTTGCAGCCCTTAGCCAGCGAGAAAGTCCAAGGGTAGAGGTCAGCGGTCAGCATTGTTTTTGGACTCCGGCTGGATTCATAAATAGATCAAGATATATCATGATATATCAAGATAAGGTGACCCAGGGACTTGTCAGATGTAGCATGTATAAATAAGTACATGTCTAACATGAATAAGATTCCATACATGTGTAATTGTGTATTTACTTATATATACACGTTGTTGTTATGCTTTGTTTGATCCTCTTGGCAGGCAAGCCTGCAGATGCAAAGTCCTGCGATGCCCACTCAGCCTAAGATTGAGGAGAAGGACTTTGGACGGCGTTGAATGTGCAATGTTCTGAGGCGTTCCATCCTGGTACAAATTCCTGGTACTTGTATTGTTGGCCTTATATTGGCCTTGAACGGGACAAGTAGCCATACAAAATGTTGGGATACTGTTGGGTAGACGGGGGGGTTTGCCCAAACTTCATTTGTTTTCGTGGGGTTTGGTGGGTGGGGTGGGGTGGGGTGGGGTAGGGGGGTGGGGTGTAATAACGTTCTAACGACTCTTATCTTCTAGCATGCTGCGCTGACGACCCTTGTCCACTAGCATGCTACGTTTACATGTTTTTTCCTCAAATGACATTTAAAGATCAGAAGACCATGATGATGAACATTGTCGAGCTCATCAAGAAGGCGCTCAGCTTCGGGCAAACCCCCCCGTCTACCCAAAATGTTGTTTCTTGGATTCCATCCATGTGGCAGCTCATTTTCAGTTGGAGGATCACAGTCTTGTTGAATCTTGTTGATATTTATTTATGGCTATCCTGGCTATCTATGATTTATTAAATTTATGTCGCTTCATCTTCCAGCTTGGGAGACAGTTTTTGTGCAGCAAAATGGCCACCCCGGCAGGAGGACAAGGTGAACTTTGGCACCGTCAACTCTTCGGCACCCTCCCTTCCACGGCCGCAGCCAGAAGTGAAAGCGGAGGAGTCATGGGAACTTTGTCTTGGAATGTCTTGGAACTGGTGGGTAAGTTTCAAAGTGTTTCAAACAGTGTTTCAATAAACAGGTGTCTTTTTCTTGTACCTACTATGCTAAACAAAATGTGATAATTATGCAGCCTTCCTTCCAATTGACATTTATACCTTTCAATAGGGTTTGAACCCATCAACCAGGGTCTTGATCTCGCCAGGAGCCGGCTCCAGATTTGACGCGGGAGGTTCCAGTGCATCCAACGAACACTTGGTTACCACAATTGGCACAGAAGAGTGGGCGCGGCCTCGTTTTGGATGGAGACTTGGCCAATATCAGCCGTGATGGTAGGTTCTAATTGGATGATACAGTAATTACTTATGTTGATTTAAACATCATAGTAGTTTCATGTAGTTTCTAATTTATCAATGTTTATCATAAATATAGTTTCTCATCTAATATAATATACTGTATTTGATTGTATTTGCGAGATGATAATTCCATCTCGCCTCCGGCACAGCTCGGGCAGGGAGACCTGATGGTGATGGAAAGAGAGAGAGAGAGAGGCGATGATAAATGCAATTAGATGATAATTGATCATGGTAGGCCAATGACTGTATCTACTATGTTGGTATGATAATGGAAAATGATGAGAGAATAGATAGTAGGACTGTACCAATATACAACTACTTGGGTGACAATGGATGACAATGGGATGTAAATGACAATGATCACGGATGAACATGAGAACTGATGGGTACATCATGGTACTGTAGGTCGGGTATGGCCGTTTGTCGAGCGACTCTGTTGACCCGATGACTGATGGTTATATTCATGTAAATTGTGTTTTTGCCCATATATATAATATATATATATACACATACACATGCATGTATGTTATTTCAATATATACAGTATATATATATATATTGTGCGCGTGTGATCCGCCAAAGATTATATATCACTCACAATCCAATATCCATCAACCATCAACTCCAGGTGTTGAATTGCCTCGGGCCACGTGGTTTACAACCACCAAGCGCCGGCCAGAGACTGCTGCGCCCGAAGCCAATGGCAAGCCCAACTTCAAACGTTTTCGCAAAGCTCAACGCCATGGCCCAAGTTCAACAACTCTTCACATGGGTTTGTCCAGAAATAGAGTAGAATTCGCGGAAGAATGCCATTTGAAAGGGGGTGATGATAAAACCACTGGATTTGGGGTTCTTTTCTCAAACCAACTATGACCAAATTGACCAAGTATCATATCATTTTGGCAGATTCCTCTTCCTTTCAGATGTCAGGCTCGCAAGATCGACCTTTTGTGGAGTTCGTGCCATGGGCACCTGCTGTGGGCGGTTTGGACCTCTTCTCTTCGGAGCCGACTTTGGAAACTGAGAGCCAGATCCCGCGCTTGGCCATGTGAATACTGGTTGAGCAGGGATCTATGGGGCTAGATTTAGACGGGTCTTAAGATTTATGTAAGCTACATAAGGTGAACCATGCGGCCTTTAAAAAAACTTTTGACAGAGGATAAATGTATAATACAAATAACAAGTCTCAATTGTTAGGTGTTCATTGGGTGGAATTTCAACAACATAGAGAAAATTGGAGAAGCTTCAGTGGTCTGGCCGGCAGCTGCGTCACCCAACTGTACAGGTAGATCGCAGTTTTCGCCAGAGTTCGTTTGCTGCTTGTGATGGATGAATTGCATTTGAGCCAATAGGCCACCAACGATGCAAGCAGCTTCCTGCGACTTGGGTACACTTTAGGGGTTAGAGCAGGAGTCGGAAAAAGAGTAGCCGTTGACACACGAGTTGTCATCAAATTCAATGCCAAGATGTGCAAGCAGCCACTTGTAAGATCGCAGTTTAGGCATGGCTCGTGAAATCCGATGGATTAACTAGAGATCAGTTTAGCTGTGGCTGAGCCAGGCTGCCATGCGCAAAGTGCCTCAAGTGGTGTCACCTGCTTTGGCAGAGCTTGTGAAGGCTGCTACACGGTGATTCAGCCGATTTTGTCACTGTATTTTCACAGCCTTGCAGGGCGAGCACTACTGTATCTAATACCATCTACTTCCCTACCTGCGCCATGCTGCGTCATGCTGCGCCATGCATGTTGCGTCCTTCACTTTGATTCATGATAACTTGGGATTGGTCGTTTCTATTGTATTGTTTCCAGGCCGCCTTTGACTTCAACTACAGGCAGAGGCTGATCGGAACAGCAATCAGGCGGGGTGAGGGTCACACGTACATACGTTCCAGTCTGGGTTCTGGCCCAGCCTGTCCTTCAACTCTGACACCACGCTTGTCATTTTCCAGGCATGCAAACAGTCCAGAAGCTGACGTTCGTGGACCGCTGGTTATGGGCTTGCAGGACTCGCATTGTGGCTGACCCAGTCATTGGAGGAGCTCTTGATATCCTGATATCCCTTGCTTTCCAGGAGATGTTGGAGTCTGACCAGCGCTTGGAGGTGAGGTGATGTGTCCATGACCAGTCTGACTGTTTCATGTCATTTGCTTGCCTCAGGACGTCAGGGACCAGGGTGACCAGGTTAAAGAGATTTAAAAGTTGGCAGGCCAAAAACATGCAAAATCAATGTGGAACCATCGTATGCCGCAGGCTGCGAAGGAAGCAGTGCTGGCGATTGGCAAAATGGCTCAAGCCATGGCCGGCAAAAATGCTAAGGCTAGAATATTCAAAATACAAGCCACATTTCTACGCGATCCACTGGCTCCTGCAGATATCCATCAAACTTAAAGATCTTAAAGCATCTTAAAGTATCCGACTAAAGCCACTGGACAAACATTTGTAATTAGTTCTGCGTTTGGATTCTGCAACTGCAACGAGATTCTACGCCCACTGGCACCGCACCAGGACACCCGAGACATTCTACGACCTGAACTGTTGCAGGCTGCATGTCGCTGGGTAAGGTGGAGGTTTGGCGTGATGAGACGGTGAGTCTTGGACAATTCCATGAATTCTTGATGGTTCTTCGGTGCCGCTTCATGATTCCTTGTTCGTTGCCAATAGCGGGAAGAAGAATCCCATGGACCCAATCATTTTTTTTTAATATTGGAAGTCCATGGAAGACCCGAAAAAAGTATGAGACATAGATATGTGGATACATGTGGATCCCATGGGTCCCCAACATAGCTACTGTAAAGATAGAATCATGTCAGTCACGTTCGCTGGAAGATATAGATATAGAGTGTTGAAAGGTGCAAGTGGCACATGGTGCAGGTGCTATTGCGCTTGCCGGTGGGTCGTGCTGATGCAGCGGAGCTTTCCGGACCTACAGGTGCAGCCAGCAGTGTGTTGATATGCTGGGGCACCACAACTGATTCCAGCTGAGTTGGACATTCAAGAAAAACACAACTTCATACCATGTCTGGCAGGCTGTTCATTTGGGATTTTGCTTCGAAGGGGTTTTACTGCTGACCATTGAAATCAATCAATAGCCTTTTCATGCCTTTTCAAATTACAATAATATTAATATTGGTATATTGGAATTCATGCGGTTCTTCTGTGAAAGGTCTGAGATGTGTTCGTCATGGGATATAGCTAATCATCACCTATCTCTTGGAATGGAGACGTCCGTTTCTTTGGCATTTCTGATTATCCTTTTGGATTTCGAGCATCAGCGATGAGGTGATTTGTCTACAGCTGATGATGATGTGAAGCGTGGGTTGGAAGAGGTCCGTGCATGTTTCTTTCGCCGATGGTGTGGCAAGATGTGAGCGGGCTGGCGCCTATGGTATCATAAAATATATAAGAGATCTGGCGAAATGGTGGTACTAGACAAATAAAACATGTAGAAGTAGAAGATTTGAGACATTTGGAGACTTTGATTTGGAGTGTTGGAGATCCTTTTGCAGTACAGTACTTTTTCACTAATTACATTTTTCAGTATGACTGTGTTTTCTTGATTTTGGCTTCAGCTGATGACGGACTCAGCTTGCAGCATGAGGTTGTTCAATACTTTCTGTGATTGTTTTATACATACTGTTGCTATGTTGGAAGGCCTCAAGTTTCAGCTGTCTCCTGCTGTCTCGCAGCTGTCTCCCAGCTGTCTCCAGGCTTCTATCACACTGAGTGCCAAAGAGCTCCGAAAGAGGGAAGCCGAACTGCTGTATGAGGCCATGGCAAGAGCCTGCCAGCTAAAAATGCTAAAAGGATTCAATGGGGAAAAGGTTGTGAATGTTGGACAGATGATTGGAACTTGGAACTTCTAGTTCTTGTTCACTTCGTTGAGTTGTCATGGGTCCGGACAGTTCCGTCAGCTCTCTAAAGCACCTTTTGGATTCTTTTGGCACAAGGTGTTTGTTGTGTACTTGCGCATCATGCGGCAGCGGCATTTGCACGGACGAATCCTCAGAACACATGGGAATGAGATGATGCGTGTTAGTTCCTCGGTGTAGAGCTGTAGGAACTGCACTGTGGGAACTGAATGAGCGTAGCAGCTACGTGGTGACCACACGTATCTTGCCAGGCCGTGATTTAATGGGCGCAGTGCTGACCGGACTTGCGAGATGGGGACAGCAGGCAGGACATTGAGCAAAAGAGCGGGTGGCACTGAACAGATCTCAACAGCTGGGCTAAGATTCCCAGTGTCAATTGATAAACTTTGATAAGAATCTGTAACAGTCTGCAAGATTCATCTAGATCCTTAAGTAATTTCTTGTCAAACAGTCAGGTGTAAAGCGGTAGCTGGAGGGCTTTGTCAACACTTCACCTCATGTTTTGTTTTTCCATATCATTGTTTCATTGCAAACTAACAGCAATATTAATAATAATTATTGTTATTATTATTAACCATCATCATCATCATCATCATCATCATCATCATCATCCTCATCCTCATCACCATTATCCGTCTCCATCGTCATAATCCATCCATCATCATCCATCCATCCATCATCATCCATCCGTCCATCATCATCATCCATCCATCGTCCATCGTCATCATCATCATCATCCCATCCATCACATCGTCCATCATCGTCATCATCTCATCATCATCATCGTCCATCATCGTCCATCATCATCCATCCATTCCATCCATCATCCCATCCATTCATCATCCATCCGTCCATCATCATCCATCCATCCCATCCATCCCATCCCATCCCATCCCATCCCATCCATCCATCCATCCATCCATCCATCATTCCATCATTCCATCATTCCATCATTCCATCATTCATCATCATTCCATCATTCCATCATTCCATCATTCCATCATTCCATCATTCCATCATTCCATCATTCTATCATTCCATCATTCCATCATCTTCTTATTCTGGAAGATCTTCCAGACGTGCCCTTAGAGGTGAATGTGGAACTACTTTTGGAGATCCTCTCAGAGCTTCGGGTCGTTGTGAAGGCCGGACCGGGTGGATCCGGGTGGTGCCCCTGAGGTCAATCCGGATGTCATGGGGCCAGGATGCCATCGCTCGCTCAGATGAGTTTGTTGCTTTGCATGGCCTGCACCTGAGCAAACGATTTGTCATCCGAGCTCATCAGTTGGTGCTGTCAACGATTTGTTGAAACCATGTTTTATGGTTTGTTGGATTGGTTGAAACCACTAACGAGTCGACCAAGGTCTGAACTGTGCCTTGGTACTACTCAGTGGGCCTTCACAGGACAGGTAGCATTCCACGTTGCGGGAGCAATGGTGCCATGACATGGCGTAGCAGGCGTAGCAGATTCCAGGAGGTTCCAGGAGGGATACAATGCCCAGCTAAGACTTAACCTATTGTGCAGGATATCCAAGGTTTGCCATTAGTTGGGTTTGTCCCACTGAAATCCACTGAACGCATTTTCACCTATCTACACGTTCATGCCATTTTCGCGATCTGTATTCAGACCTTACAGACAATGCGAATGTTGCCCAGGCGATAGGTATGAACCAGCATACTGGTAGGAAGGTAACACTGTAACATACTGTGATCCATCTCATGCGATCATTGCATTTGTCTCAGAGTAGCTGAACCTCACTGGAGCGACCCATTGCCACAGGCTTTGTTGACAGACGTCAGCTGGCTCTCGGATTCCATGAACGGGGCGCTCTCATTGGCTTTACCCTCCATGTTCAGCACCCTGACAGTCAAGTTATTGCATGTTATCGCCAGACCGTTTGCAGAACAGTTTGTTGCACATTGTATGATCAATAAGCACCAGGTTTGGGGAACCAAGGCAAGCACGAGTCATGAACCTAAGTAAAGATTTCAATTCCTTTGAATCTACTTTCAAGTGATGTTCTTTTTAAACCTCAAAGAAATCTGAGGATAGGTAAGGATTTCAATTTACTGTATATCAATCTACTTTCAATTGATTTTCCTTTTGTTCACCTCAGAGGGATTTTTCAGCTTGTAACCATGGTCTTTTGCTCAGTTTGCTCAGTAATTTGCAGCATGTGTTTCATGTTTTTGCAGTTCCTCACTAAGCAGTGTGAAGCCTGAGCAAAAGCTTCAAGATCTTTTTTTTAGCATCAGCCCAGTCTGAATTTTGCTTAAATTAGATCTGGGCCATGACAAGCAGCTGGCAGGAAACAAGGCTCTGCTACTGCTGCTGGTGGTTGCTGTTGCTGTTGCTGCTGTTGCTGTTGGTGCTGTTGGTGCTGTTGGTGCTGTTGGTGCTGTTGGTGCTGTTGGTGCTGGCGTTGTTGTTGTTGTTGTTGTTGTTGTTGTTGTTGATGTTGTTGTTGTTGTTGTTGTTCTTGTTCTTTGCATGCTTGTTGCCTGGGCTGGGAGGAACAGGTGTACAAATAGAAAAAAAAAAAGCACTTTTTTGGAGCTAATTGTTCCTCATGAAAAAAATGGTTTGAGAAAAAACTTCCACAATAGAGGCCCACCCGCCCGTTTGAAGGAGCCTGAATTATTTTATTTCACAATAGGGCACCATCATCGGTTGCCAACAGTAAGATTGACCACCACCTTCCATGGTGTGCTCGCTTGCCCTGTCCAAGGTACACATTCAGAGGTGCTGCAGGGATTCGCATGCCTGCCAGGTACTGTAGAACTTGGTAAGTAGAAAAAAACATGGAAAAAAATCTGAAATTGTGTGAATCTTGTTTGTGACCTGTAATGATTGTGGCCAAAGTCAGTTCCGCAGCCCTGAGAGGGGGAGTGGCCGCCTCGGCATTGCTACTACTTTGATGAGGAGGGCAAGGCCGCTGCAGGAATCATCGCACCTTAGATACTAAAAAATTGTGTCTAGCATAGAGGCGCCTGCATGATCAAACCACTCGGGTAAGCCTGCTGCCCCGTTGTGGCAGGTGGCTTGCTCCGAGAAGGTCTGATGCACAGGGTTAGTATTTGATTTGCAGTTATCACAGTAGCCCACAGGACCCCACGGGAACAACGAGAGAAGATGAGGGAAGTGCCCCAACCAACCTTTGCAGGACATGGCAGAAGCGATTGACTCGCAAAGTGTCATGGTCTTGGCTGTGTGATGCTGTGTGCAGTGTATATGGGTTCCGATTGTTCACTATTTGTCATTGTTTTTTGGTGTTTGATCATCGAGTCAGAGTTCATTACGTCAGTGTCACCAAGTGTTTGCGCACTTGAGCTCCCAACCCTTTGGAGGCAGTTCTTGCAATTATATAAAATCCTCATTGCAAAGCAAGTGAGGTTCCCGCACTGGTGCTGCGGTGCCTGCGTGCAGCTTTGAAGTGTCGCTCTCAGATTTGTTGTATTTTGTTGTGCCATCGTAGTGAACTGTTAGAAACAATATCGGCAGGTTTCACGGGTTTTCGGTACGTTGGACCACAATTCCCCACGTTACAATTCTGAGACATGGCTGCCTTTGAGTGTCTATGTTGAGGTGCCCTCAGGGCTACAGCAATGCATCGGATGCTGCGAAGGGCTAAGTGGATGTTTGCATGTGCCTGAAGCACGTCATATTATCCAGATACATTCAGAGTATTCGACGGTGTCTATATATCACATGATATCGTTTGACCACTTGAACATCTATATATTATATAATTTCGCACACGTTGTTCCACAAAAAAAAATCTTGTAGATGCTTGCAGCATGTTCACGTTCTTGGTAGCCCGGAGACAATCCAAAGCGTTCCGATTTGTCTTTCACCAAGGCGTTGGCCTCGCTGATTGAGAGGCTTTTTTCCATTGCGCTGGTAGCAGATTGCCATGACACGACCTCAGACCCTCCCAGGGATCATTGTTCAAATGACAAATGTCTCATCCCAAGATATCCCTAGATATCCCAAGAACGAAAGCCATAAATGTGGCAGAGCCAGTAACAAACCATCTCCAATAACCAACAATTGAGGTTTAGTGATGGCAATGCTATACACCTATTTGGGATGTGTAAGATGACCCCCAAAGGCTTGGCATCATTCGAATTACTGGGATGGTTTATTGCTGGGGTTTAAAACAACATTACTTGGGATTCGTTGTGTGTAGTTTGTGTGCGCAAATTCGGTTTTGAAAGCAACTTCATGGATATTGCGCATGGGTTGCAAACAATGTGTTTTTCTGTGTTGAACCAATCGGAGCGGACAAGATTTGACATGCGAGGTTGGTTTGCCGTTCCTCCGGGAAGCAGCGCTGCTTTTGCGGAGGTCTGGGATCGTTTTCGCCAAGCATCGGGCACCATGATGCCATGGCACGGCGCCACGCTGAGGCACCAGCGACTTCACACTCTGTTGGACCAAGATGGTGGCATTTTTGGCTTGGGAGGAGTGGCTGACACCACGGTGCGGCAACCAAGGGAAGGGCTAGTGCAGCTAGTTACGAGTTGGCCATGTGTGGCCATGTGTAGGCAGATGTGGTAAGAGCCATTCCTGGAAAAGTTTCACCAAAACAAGCAAAAGGTCGTGATAGGCACAAGGTCGGCGCACTGCATTAATTCTCGCTTAAGGGGCATTGTGATTTGATGTGATTTGATGTGATTTGTGTTACAGTAATTGTGTTAATTGTGTTTTTTCAAACCATTTGGCCCTCAATGGTGCTGTGGTTGGATTGCAGCTCCAGTCTGCCTTCGTGACCTGCAACGTTTAGTCGCCACGTCCTTTGCATGTCGGGGCGTAATATGTCGGGTGGGAGCTGGTGCCAGGTGAGCCTGGTATGGCATTTCCAGGGCCTCACATGTTCGGTGTCGCCAGTGCTCGCTCGAGCTGCACAGGCAGGGAGAATGTGCAAACATAGGGTTTTAATTGAGAGTCTTGGATTCCATATATTACATCATTACATCCCTATACTATCTCAGCCTCAGATTCTTGAATAGGTTTGACTATATAATTACTGTATATAAATTATAAACATAATATATTTATATAATATCATGTAATATTTGCATGCATGTGTGGACTGTTTGCTGCAAAGCCAAAGATGCTTTGCGAAGTTGATGGCAAGATGGCAGGCGCTGCCCAGTGCTATCCGCAAGAGGGGCTCCGTGATAACGGACCAGTTTCCAATCCAGGCAGGGGCCAGACTGTGGCTTCAGAATGATCCTCCACACACCCGCGCAATGGCATGATGAAGCGCAAACATTTGCATACCAGCCACATAATGTTCAAAGATTAGCATGGATGGGCACCAACAGAATATGAATTGAGCAATTGGATGAGGCGTGTGGCGGGCCTTCTACAGAAGTATCAAGATGTTTCAAGCCTGGGTGGTTCATTGTCCCTCAGGATTCCCACGAATGGCTCACCGTAGGAGTTCGGAAACATTGGGCAGTACAGGCCTCAGACTTCAGCCCAGGGCTGTGCCGTGAAGATTCTTCAAGTGTTTGATGATCATCACAAGATCTTTCCAGATATTACCAGAATCATTAAATTATATATATTTACATCCAAACTAGCACCATGATTTGTTCACCCTCCACCACAAAACACAAGACCAAAGATAACCGACGCAGAGTTTGCAGGTATGCTGTACCATGGGGGCTGCAAAGGTATTTAGAAATTTTGAGGCCATGAGCAACGCTCCAGCACCGAAAGAGAAGGCCAAGAAATCTGCAAAGTTCGATGCTAAGACACCAGGGAAGCGGTGTGTAATGTTGAGATAAACACACAGCACACATGAATGCAATCATCACATAAAGATACATAAAGTATCATACAGTCATAAACTCCTAAAATTACGGAAGATTGCCGATTTAGACTGTATGTAAATTATAATGTCATATTATGTCATAATATAACATAGATTTGGCTGGATCAATTCGACCATCTTGCAGGATCTTGCGAGGATGATGTGCCATGCTACTACACTGTTTGTTTATTGTTTTTTTTGGGGGGGTAAGGATGCTCTCAACCTCCGTCCAAAATCGTCCAAACACATTATGGGCCCATGGGCCCATGGGCCCAGCTGGCACCGAGGCATGCCAACTTTATGTCCGAGCTCGAACTTCGGAGCTTCGACGTTGAGACATGACCCAATGACCCAATGACCCGATGGTCGAGGTTTGCTCGAAAAAAGGAACGAGTTCAGCATGCCCTGAGTTCATCCCAGCGGTTTCGGTGGTTTGGAAGTAATTTTTAATGTAGTTTGATGTACTGTATGTCAAACTAGGGTTTTTTCTATTGCACATATTTGCACATGTCGGATATGTTGGGCGATGCGTTGCAAGACCAGTTCTTGGTGAAATATGCCATGAACAGTGGGCCTGGGCCCTGTGCAAGGCCCATCTCAATGGTGCGTGTTGCCTGTGCTCAAGAAAGCTTGCCATTGAGATCAGTTGACATCTATTGAAGCATGATTCACTGATTTGTCATGGCTGATTGAAACTTAATCGAGGTGCAAGAACGGATAAAGCTAGAAAGCCCGCTCCTGCTGTTGATATTGTGCTGTCATCACTGAATGCATTTGCAAATCTCATAACTGGCTCGTGATTGTTCATGAAAGGTGCAGACATTCAGCAGCTGATCTCACTTCAACAAGATATTGAGTCCCGGCATATCCCGAAATTACTCATGCTTCAATGCTCGGGCAACAAAGAAAACCTCGGATTGGAGAGCACAGTAGCCTTTTACTGCTTTGCAGCAATAGCAGATGAAAGTAAACTGTTTTAAAGTCGCTGTGTCATGGTTTCCCCTTCTTGCCCCTCTATTGGAGGAACAGTAGGCTGGTGAATGTCAAGCTTGCGACCTGTTCGCCCTCGAAATGCGCCGGGGACTGCCGTTGTGGCACCATTGCGAGCTGGGCGAGAACGCATTGTTCGCCAGGGCCAGGCTTGGTGTTTGGAACCCATGTCACATCCGGGCAGATGGTACATTGAAAAATACATGTCTTCAGATTTTCCAAGCATTGGCGTCATTGGCGTCATACGTGGTCGAAATCATTGAATTGCGCCAAGTGCGCCTTGTAATGCCAGTAATGCCAGTCCAGTGCGTTCCTTGTGGTTTCCTCACTGAACCTCACTTTCACTCGAGACTCACTCCGAGCCGACTGGGGCCAGGAGCCCATTGTGAGACGCGGCCGTGTGCAGCTTGCTCGCAACTCTTCCCTGGTGAGGAGCCTGTCAGCACCTCGAGGCATATCAAGTCATGGGGTGATGATCTCGCATTGTCATGCGCTGTGTCCATGGTCATTGGCTCCCCAAAAGTTGTTTCTATAGACATCACCTTGGACCTTGCCAGACCTCCCTTTTTACTCGTGATGATTGTGTGATATAACAGCAGAAGCTGCACCTTTGAACCTATGTGAGAGTTCTGCAGCAACTTTGAACTTTGAATACATTTAATGCCTAAGCAATATTTGAAACCAGAAACCTTTTGGTTGGCACATATATAGGGTTGCATTGTGTGCCATGTTTGTGAACAAATCTGACCTGCAGTTGTTCATAATGAAAAGAAGGACATATAACTTATAACCCTGTCATACCCTGTCCATGATTATCCGATCTGATTCCCCTCTCGATGATATATGTAGTTCAGATATGTTCAGATGGTGTAATAATTGTGTAATATGGTGTAATCATCCTACGGCTTGATGATCAGTGACCCAATCATGGGACTTTCACTGATGTTGAAAACGTGGGCCGTACCACCAGCAAACAGTGGTTTTCCGGATACCCTGACATTGTAGGGATGAAACACTAATATTGTGTTTGATATCTTTTGGTTATATTCCCAATCCATTTTTGTCCCTTATCGATACTATTATAGTATAATATATTCTATATATATGCAATTTATATTCATCATCAACAGATGTCATATGCGTAAATATACGCCTATATACATGGTTGATTATGCATATTATTACAGTATTTGAGCGATCGACAACATTATTGTAATTAGTCTTCCGGCCTTGGCCTTGCTGAGGGGTGTGCAAACCTTCATAACCGAAGTGGACGACCCCACCCCTATACCGATACCCCTGTTTTGCATGAGTCGCCTCAAAGTCTGAGAAGACAGAAATCCTCGCATGAAAATGAACAAGTATTTTTGTCCGCTTTAGTATATATATATATATATCACACACGCACACACGTTTGTTTTTTCAAGATTAAATATACTATACATGCCATAAATAGATAACATATATATATATTTAATTATATAATATTATATATATATTATGTATATAATACATCTTAGATAATATGTATGATGGCTGTCCATACCATCGTTGTTTCTTGTTCCGCCACAACGGCCAGGTCCAACGCCCGTGCGCTTCACCGCGCAAGCGACGGTGCAACGCGGCTCCTCGCGGCGGAACATCTCGGTGGGGCCGCAGGGGCAGCGACAGCCCAGGCGAAGCGACCCAGCTGGGGGACGGTGATGGGAAAAATGGATTGGTTTACAGAAAATAAACCAATGGGGCTTTCCCATTTAATGGGATATCTGTTTATGGGGCTTTCCCATTAAATATGGGGCTTTCCTGTTAAATCTACAGATATCTACAGGAAAACACCATATTTAATGGGAAAAATCAGGAAAAATCATGAAAATCCTGTAGATTTTCTCCCTTAGACGCCTTAGACCAATCCATCATTGAGATGTGGGGGTAATGATCCAATGGATGGATAAAAAGGTGGATAAAGTTGGATAAGGGGTTAACTGACTGGATGATTGGGGATTTTGAATGTGAAAGGTCAACTGACTGGTTAAGGGGATTTTGACTCCAAGAAACGTGTGAGATTTGAGGTTTTGAGATGATTTGAGCAACACAAAACACTTGTGGCTGGTCATGGTCATAGCAAACAAGTATAAGATGTTCTTTACTTTATGGGGTTGATCATGCTTTGATCCACAAAATGAACAGTAAATGATATCACCCACGTAAGTCTGTCGTGAAAGCTCCCAGCGCCAAGGGGATGGAGTCAACCGGAAGAACCTTCAGAGGAGCCATGCGGCGTAGGGATGGTCATGACATGTGTGAATGGAGCGAACGGACTGTAGAGAGGTTTCAGATTTTGTCAAACAGTATCCATGGACATGAATGAACTTCTGCATTAAAATTTTGCAATGGGACTATCTTAGATTTGGCTGATGATACAGCATCAATTTAATTTATTTTCCTAGTATTTCCTACTCTCCTGGTTGGAAAATATCAAAATCATTCAAAATCTATTCTGTCAAAACATTTCTCGTACAAACCCAGTGTTTACATGTATGAAATACATATATCATATCATATTAACAGATATCAAGTTTTGCCACAGGACTGGTGTTTTGCTTACTATTTGGCTGCTGGGCTCAACTTGAAGGCTCTACATCAGCGCTGGTTGCGCAGCCTCCGCCAGCCCAGTGAACGAGAAGAATCGCGAACAGCTCCTTGGCATCAGGGTGCCACCTGGCATGGTGTATAAACTAAACGCCCAAAATGGAAAAACATTGATTTATCCCAGTGTTGAAACATGTTCGCTGCAAACCCTACGTTTGACCGTGCCGGAGGTCAACTGAACGCGACATTGATCACGATCGTCATCATGATAATGATCATCATCATGATCATCATCATCATCATCATCATCATCATCATCATCATCATCATCATCATCAGCATCATCATCATCATCATCATCATCAACATCGCCATCATCATCATCATCATCATCATCATCATCGTCATCATCATCATGATCATCATCATCATCAGCAGCAGCAGCGGCAGCAGCAGCAGCAGCAGCATCGCCATCATCATCATCATCATCATCATCATCATCATCGTCATCATCATCATCATCATCATCATCATCAGCATCGCCATCATCATCGTGAGCTTCATCATCAGCTTCATCATCGTCATCATCGTCATCATCGTCATCATCGTCATCATCATCATCATCATCATCATCATTGTTTTATGAACCATTAAACATGTTTGTTCAGAGGGCGTGGGTTTGCTGCCTTTTGAAAAGAAAGTGAACGGGAATAAACCCTTCAAACAATATTGTGCAGAGTGTGTGCAGGGTTTGATCCCTTATGCAGCGAAGTGGAAGTTAACAAACCATTCAACATATTTGTTCAGAGGAGGGTGGGGTTTGATCCCTTATGAAGACAATGAAGAGAAGTGGACGCTAATAAATAAACCATATTTGTTCAGAGGGGGTGGGGGAATTGTTCCCTTTTGAAGAGAGGTGGAAGCTAATAAACCATTCACCGTACTTTTCAGATGGTGCTGGGGATTTGATCCTTTATGAAGATTAGATTCCCCTAGTAGAAAGCGTCTCAGCCGGATATCTCTTTTCTTGTGTCGCCAGAGAGAAGCGGGAACAGGATGTCACGAGGGATGCACACTCTCGGGCAGAAAAGCCGTCTTGCACCCACCGCCAAACAGAGTCTGGCAGTCTACCCTGCTGCATGTTTTCAGCCATCCTTCTCCGCATGAACCATGTACCGTTGGTCTTTGTTGAACGTGTGTGTTTGGAGGGTGTAGATCATGTTTGATTTAGATGGTAGAGAGGAGGTCTTGTGGGTTATGGTCGAACGTGGGGTTTGGCGCCAACATGTTTCAACTGTTTTTTTGAGTACAAGTAGGATATTGTTCTGTTCTATCTTTTTGGGAAGGTGCTATATGTCCTGAATATTTGCAACAAACTTGGACTTGGAGCTGGATGTGTGGTTTATGCGATTATATAAGTCCGTCCATAAATCTATATGCATGCAGGTATCCCAACAAAGCACAGGTGTAGGGATTTGCCAGCGCAGAAGCAAGAGACAGAAGACGCACATGCTCTTTGACGTCCGGAAGTTAGCTACCTACTGTAGATCGTAGATTCGTAGATGTTAATTGAAGAACACACACTACATACCGCAAGGAGTGGCTATTTGCTTTCTAGCGTGGTTCTTTCCTCGACCGGCGGATATGCCAATCTGTGAGCCTATCTGGAAATCAGGTGATTCGCTTCAATGACGACGTGATGCTCTTGAAGGTTGATGAGAAAGACTGTTTTGTCTTCTCTTTTGGCTGCCTGGTCTGTTGGGGATGCACTCCACAAGAAGTGGGAGCTGCCAGAGAATATCTCCAGGGGCACCTCACAAAACCTGTGGAGCCTTCTCACATTGAAAAGGATTTTCTCAGCATTACTGGAAATGCCAGTGCCCTACCCATTGCTACAAAGGCGTCGGGAACCGATGGGAGATGGCCAACAAATCCCTTTGCATCCCTTTGCTGTTGCTGCATGTTACCTTGATTTACCTTGGGATGTGCCGTTTCCCTGTCAGGCAGTGGATCGCTTAGCTATCGCCTACTCCTTGGCACAGTCCGTGCGCCTGAGCTATTGGGAGCAGAGGATTGACCAGTGGGTGGCGGCCACTCGCACTATCCCGGAAGACATGGCAAATACAGGCGCTGTTGGCCGCAAGCACTGCACCATCGCTGTTACTCACTGTTTCAGTTTCTTCGAAACTAATACCTTTTCACACTCAGCGGTTCATTCTTTGGAAGTCATGTAACAGTTCAGACCTGTGATCCTGATCTAAAAGATACACGTTCCATCACCAAATGGCAAACCGCATGCGTGGGTGGAGTCAAACTCAATTGCAGGGTCAAACACCTTCGCAGACACAGATGTGTGTCAGTGCGACATGTCCACAGGTCGGGTTTTGCTGAGCCCGCATCGTGTGAGCCAGATGATGGGCGAGTTGTTTGCACTGAAAAATCAGGCAAGGCTTCCTAGCTCTCGCTAAATGCAATGGTGCTCAGGCCCAATGAACAAATGCAGTTGTGACATGTGACAAAGGTTCAGAGGTCCCTTCTTCATGTTCGTTTCACTCAAGGGTTTTATTTGGTAGGATTCTCGGAGCTTTGGAAGAAAGTCTCCTTGCAACTTGTTGCAATTGGGTGATCAGGTGAACTTGGAGTTTGACACCTTAGACACACCAGATGTCTTTTGGGACTACGAAGAGTCTGAACCGTTCTATCAAGAGACAAGGCACGGATTCACGATGATTCACATGATCACCGTGATGAGCCACGTTTGTCTCCTTTGGCGGCTGATTTCCTTGACACTTTGTCAGGCTTCACTTGGACATGGACAGACGCATCAACATCTTGAATCAACGGTTTGAGGTGGGAGGACAAAATTCAGAAAGGGAGTTCGAAGACTAAACATGAGACGCACCCAACAATGTTATGCAATGTCTGTGGCCTGGAAAGCTTACCGGCGGTGTCTAGGTGCTGGAGGACATGTTTGATGTTTTGCAAGACAAGTTGAACGAGAGGCAGGAGCACAGGCCGGCCTCGTTGTCGATCCAAGGCATTGCATAGCCCAGCAAGAACCCTGTGCTGGCTGAGTTGCTCTGTTTACTATTGATATGGTTTGATTTGATATGATATAATGTATTGAATTCATGAGATGGTTGCGACATGTTGCGACACTTGTTGCCCTGCACCCTGTGATTCCAGTATCAAACTGAATGGCGGTATGCCCAAAATTCCTCCAGCCACACGGCAGGCTCACCTGGATCATCATTTGGCTTTGCGCTTTGGAAGCGGTTTTCACTGCCTTCAAACTTTTCTGGCTGGCTGGGGTGCCCTTCGCCATACATTTGGATACTTGGCTTAGCAGTTTATGCAGTTTAGCGGCTTAGCGGCTGGACGCTTTGAAACTTTGGAGGGGTGGCAACGATTGGCAATGTGCACATCCGAAGAATCCTCCAGCCATGAAGTCATCAGCTCCCGCTTTTCGATGCTTAGCCACGCTTGGCCACTGTCCTGAGGAGCAACGGCTGGAGAGAGGCATTTTTGGAAGCCCTTCGCTTCCTGACGCCAATGCATCGCAGCTGACTCCAATGCACAACACTTCTGCAGCGGTGTCACACCCGAATGCATCAAGAAGCTCTGGAAATACTTCCGCAATCATACACTTCAACAGCTCTACCGGTTCCAACAACTCCACTACCTCTAACATCACACAGGCGGAGAATGAGTTGCCATGGTGCCACCTTTTGCAAATCCGGTGAAATCAGCTTCACCCAAATGGACATGATTTTGTGGCGTTGAGATATTGTATGCGTTTTTCCCTTTGTATTGCTTTCTTACGTTTTGTGGTGCTGATTGTGCTGATGGCGACGGTTTAGTCTGCTAGTTGCACGTAATCGGATTTCGGTGATGAAAGCAGCAAGTTGCGCCAGGCCCATCTCTACAGGCCTTCAATGCAGGAGATGCTTCAACCGTTTAACCCTTTAACCCTTTAACCCTTGTTGAACCATGGTATGTTTAGAACATCTTACAACAATGACTGCAGATGTCACGACTCCAGGAGGCGCCACGGAGATACATCCTGCTGTTGCCCATCCTGGGCTCCCTCGACTGGATGCGCTGTCAGCTCTGTCTCTGGTGAGGGGCAAAGAACCCACGCACTGAGCTGGATCCGCTTGGAAAAGGACCATTGCAGCATTCGCTGATGATCATGTCATGACAGCAACACAGTGAGGAACTATTCAGATTGTATGTTCCATCAAAAGGATTCAGAAGGTAGAGGTACTACTCATAATTAGTAACATTAGTACATTGTAAGTATCATAATTGTCAGCATTATGAGCGTATATGAGCGTGACAAATGTTGGCATCGTTTGAATCATGATGAATCATGTTGGGTTTCCGCAGGGCCGTTGTTTACCACAGCAGAGTTGATCCCACGCAACGAGCACAGGCGTCAGCCATAGGTTCAAGCCTTGTCCGGCAGCTGAAGATGGATGCAGGTGCAGTCCTTGGATGCTGCAGCTTTGTGGTTGCCCGTTGTCGTATTGAGACCACCACAATGTGTATATTATACTATATTTATCTATATTTTATTATCATATTAAATTAACACACACATATATATATATACATATTATATATAATATGTGTGTAATTGTTAATTAACTGTAATATGTATATATGATGTATATATGATGTATATATGATGTATAATCAACATTGATTAAGTATATGCATATTGTTAAAGCATATTATTGAACACCTATTATTAAACACATATGACTTGCGCGCGTCATCGTATGCATATACATTTATACGTATAATACAGTAGTATGACATGTAGTGGGATTAGCGCATTTTCTGTGTAAACCTCGGCTCGTTTTCCTCCGGTCATCAGCACGAACCTTTTGCCAGACAATGCTGCCGTGTTTTGTTTGCACTTTTGGGGGATGGGTTTGGGCGCGGCGGCTTCCAGATATTTAGTTTATATACTTAGCACGTGTGAAGATTCAGAGTCTTTTGACAATTGATGACTAAAGACTAAATATTGTTGCATGTTGCTACCGGAGGGGGATGCCAATCCCACCTGGGTGGTTCAGGTTTGCATCATCGAGATCGATGCAGACGGTGCGGTTGCAACCTTGAGAACGGCTGTTTTAAACAGCTCACAGGCATAGATATCGTGGAAATGTATACGTTGTATGTATGCATGAATACGAATGGCATGAATCATTAAATTAAACATTGTGTGTACGACGAAGCATATAGCTCGGCTTTATGAGCCTTTGCCTTGAGCTTTTGAGGTTGGAACTGGTTTTCTGGGAGTTCTGCCTGTGCTGCCGACACGGGTCAAGTTGCAATGAATGGTTCATTCAATTTGCACTGGCGATTTGATGTCCCAGCGTGGGAGACAATTGATGTGTGGATGGCAGGCTTCTCTGCCCGGTTTGCTGTTCCTTGTCACATGCAATCACGTGATACCCAACGAGGCCTTGTAGTGCCGTGCCGTCAAATTCCAGATAATTTTTAATTTGTTTTTTGCTCATTTGGACACTGAAAGTTCTGATGATGCCGGCACTGAAGTCACTGGAATAGTTTTGGCTGATCGTTTATTGGAGAATATTGGATCCAAAAATGGATAATTACAGCATATACTTCCATTGGGAAAATCGTTTCCAGGCCACGTGCACAGCTGCGATTTGTACCTTTGAGGTGCCGCAAGGTGAATGGTTTGTGATTGATTGGTCCAAAGTTTGCGCCCAAAAATTGCATTGTTATACACCATTATACACCATCATCAAATGATGGTCATGTTATAGAACCTTAATGCCAAAAATGCTGGTAATCCTGATTATTGAGTCAAACCCTGATGGTTTCCAAAATGATCAAGAAGTGCCAACAGAGATTCAATCACTGCCATTTTTGCTAAGTCCAGTAATTCCAGACTCCAGAAGAAGACCTGGAAAGATCAATTTGTTCTCCAGGCAGATTCCCAGCTTTCCACCAATCTCGTTTGGAACCGCATCTGGGCGTTTGGACCTCCAAACTGCTGGACGTATGGGCGCTTAGCTGCTGTTGAAGGTTATTCATCGGGAGTTGTTGGGGATTCGCGAGGATGTCAGGTCTCAGGATGTAGAGATTCTGATTAGATTGCTCTTATAGATAATATAGATATAGAATGATTAGAAAGGAGGAGAGAGAGAGAGAGAGAGAGTCATAGCCATAGCTTATACTGATACTATACCTTTTGGCGATGGAGAGAGAGAGAGAGAGGGGGGGAGACATTACTACATTCTAATCATTCATTCTACTTAGACTTTATGTTTTCAACAACTTGTTCTATGTCACTTCCTGGTGCAGCGGAGATCCGCAGCTGCTTTCAGCTCAAAAATCGCCTCGAGTGAAACCTGAGACGCCATGGGCCCAGGCCTCAGATAGCGGAGGCCAGTCCTTATCTCCATAGTTGAAGGCGGAAAACATGTCAGGAATTCAGGAAAGCCTGATATATTCACAAATTAACATACTACATATGTATATATATATATAAATATTGCCGATATACTGGTGGTTTGAATATGTTCGAAACAATCCATCGAGTATCATGATGGGGTGCGATATTGCTCAATGAGGTTAAATTTCCTGTAGATTTTCCCATAAATCCCATGGGCCAAGGAGCTGGAGCATCAGTCGAAGCGCACCTGGCTGTCACTTGGCATCCAAAACAGAGTAACACGGCTAAAATGGCTGCTGATTGCAGCATATGTACAAAATTGTGAATATACACTATGCATATATACATATATATATACATATATATATATATACATATATATATATATATGAGAGAGAGAAAGGGAAAGAGAGTAATACTGCACTAATATATTGGTTTATATGATCATTAAATTTGATTGTGTATGATATCGATTCGTATATATATATATATATATGTGTGTAGCATGTCTATAATAAATATATATATATATATCAATCTACGACGTGTTATACGTGTTATATGATTAATACATGATGCGCGATATGAAGAATGATAAGAATGCATGGGGATGGCTGGGGATGGAAAATAGACAGAGCTAACCTGGCATTTGGAGCCCGCAGTTGCACCCTAAAGCTTCAGGAATGCAAAGACGCCAGCGTCCAAGATGTGCGGCAAGCTTTGGCAACATTCTCACCTGAGGATTTTGGGCATAACCACAGCGCACTGATGTTGGTACCATAGGCGGAACCAGTAAGTTTCATTAAGTTTCCTTACCTTTTGCAGCCTTGCATGGGTCAGGCTTTGATTTGTGTTTTGTCCTTAAGTCGTTGATTTGTTGAATTTCTTGGTTTCATGTTTCTCGAATGTTCTAGGTCTTCCAGCTTCCATCCCTCCAGTTTTTGTCACAGGAGCTTGAGAAGGTGAAAAAGGCTCTTGCAGCCGTAGGCGGAGCTTGCGGCTGCCACAGTTCCAAACTGTGATGGGTTTGTTTGAAAATGGGCTACGGGCAGGCATGGTATAGCTCACATTGGATTTTGGGGTACCATGGGGCCTTGGCTCGCAGCCTTGTGCCCACTGCTAGGCGGCTACTATTGCAGTCTTATTTTGCTTGCATCAATTTGATTGGTCAATACATTTCATTCCAATAATATATTAACACTTCTGGTACCTACTACAGAAAGCTACATTTACTATGATGAAGCATCATGTGTGCCCCATAAACAATTGTAATTATAGTCTTATAGTGTACTACCCACCCCATTGACCTACATAGATCTGTAATGATCTCTAGATATACATAAATACATTACTAGAACAGATATCGATTCATAGAATTTTGGAGAATTTTGGACAGATGATGAAGCATGTCATATTATTCATATTAATAGCCAACTTGTTGCCCCACTCTCCCCATATTTGCTGTGCATGAAACGCCGCAGATGCAGCTCCAGCTGCCAAAGAAGCGCCAGCAACGGAGACACCGGCAGCACCGGAGACGCCGGCGGCTCCGGCTGACCCTGCACCGGCAACGGAAGAGGCACCGAAGGAGCTGAAGTGTTCACGTAATCGTTTCTGATTATTACTGTATTATATTTCTATGCAAATCTAGACAAGACAATATAGATTGATGGGCAGAGATAGAGACATAGATAGATTCAGTTTTTAAGTAATATACTTGGTATGGGCCTGGAATGCCCTGGATCACCTGGATTGTAGCTCATGGTAGATTGCTGACCGCAGCGGCCTCAGGAGCCTGAAGCTGATGCTGATGCGGACGCTCAGCAGATGTTCAATGTTACCAGAGACCATGGACAAGGAAGTACTTCATCTTCATAGGAAACACATCAGAACACAAATGCATGAGAATGAAAAAAAATATCCGGAAAAATGGGCAAGCTATGAGCAGTAGGCATTGAATAGTGAATTGAGGATATTATGGATATTGCCCCCCTGGTGCTTTTTTGCAGGAGCCCTGAAATATCATTGGCACATGGCAGCCGATCGTAATATGAAAGGGCGTGTATATTTCAACAACCGCGACCGCGACTGTAAATCCGCGCATCGCGATTGATCGGCGATTGTTTCGCGATTGAGACAAACATGTGTTGTGTGGGAATCAATTATTGCAAGAAGAGAAATCAATAGGATATGTTGTTTTCAGACTCATATTCGAGTTTGTTTGGGGACTGTGTTCAATAGTGATAGCCGATAGCAAAGAAGACTAAAGAAGAATCAGAACAACAAAGTTCAAAGTCCAATAAACCAGATCCATTCAAATTTCAAAAAATGTCGATGAAATCCGCGATTGGTTCGCGGTTGGTTGATCCGCGATTAATCCCCGATTGTTCAAGCCACCTGAGTATGCCCTGGCTCACGCCATGGCTATATATGCTGTGATATGTATAGCCATTTTTGATGATTCGTTTGATTATTCTCTGTGAGCAAAACAGTGACGGATATGGAAGAACCCCTGCGATTGACACCGTTGGCATCGCAGTTGATTCGCGGTTGCTCGGCGATTATATAAAGCTGATCGACCCAGATACCTTTATTTTGATCAACACCCACAGGAATCTCTAAGCGCCGGCGCTGCGCTTGCGTTCCGTTTTCTACCAGCTTGGAACAATTTGCAGTTCTTCGGTGATGGGGAAGCGGGTATGTTGTCTTAGGAAATGAAGATGAAGTTCCAAGCAGCCTTCAAGGCGATCGACACCAACAAGTCAGGCATTTGAACGTGCTGTGTTGGACTGGCTTTGAGTTGGCCAAGGGCTTGCCGAAGGCTATAGACCAAGAATGATGAAGAGACACAGCAATCATCAGTATGACCTGCGCATGTTTTGCATTGTTTTGCGAGGTTTCATCGAATGCAACGAATTGGAGGCGGTGTTGAAGACGCTGGGTGTGACTTTGAGCCAAGAGCAGGTGAGGAGCGTCTTCAAAGCTGCAGACTTGAATGGTGCCTGAGCCGCACAGAGAGATGAAGTATTGCAGACATTTGCAGAATACTACTGCAGGGAGCTTGCCTGGGACACTGGTAGTTTGATGCCATTTCTTGATATGGAACAGATTTGTTTGATGATTTTGTGTTTTTCATTGATTTTGTATCTTCCCATTTCCATGACTTATTTCATCTTATTTCGTTCTGCATTTCGCTGCTTGGCCAAGTGCCAGGGCTGCAACATTCAGGCGATGACAAGCTGTCCATCGAGGAGTACGAGAAGTTGGTGCGGAAAGCCATGCCTGGCACCGTGAAGTGATGGCCAGCGGTGATGGAGGGCCCTCGGAGTTGCTGTAAGCAATCTCCTTGTAATACACTTTGTACCAGGGGAAAGGCATCACCCAATATAGTAACCTCCTCCCTCCTCATGTGATTGCCAGCTTGTCATTAAATTCATTTCATGTTCAACCCGTGTGTCGCATTCTACAGTTTTCACCCTGCATCAGTGCGGACTGACTTTTAAGCTGCTTGGTCGGCTTGAAATTCAGGGTTTGAGTGAACCCTTCTTTGCTGCTCTCTGGGTTCGCTACTTTGCAAGCTTCACTGGCTGAAATACTTGAAGTACCTGCCAAGTCTTTTTCGGAAAGGGATGGTGCAACGGATTGCATGGTGGTGGAATGCTAAGACATCAAATACATATACAATTCTTCCAAAAATCTATCGATATGGCACAGATTTGCAGAGCCTGTGAAACTTGTGCGTGGCCTGGCGCTGAAGTGTTATGCCCGTTCGGCATTCACAGCGAAAGGCCGCACGAACCCGAGAGCTGAGGACACAGGTCTCAGAGATGTGACATTTGTATACATTTGTGACCTTGTGAAAGTAGGATCTGGGAACGTGAATGGGGTGGAAAGCAGAGAAATGACTAAGACTATAAGGCACCATCCTAGGTGGAAAGCATCTCTAGCTTCATGGCAAAGAAATCCTACATGGATCAGCGATGGCGCCGCCTCTTTAACTCTAACTCCATGCTATGACTGTGACGTGCTAAGACTTTGGTTTGACACCATCTCACACCCAGAAAATTGTAGGCCTGCCGCCTGCCTAAAGCATGGGCAAATAGTGACGAGGATGAGCAGAAAGACGCTGCGCGCAAAAAATAAGGTTCTTATGTAGACTTTCAGATCAAGGACTGGATACATGTAATTGGTGGGTTCAATGACTGATTTGTTGAAACTTACACGCAGATCTTCCTCTGCCTAGACCGTTGCACAGATCAGAGGAAAGGAGAAAACAATGTTGGATAGACATGAAATATGCGCTCGTATAGCGTTTATATGTTATAATAATTGTAATCCTATATTAATAACATATATATATATATATGTGTGATTTGTATAATAAGTTATTCGAGATATTCGCGGTGATACCTCACCGCTCAGGTGGCTGTGGTTCGCTGTGGCTTTGCTGCCTTCAACTTGACTCGGCTGCAGCCATACGTTTGGCTGCTGCTGGACAGAGCAGCTTCGTATGGCAGCTGGCGCGTCACGTGCCATGGCCGCCTCTGAGGTCTTAGATTTGGAATTGGAGCCGGTCTTTGGCGAGGCCGAATGCGTTAAGCAGTTGGCAAAAGGTAGCTGCATGGTGCCGCACATAGCAGCAGATGTTTGCAGCCATGCACAGGCCATTTGCAGCAATGGATGACATGATCATGGAGTAAGGTCAGATGCCTGAGATTCTCCATACCACCCATCACATCCATCACCCTTTGTAGCACCTGCGCGTGGAGGCAGGGCCTTCGTTGCCACGCGTTGTGTGCGCGGGTTGCAGCGCAATTGAATAGCTCTTCAGCCAAAAACTTGCCGGGTTCATGGCAAGTTGCCGGAAGCAACTCTGGCATGATTACATACGACATACCGTTCCAAGGAATTCTTTAAGGAACTAAACGGCCCAGAGTAGCCCAGAGCCAAGAATGTGCGATAATCTTGCTTCTCTTGGAAGCCAGCCAAAGAAGTGAACTATGTTCAATCTAGCTGGTTTTTTTCGGTCATTCTCAGTTGAGATCAAAGACACCAAACCAAAACCAAACGGCACCAAACATGTAGTGTCCAAGTAGCGGCAAGATGCGGCAAGTATAATACACATAATATCACATAATAATGGTGATAGGTCAGGATACAATCCATCGTTTGGACCGGCAAATATTTGGGCCAGATCTGTTGCAAGGCCTCAGGCGGTCCAGTCATAGCAAGTGGCTGAGCAGTCCAGGAGCTCAGATAGCTCAGTGTGTTTTCCGCATCGACAGTAACGTCCAACAGCATTGCAACAGCTTGCGAAGTCAGAAAGACATAATTTGTCATAACTGTTCATAATTTTTCTGGGGGCTTTGCTAAATGCAGCGTGTTTGCAATGCTTTGGGCTCAGGTTGCGGTGCACGTGGGCTTGTTCCGAGACGATTCAGGCTAGGCGGCTGGGCCACTGACTGGCAAGTTCACGAGAGTTGTGTGCCTGAGATGGGTGATGAACGAGTGTTTGAGGAAACGCGTATATATGCGATTAATGGGACATGCATATGATCTAGAGCCTACTACGTACATATATATATATATATAATATATAGAGAGAGAGAGATAAATCACATAGATGTAGGGTTGCCAAGCTGGATGAGAACTCAGAGAAGGTGGATGTTTTGCGGGGCGGCGAATAGAAGAGCTCTGGATGCTTAAGGCACCCAGAGTTTCTCACTGTGACTGCCTATGCGGCTCAACGTTAATGAGCAGCTCCTCCGCTTCAATAACTGGGAGGTTTCCAGGGCCAGTTCTGTCTGAGACTCGCGATCCCACAAGATGGTTCAACTGACATTATGTGATTATGTGTAATGAATGTGTAATGAATCTGTAATGACTGGTTTGTGGTATTTTTCATCCTATACTTTGAGATGGGTTGAAACTGCCAACAAGATGGAGTCCTTGGATATCTTATAGCATCAAAAAAAACTGTGATTTATGGGTCTTGGATCGGGGAGTCTCAGGACATGTACTATAGTAGCACTGATCACCACAGAATGATCCATGACGCGCTGGTGAATCGCTTGAAAGAAACGGAAATGGAGACTATTGCTCCTGCGTATGGTTGGGATGTGGCCTGCATACCTTGCCATAGGTATGCCATAGGCCAAGGTAAACAAGGCTGGTGTTTCGCTGTGCAGGTCAACACAGATGACCATTGCCAAGCTTCCTGGGTGCCCCTGGCATGTTTGCAGATGACCTTACCGACAAAAGGATCAAAAGACCTTATGGCGGTGCCACATTTTGTCACTGGCATGAACTGATGCAACCCAAGTAGCAGACTGGCTGGCTGGAAATCATGTGTCTCAATCCGAGATTCATGGGGAAAAGTAGAAATCAGAAAATATCAAAAAGATGGCAGATGGTGCAGAATGCAACATTTGAATGATTACATGTGATGCCATGTGATGCCCACATGGGATCTCGGATTTTGCATTTCATGGGCCAGCCTGCTTAGGAGTTTTCGCAGTGCTGCAGCCGAACAACAGGAAATCATGATGATTAATTTGTCCAAACTGATCAAGCGTGGCAGATCAGCAGATCACAATGCCTAGATTTAGCACAGCAGCACCGTGGCAGCACCTGCCATCACTTTCCAAACACGTTCCTTGATGGTTCTCCGCAAAAGGCGTGGCACTGGACATCTCTGGACTGATTTCCGGCTAGGTTGGGACCTTCAAACAGGAGCGTAATTAATGCTGACTTGGGAAGCACCCCATTTTGCCCCGATGGAGGCTGCACCTTGATTTTAGAATCTAAAAGTATAATTTTGAACCAGTCTCTCCATGAAGGGCCACAGGCTTCAACAATCATAGGCAATCAATGTTTGATTGAGTTGAAACGGATGTCACAAAATGCCGCGCTAAGATCACAAAGCGGCAAGATACAGTATTATATACATGTATATACAACAAATAACCCAACAAATTGCTTCACTGAAGCTTTCCTGCATGAATCATTGAATCTCGCAGAAATCGGTTCACGGCATCTTGGGGACTCTGCGCTTCGAGCGAGCTCAGCGCAAATGGGTGCCTCATGCTGTCATGTGAGCCGCAGTCCAATTGTGTCTTGGGCCGGACTATTTCTTGTCATTCTGTTTTTCGGTTCATGATTTTTGAACATGAAATAAGACTAATTAGGGAGATTCTCATCAAGTCAACTTGCTGTGCTTCTTGGGTATGCCGAGCAAGATTCTACTAAAGGATTACTAAAGTTTTCATGAAAAAGATCCATGATTCACATGCTCAGCTGCTTTGCTCCGCACCTAAGATATCTAAGGGGACGTGGAGATATGGAGATGAGACTCCCAGTGCAATGAGCTCTGACTCTCCCCACGCTGTGATGTCTCCACAGTGGTCAACCATGTCTCATCGTGTCCCTCATGATCCTGAGCATGAGCTCGAGTGGTCTATCATCGCAGAAAGCATTGATGACGATGAGCTGCACCGGCTGCGTGAATTGCATTCGCTCTTAGATGACTGTGACTTGCACCCTATTTGCAGGCGCAAGCCGCTGCACCGTCAAGCGCAAACACTGCTGCGGTACTTAAGGGGTCGGGATGGGAATGTTCGCAAAGCTGAGAAGATGTTCAGGGACATGATCGATTGGCGTGAGAGCTTTGATGTTGAGAACAAAGTTCACAGCTGGCGAAGGGAGCTGGAGCGTGGCAGGACTCGTAGAGCACAATTGTGCAAGATCTACGGTGTAGAGGAGCAAATGTGCAATGACAAGTATGGAATTCCAGCAACTTGCAGCATTCAGAATTGAGCCACACTTCTGTTGAGTGGATGGTTTTGTGATTATTATTTCACTTTTTGTGTTGGGGTGAGAATGTTTTTTCATGTTTTTCACAACCACTGTTATTGATCTCAGGGCATTTCAGGGTCTTTCAATGAATTAAATTCAAGATACATTACTACGTATAAATTTAGTATAATATTAGTGTAATATAATATAATATAAATATATATATATTCATATGTATGTTATTCATGTTCTGCCTGATGGGGATGTTATCGGATAACCCCCGCAGGTGAGACTTTTCAGACTCTCCGTCGCAGACACTGCCGGCCTGATTCGTGAGTTCGGAGTGGAAGCCGTGCTGGTTGACAGCCTATCCAAGCTGGAGTGGACACATGAGCAAATCCGCAACGCTATGTTTAAGCACAGGAAGCTTATCCGTGGTCAAGTCCAAATCATTGATGTTGGAGACTATGGAGAAGTGCCAGATTGGACAGGTCGCATGTGGAGTAATTTGCGGCTGGGGCCCGACATCTACAAGGTTTTTGATGGCAACTACCCGGAGACTGTTCGAAAAGTATTCATTGTTCGCACCAGCTCCTTGGTTCACCATGGATACATGCTCATTCAGCGCTTGTTACCCCAGCGCACCAAGCGGAAGCTCAAGCTCTTTGGCCCAAAGGCTTGGTTTTGGATTGGAGAAACGTTCCAAAGTGTACATACATTGATATACTGTGTGTATATATATATATACACAATTCATACAGTCAGTGTATATGGTAAACTTATTGTTGGCAAATTTATTCTGAATTATGATTGATAGATCAAAATGTTTCAAACAAACAGGACCTATTTGGGTTCCGATGCTCGTAGGCAGCAGAGTGGGTCTCAGAGCTTTGTTCCGAGCTGCCGGATCCCCACGGACTACCGGACTTTCTCCTGAGCGATAGCGCCTGAGTTGCACTTAGCATACTTAGCTGTGCTTAGCTGTGCTTAGTTAGTGGGAACATTTGTTGGTGCCAGGTGACATCAATTTCTGCACTAAAAATTGATGGAACTGATGGGACTCAGGTGAGGAGGCCATTCGCTCGGCTAAGCCGAAGGGTGGCATCGTGCCGGAGGGCATTGCTGGTGCCAATGAGGGTCGGGAGGAGGATGATACTCCAACAAAGCCTGCCCTCTGCGGAACACCAAGAACGCCCGCGAAGATTGTGCAGCCAAAGAGAGCTACTTGGGATCTTCGGTCCAATGCGCTGATGGATTTGTTTCTTGCAGCAGCTGCAGCGCTGATGCTGGCTGGTGTGAGAGGCAATTTGTTGCAAGATATGCATTGAGCCTACCCAAGATCCTGCAAAGAAACAAGTCAGAGACGCACTAGTTGTTTGGGTCATGGTTGTTGCATGTTGTTGCCTTAGACAAAAGGCGTGTTTCTTCATGTAGTTGTTCAATGTTGTTTATAGTTTTTTCGAGTTTCGAGTTGTTTTTTTGCATTGATGAGACCTTTGCGAGACAAGTCAGCCATTTTCTTGAATAAAGAACCCAGATTTACATGTAATAAGTACTTATAGATACTTCATATTGAAGATAGATTTGTGAGCAGCAAGATAATTTCATGGCCACTAGTATTGATTTCAGTATCGCTGAGCTTCGTGCCTCTAGACCGAGATGAGATATGTGCACAACCAGGAATTCATCCGCGCATGGCACAGGGTTGCGCACGTCTCAGTTTTCCTACGTGGGATGCGCCGAGCCTCAACAGCTGGCTGCAATTCCGCCAAATCCACCCCCAGTGCAATGCGGTTGGCAGGAACAGGGGTGTCTCTCCCCCCATGTGAGTTAAGAATAGTCAAGACATGTCAAGACAATCAACTTATATAAGACTTGGAAAGACTCGGTGGACCAGTGGAAGTTTGTTGTCATGATCATCATGTCATTGCTGGTATCTTTTGTGTCCAGGTTTGGACAAGGGGTTAGCTTCAGGCTTCAGAGATTCCAAGTGTGTCTCCCGCAGCTCAAACTGTAAAGTCAATCCAAACGGATGGCCACGCTATCAAGACGGCTTCGGATGTTTAGATCTGCGCCAGAAAAAATCCGAGCAGCCTGTGAAGGGATGGACCAAACAAGAACTCTATGACCTTTCAATTTTGGATCTCAGAATGTCTCCGGGCGGGAGCCACACCAAATCATAGCAATTGAATGCAATTGACGCCTTTTCTTCGTGCATGTTGAAAGCATTGCAACCGGCAGAAGTTTGGTCAGATTTCCCCCTACAAAGCTTTTTACTGTACATGTTTATACATGTTTATACTATAATTCGTACTCTTATCACTCAGCAGTGAAAGCAAAACCTGTCACTGACAGGTTCGAGTATGTTCGAGTAATGAGTGGTTTTGCTAAACAAAAGCTTGTGAGGTTTTTTTGCCTCCAGAAGACTCTCACCCCTCGCAGAATCCAATCGGGAGGCCACCAATGGCGATGCGATGGCCTGCAGTGAGGGGTTTGACAGGGCACCCCGGGCACCCCGGGCACCCCTAGGATGGGAAGATAATCTTCATGCCTCATAGCTTTGACGTTTCACACATTTCGAGGTCGAAAAGAAACAGGATTTGCCGTGAGTGCTGTACAGTGATGCTGCCTTAAGATGCCTTAAGTGCGTTTAGATTTGATAGATGGTCTTCATTTTTCCGCATTTTCTTGGCATTGTTCCAAAGCATCCAAAGCCATTCCTGTTCTGTTGCAGTTCAGGTGCGCGTTTCCCCTACGGAGTTTTGTCATGCAGGCTGATGACTTCGTTGTATCATGTTGTGCCCAGCCTCAACTGCTTGCGGATGCTCCTAAACCCAACGATGCACCATTCCCAATTTGATCAATTGTATCCTTATTGTATCCTTTTGTATTGTAAACCATGCCCCATTAAATTGGGGCTTATTATATAGATATATATATATACACGTATATATATATATTTTACTGTTAATGTGTTTATTATTGGTTTTGCATGGTTTTGCTGTACATTATCATTGAAGCTTGGTGTTTCGTGCATTGTGGATGTCCTACATCTCAGTGCGGCCGCAGGATGGCCAAGCAGCCGCAGGATGGGATATGTTGGGATGACTATGTGGGGTAAGCTGTGTGCCATGCGGGTAAGATTAAAGTTTGTGGCGTAAGTTACCACCTGTACTCGTAACAGTCGTAACAATATACAAAGGTTGATTTGCATATCATTACAATCAGCAGAAGCATTACATTAACATACAATAACCAATTCGAAACCCCAGCCATTGGTTTCCCCACGTTGATCCACTTTGGTGGATCGGGAGTGGGTGCTCGGGTAACAGGCCTGGACCAGAGCAGGTGACGGCTTCTTGCGCAGCGAAGGCTGGGGACACCCGAAGGAGGACTCGGAGTGTGGGTTGAGAAAAACATGGATGACTTCACTGCCCCTACCAACAATCCATGACAATCCACATAATATAATGATCAATAATTATTAATCCAATGATAATCACAATCATCCATATACATCCATATATTCATACATATACAATAATCCATGATGATCCATGTGTTATATGATGATTATGATGTTATATGTAAAAGTCCCATTTCACTGTGTCCCCTTCCTTCACCTCGGAAAGCCAGCGGCGCCAGGTGGCGGCGGCGGTATAAAATGGCAAGGCGATTGCCAATGGGGAAATGCGGCCATCAATGGCTTGCTACATGTGGTCTTAAGACGTAATGTAGACGTAATATAATGTGAAACCATATGAAACCAATACCTTGGATGAATTTTAGGCCCATACCAATATGTAGCGATGATTATGGATCAAAAAGCGGATGTATCATGAATCTGCAACAGAACTTGGAGAGGACCGTTTGAGTCCAGATTGCTTGACCAGGTTTGTGTCGGGCCAGCTGTGGCCAATTGGAGTGTGGTGGGTGGTGCAGCATCGAACTTGGCTGAATTCTTGAGTCCGTAGATCAGCTGTGGGTGATGTGTTTGTTGTGTTAGCAGCAAAAGCATGCTATAACTAAGTTTAACTAAGTACTATGTGATATATAATTAATATATATATATTTATATTTATAATTTATATATGTATGTAATTGTATGTGCATATGTCCGTATAATTAGGTCCATACAAATGTGTGGCGAAGCTTTGGCTCAAGGGGTAGATTGGGCCCGCCTTTTCCAGCAGAGGCACGATGGCTGCACCATGTTCAATTGTGTAGTCTTCAGGCGTCGATTCAACCAACTATATCAGCCCAATTGGCAGCCCCCTGTATATTGTGATCCTATAGCCGAGATATGTATAATCTTCATAGAATACGAATATTTATTACATCTAGTGAAATGCTCAATGACTAAATAGCTCCAGCCAGTTGCGTGGCAATGCGGCCCAGACATGGTCTACTTCCTCCTGGTTCTGTTCCTCTTGCTGTCGCCTATACTGTGCCTGAATTGAAAGTTGTTCTCCTGCTAATTTATTCTCGGAGTGGTCTCCCAGTATCCTATATAAAGTAAGAGTAAAGTGACCTTCCATATTTTGATCCACTGAAACGTGTCACTTCTTTGGTTCCTGTGAAGTTTTCAGACATTCTTGTTCATTAGTCTTGAACTGAATTTGCAGGGAATGCAGTCCCAGGCCTTGTGATTGCATGGTTTGTGTATTTGAATTGGCCAACCGCCACCAAGGTACTTGGTACTGAACTCCCTTGTCCCAAGGCCATTTTTGCTGTTTCCTGGCCCTGGTCCATTGGTCCATGGCCGCGCAGGCTGTTGGGTTCACAAGACCTGAAGTTGCGGTATGGTGCGACCTGGGCTCTGGTGACTGGTGTCTTGGCTGAAACGCTGCGGCTGTGGCGGCCAGCAGATTTTGGGTGTGAAAATGGGGCATTCCCTCAAAACATCACCAAGCTGACAATTTTAGTGGGATAAGTCATGATAAATACATAAATACACTTAGGCTGAGGCGGACTTGGTCTGAAGGCGATGGGAACAAAAAGCACATAAATACTGATAAACAGGAGAATGAAACAGTATTTGCAGGGAAAATCATGGATAAACCATGACCATCAACTCTTGGGGTACCCTGTTTTCAGACATACCAAAGACGCAACGAATGATCATGGTCCGATGCGTTCAGGTGGCTCCTCTGGCATCGGCAAGGCGAAAATGCTGGCAATGCTGGCAATGGCAAAATGGTGATGGGTCAAAACATATCAAAACCCTGGTGCCCTGTTCACACTATAGCCAAAATAGCTGCTGAATGGATGTTCACTCCCTTCAAACATATCCAAAGATGGTATTTATATTAATTGGTTTTGAATGGTTTTGGTTCATCCCCAAATCGTGCGAAATGAGTGCAGTTTGACAAGTGACTTTGACGAGGAGCTGGCAAGAAAGCTGCTTTCCCAGGGCTTAAATGTGGTCATCGTTGCGCGTTTTGGGCTCAGCAGGGGGTGGTGTTTCATGAAATTTCAAGATGTTTTAATGTGTTTCCATGTGCACATGTTTAAAGTTTAGAACATATTAAATCATATTAAATCATGAATATTATGCATACTGTACTATACTCACATACATACACATATTGTGTATACATTGACTACTCCGGATTTTGCTAGACTGCTGGGCTGTTTATTTGGGGTAGAGAGAGAATTTGAGTCGCGACATCACTTACGGGCCAAGGTGATGAGCCAGTTTTTGCCGAGACTCTGAAGGACTTTGAGATTACCAGGTTGGATGTCACTGTTCCATCCTTGGAATGCTAGAAGGGATGATGGAATCATATGGATATCATGGGTGTAGCCCACTTGACCCACATATGTGTTGGCGCAGGAGCTGAAAGCTCAGTTCCCAAAGCAGGAAGTCCGAAGTGTCAAGGCGCTGGCCATAGTGGACACATCTAGATATCATTGCATATACACATGGACCTATTGATGTTGATACTGACATTGAGGTGTTTTTGGCTACTATGGTCTATGAGTCTATGACATTGTTTCTGGTGTGTGTTTCTTAATATGCATGTAACATGTGTATATGTTAAGATAGATAGATAGATAGATAGATAGATAGATAGAGATAGATATAGATAAATATAGGTAGATCGATAGATAGATAGATAGATTAGATTAGATTAGATTAGATTAGATTAGATCAGATAGATAGATAGATAGAGAGATAGATAGATAGATAGATAGATAGTGTATATGTTAAGGTAGATAGATAGATAAATAGATAAATAGATAGATAGATAGATAGATAGATAGTGTATATGTTAAGGTAGATAGATAGATAGATAGATAGATAGATAGATAGATTGTGTATATGTTAAGATAGATAGATTGTGTATATGTTAAGATAGATAGATATATATATATATAGATAGACAGACAGATAGACAGATAGACAGATAGACAGATAGACAGATAGACAGATAGACAGATAGACAGGTAGATAGATAGCTAGATAGCTAGATAGCTAGATAGCTAGATAGCTAGATAGCTAGATAGCTAGTTAGCTAGTTAGCTAGTTAGCTAGATAGGTAGATAGGTAGACAGCCAGACAGACAGACAGACAGACAGATATAATATAACAGAATATAACACACACAGACACACGCACATTATAAATACATACATACATGCATGTAAATACATACATACCTGCCTACCTACCTACCTACATACATATATATATATTATAAATAAGTACATAACAAAATAAATTAATAAATAAATAAGTATATATATATACATGTGCGTGTGTGCTTCAGACCCAGGGTTGCTACAGATTGTTTTTCTGAGAGGCCAACCTGTCAGATAGCTCTGGAGCTTGGATGGCGGACGTCAAGGATGCCACCAAGGTGCCTGAGTCTGGGACCACTACCATGACTACCGTCATTCTGTGGAGCTTTCTGCAGCGATGTTGAGCACAATTTTGGACTATGTTGGACTTCACTGCACTAAGACTCCAGTCACCATGTTGATGTCGTTGATATTCAGGATTGTTGATCTTGTTGCAGAGCTGTTGATTTTCCAGATCTACGATGGTTCATATTTGGCAGTTGTTTTTTGCTGTTGATGTGACTGGCCAGGACGTCGATGTCCAGCTGGTTTTCAACAATGCTGGCTTCATCGTTACAGGCCAGGAATGGGCCGGATACAGGTGGAGGAAGGTCGGAAGGCTAGCAAAAACATGACCATATTCCAATCAGATCCTCATTATATCCCCACATAAATCCCATAAAATCATCATAAATCATCATAAATCATCATTCACCCACAATCAAATCCCATCACTTGGGCTAGTGGCTTCAGGTTTCTTTGAGCAACACTCGGTGGACACCCACTTGGCCAACTTTCACTGCAACCTCACTGCCAACATTCACCTTACCCACCACTTCTACAGTCTCATGATCAACAAGGCCAGGCTCCAGGCTGGCAGTTCTCTCCACGTCGTGTTGATTCACATTGCGGGGACTTTTTCGACTCAGGGCCTGAAAGGCTGCATTGTTTTTACGTCGTCCTCCGCTGGATTCATCCCGAACCCCTTCGCTGCGATGTGCCTTTGGCTCACCGGAAGGGGTGAAAATGGTGAAACAAACAGTGAAACAAACAGTGAAACAAACAGTGAAACAAACAGTGGCCATACCATGGTGTAACGGTGAAACGGTGAAACGGTGAAACCATCAGCTCCCAGACTCCCAGGTATGGCTGCACAAAGTCCGGTGTGTCGGTGTCTGGCCATGACTGGAGGTCTTCGAGGGAAGGTCGAAGCAACATAAAACAAACAATGTTTTCCAGGTCAAGGATCACTTGAGCAGATTTATAGTAAGTATATTACTATTACATAATATTACATATATCATATATAACTATTATATCTATATGACATATTATGGGGAACTATAGGACTATAGGGAGTCCAAGTGGTCATAAGTGGTCCCCTTTTCTATTTTGTACTATTTTGTGACCAAGGAGCTTGCAGCCAGCCTGGCTGTCGAAGGTAAAGCTCGAGGGGTGGATGTCCATGCTGTGCATCCAAGTCCAGCAGCATGTTCTGCAATGAGCGCAAGTTGTGTGCCCTTAACGTGCCATGGGCCTGCTTGTCTTGCAAAAGTCTGAGGGGCCAGGGCAATTTTTTGGACGTGGTTCAAGGTTGTTCGATGCACAATGATTCGCAACGCTTGAAGCCATGCAAAGGTAAACTCCCGCTTCACTTCTGGTGGTGGCAATGATGTCAAGGTGCACAAAATGAACATGTGGCTTGATTGCACATACAGTAATTCTAAAGGCTGTGGGGCACTTCCAGCCAGCAATATTTGCAGGAGCATGTCTGAAGAGGTTTGGGCTTTATAAATCGTTATCATACTTCCATGATGTCTACAAGAGTCTACATTTTTGTTCGCAACAGTGCTATTTTGATTTTCCTTCATGGAGAGAGCTGAACTGCACAACATTTGGACTTTTCTCTCTCCGAGTCCGGTCTCCTGAGTTTCCAATTCACAGGGAAATGGTGGTGTTATGTGGCATTGATGTATATACATAGATAGACATAGACATTGACGTCTTGGAAGTTACTTAGAACATCTTAGAAAAGGGAGATATTGAATCACATCACCCATTTTCATCACCATTTCCCGTCATTTCCCTTGAAATTGTTTAGGTTTGAGATGGCCTACAAGATGGCTACTGGTCCGGAAGTGCTTCCCAACCAGATCTTTGCTGCCGTTGGCCGCTCACCGGTGGCTCGGCTGCGGCTACCGAAGTGAGTTGCTTGGGAAATGCTTCGCTGCAGCTAAGGTGATGATTGATCTTGGTGGTACCTCCATTGGTATGCGGCACCTTGCCAGAAACGGTTTGTCATGATCATTGTGGCAACAGTGTGTAACAGTAACATGCCAGGCCTGAGTTCGAGCAATAAACCTTGGGTGATGTCTTTTTGGCTCGAGCTTTGCACAGCTATTTCTCTTGTGCATGCCTAGTGGAGCTGGAATCATGTCGAAGGGGTACCTTGAGGAGACTGCGCACCGGGACGGAAATCGAAGGAATGGTTTCTGTCATTTGTTTTGGTGACCCTTGGGGTGGCAACTGTGCATTTAGGATGATTTTGGTTGGGCTGAATTAAGGACATTAATTAAGGATTTATAAAAATGGATTTAAGGTATACAGCATAAGTACATATAATATCATATAATTAATTACATTATAGGATCATATAAGCTTTGTTGGGATGAAGTCCGTTGAAAAAGAAAGATGCCGCTCATCATTCTTTTACCAACCAACCACACATGTGTACAGAAGTGGTGCCAAAGATGGAGTATGGAGTGGATCATGGGCCCATCTTAGATCTTCGTCATGGAAATCATTTTTTTTAATCGCAGGAGATTGGCGTCCTCGATTCCATCCCTGGCCCTGTAGCTCAGGAGATTCCATTCCTCCACGTTTCAACCAGTTTCTAGGTGCTTCCCGTGTTTCCCCAGGTTGTCAATATGGTTTTACCACATTCCACTTGCCACAGTGGTAGTAGTTGGTCCGGATGTGTATATATATATATTAAATATATATATATACTGCCCTGAATGTGGGCAGGTTTGGGCATAGTATTCACAGACTTTCCGGTAGAGATTTGGTGGTCAAGCCAATGTTAGAATAGCAGCTGGTCATACTACACCCATCCAATTCAGCTTATGAGTTTGCCTCGGTGCCGTGAGGAGAGTGGGTCAGCGCCCAGCGTTCCCAAGGACTGGGCAAGTGGGCTGTGTCTGGAACTGTTTGGAAATGGAAAATTGGTAATTACCCACTACGCCGCTATCCATGGGTGACGAGGCCAAAATGAAAAAGAAGAGACACCAAGGACTCCCACGCAGCGTCAAAGTCAAAACATGTCACAAATCTTCAGCCAGGACAGCGTGCCAGCTGCAGCCCCGGTAAAGGAGTCGCTTGGCTCAACATTTTCACCGCGAAGATCTGCAAGGTGGTGAATTTTTGACAGCACTGATGCAGCCGACAGCACCAGGCTCAGCCCGGAAGAACTTGCCAAATTGAGCAAGGACACTGGCGGCGTAACAATGCGACAATGGGACTGGCAGGTTATAGCCCTCAATGATCTTCAATGAATCTACCGTTGCAACCTTTGCAACCACGCAGTTATATGTAGGCCAATCTCCTCCAACCCTTGACTCAGATCCCGTGAATTCACAACCCGGTGATCAGGAGGAGCGAAAGGCCTACCACGAAGCCCGTCGTGCTGCCCAGCCTCAGCCTGCGGCCAAGAAGCAGCTGACCAAGGTGGGGACAGCTTTCATGGGAGCCTTGTTCCACCATCCCTGCTTGCTCTGGCCAAAAATGATGTGTCCTTGTTCACCAGGCTGAAAGAAGGGAAGAACAAGAGTCACAGCGAAAGGCTGGTGGGCAGACGTGGAACGCAATGTGGCACATGAGATAGTACTCGTAATGGATGATATATATATATAGTATATATTATATAGACTGATGCACTGATGGACCAATGCATTTGGTGGAGCTATGCGGAGATGTTGCTTTGATAGTCTTGACATCTTCGTTCTCTGTGAGGCAAAGGAGGAGAAGACCAAGAAAGTGGGCAATGATGAAGAGCTTCTGGCCGAGCTGAAGCTTCAAGGGCTCAATGAAGATCAGGCACTACTGGGAAAACCACACATAGATTCACTGATTGCGCACGGACGGGCTGTGATGTATAGTCTCCTGCATGTTTTCATGTTGTTTATTGTGGCCCGGTCTTGGAAGGGAAGTGCTATGCTTTGCATGTTGGCTCGAAAAAGAGCTTCAGACATAGAGTGCAATGGTCATATCATCGTAGGACTACGTGGCCAAGTGCGTTTTCGGAAATTCAGGACATTCCAAGATTGCATACTTCTCATGAAGGGAAGTCGTCTCCGGTCAAATGTCTTCGAAAGGAAGACTGAGACCATTCAATAGTAGCTCTATGTATGTATGTATGCATTGTCAAAGAAACATGTTCAGTTCTGTTGTTTTGCGGGGCGTAGTCGTAGGGAAACATGTTTTTCGGTTTTCTTCGCATATAGTATGTTACCACGGCAACAGCTCAGGGTGTCTCCTTTGCCAGGCGCGGGAAATGGCAAAAGAGATGCAGCAGGGTGAAAAGTTGGAAGGTGATGATGACGATGAAGGTGAAGGAGAAGATCTGGGTGCCTCAGTTGCCCGGTGGATGAGTGAACAGGACGGGACTTTAGGGAGCCGTGGGAATTCAGTCCACGCAGCTGGATGATGCTTCAAGGTCCTGATGTGATATTCATTGGTTTGCTTGGCAGGAGGATGCTTGGTATAGTGCTGACATGTGCTGACCCATGTTGTGCCGTATTGTGCCGTGCTGTTGCATCCTGAGCAGGAGGAAATTACGAAGGAGTCCTTGAGAGACTTCAACATGAAAGTGCGCTGGCAGGGCCATGTCAACACATTGCCAGCGGATCACCTAGGCAGGGTGAGGGCCGGTGAGGGGGGTTGGAAGCAGTATCAAAATGTATCTGGTGTTTCCAATGATCAATGAGTTTCGTGTGCTGACGCTGGTGATTGCAAATGATGAGATCGGCCACTGTGTCGCAACTCTTTCCTGTGAGAATACTGCGAGCAGACCCATTTAAGTTGCGATGGGAGGTTGTATCCTGAAGATCCTCTTCAAGGATGCATGTGCCAGCTGTGACCTTTCTGGCAAGCTTCCGCCCTTCGCCTGTTGCTCCGGCAGGGGTCTAGGATATCATAACTAGGGTTAAGATGGGTTAAGCATGAGTGGCATCTGGTGCAGTTCGAAACGGTGCCCTGATGAAGATCAGAATGACAAATCCGTCGTTACTCCCCCAGAATATATTGAGTAAACATGTGTAAAATTGCAAAAAAAACATGATAGATTTTGGCCCATCTCCAGTTTTGCTCCAAAAATGGTGGCGAATTGCCACCATTTTCTGGCCCCACTACATGGCCATAACATCAGCAGGTTCCTATATAATTAGCATTAATTAGCCAAATTTGGCAATGGGAATCCCCCATTTATAGATGAGTTTCCCCGCTAGCCCAGGATGCCACGGAAGCCTAGGCCAACCGCTGTGGCTGAAAAGCTGAAAGCTCCCTTGGCACGCTGGGCACCAGTGCTGGAACCGATGTATCGGTCGACCCTTGACATGGAGCTGTCAAAATGATTGGCCAAAAGCATATGGAAGTGCTGTGAAAATGAGCATTACAGTATGATTACGGAATGTTGTGAGCAGTTTTTTTTTCAAGCTTTTGGGGTAGACATTCAATGAAGAAGCTCACACTCACAACAGTTCGTTATAGAAATTAAGGCTATCCTATAGCACGTCTCTTCACAAAAGCATGTCTTTGGCATATCAACGCTCTGGTCTGTCTCAACTCCACCAAGATTAATTAATCCTGTGATCAATCCAAACCAAAAAAAACATGTTTCCACACCTACTCTGACCTTTGGACTAGTTACCAAGTTGCCAAATCTTTGTGTTTTCTTGTTTTTTGTTTGTTTGTTCGGTTTTCTCGAGGTTTTGGTATGATCCTGATTAATTAATTTGGATTCATAACGTCCTACATCATGACTCCGGCTAGTTCCGGCCTTCTTGTCTCCAAATTTGGAAAATCAGATGCTCGGAGACTTGGGCATGGGTTGAGGGCAATTTTGTAGTTCATCTATTTCCACCTAGTTTTCTGCAGAATTTGGCACTGTTCAAAAACAATGCCGCAACAATTGAAACAAAATAAAGCAGACAAAGTGCACTTAGGACATGGGTTCGGCATTTGTTTACATACAATCTTCCAATATCTGTGATCCCAAGTCTTATTTTTCAAAGAAGGTGATATTCCTTACAGAAAGTGTGGCCTGACTTTGTGCATTCCCTTTGAAAGATTGCAATATCTTTGAAAAGAGTGCAGTAATGGTCTGAAATAGACCTTCAATGCGTACACAATTTCATAAAAGCATGGCGGCTTCTGCTAACAGATTCCAACACCATTTCAAATTAAGGTCCACTTATATGTATATATATAAACACTAAACACACACATGGCGTATATATATATATATATATTATGTATTATATATATATATACGCCATGGTGTTCTTTTGTGATCATGGTATTCTTTGAAGTGAATGTTTATAACATGTATAACTACCTGGAATATGTTCCTTCAAGAAAGTGCATCATCTCTTTGAAAAGGGTGCAAGATTTCCTCAGACATCAAAACATAATTCCAAAGTTCAAGATGGAGTTATTGTATGTTATAGTGTTCCTTTTATCAAAAGAGTATGATATTCCTTGAAAAAAGTGTGGAAAGTAGTGTTTTTCTTTAAAAGCTATCAGTTCCTTGAGGGAGATGCAATACTCTCTTATTAAGACAATGGAATTTGATTCCAAAATGTAATCCTTTTACACATGCAGCACTCTTTCTGTAATAATATGGTTATCCCTTGGTGCATAAGGCATTATTTTGGGAAGTACCCTCTGCAAAAATGATGGAATCACTTGATCAAGAAGAGTGCACAACTCGTTCATCTTAAATACAGAAACTATAGTTTCTTTAGAGAAAGACCTGGTTCTTAAGGAACAACAAACGAAGACTGAACCTTTTCAACATGAATACTACACGTGTGAAGACAATTATTTTTACTTTTGCAGGAACATGGCTTCTTGAAAATGATACTATATTGTCTTATGGTGGGGTACTTGCCATGTGTAGGCAACATAGTCATTTGACATGATGTTCAAGGAATATTGTGTTGATGCATTGGGTATTGCACTTTTGACATGAATTCTGCATATTAAAGGGGTGGCTGTAAATCGAAAAGCACGCTACATATGGCACAGGAATATAACTTAATGAAACATGCTTCTTTACAAGCTGGGGATGCTTCATTCTTGCATGTTATATTGCATTTTAGAACGGGAATGCACTATCTTAAGCTCATGCTACATATTATAGAAACATGTTTACCCTTAAATGGAAGGCTGTACTTCATTAGGGACGCCCTGCATCTTTTAGAAAAAAAAAACATTATATTTTGCAAGGGATAGTGGAAGGGTTCATGAAACTATTTCAAGGATATTATATAAGATGCACATATGTTTCAGCTTATTCCTGAATTGTGTGTACTTACAATTATGCATTTATGGTCCTTTACCTTATGACTCTGATGTATTCAGTTAAGTGCAGTCAATAAGAACAACATATTTCACAAGGATATTCTTAAACAATATATATATATAATATATAAACTTAACAAGATTTTACATGGGAATTGCATGGAACTAGATGTCCAAGTATTTCTGAATAAAAACCAGCCTTTCTTGATTTATGGCAATTTTGAGCACATAGTTGGGTGAAAAGTAGCACATAGTTGGGTGACAAGTATGTGCTTAAAGTGCAACCTGTTCATATTTGGATCAGAAGGATTTGCAAAAAAGAATGCCATTCATTTAACTAAATTTTCTGCCGCTCACAACAGTCCCCTCCCCACAATTAATCCCATTAAAATACCCCAAAACAAATCCAATCCATATGGACCAAAGATGATTTAGTTTAGGATGAGTTTTCTCACGCAGATTTGAAGTCCAGACGAAATGCCACCCTTTTTGAAACACACCCCGGGACTGGGACCGAGACTGGTTGAACGTTGGGCTTTGGGGTTCAGAAATCTCAGGATCCCGTTTGCTGAAGATCCCGATGAACATGTGCTTTACATGTAGTTATAGTATGTTATAGTTATTACACAGGTTTAAACGGTTGGATTACACAGAAAGACACCCGAGGGGATCCAGCTTGATGAAAGCGATGTGCTTCGTGGTTGTCGAACGTGACACAATTGAAATTTGCTGCATAGAGGCCTGCAATGGAAAACTGATTGACAAACCTGAAAGGAATGACGAAGATTGAACCTGAAACTGACGGGAGATGTGCTAAGGAGGGAAACAGATTAGAAAGGAGGGAGCTCGCGGTGGTCAAGTTATTTCTCGTCTAAGTGCCCTTGAGAGCAGAGTAACATGCCATGCCGAGTCATGCCGAGTCGCAAAAGTTTTGTTGCGGCTGAGGATTGACGACGTGATGCTGGGGCCGGACTGCGTTTGCAGCGCTGCAACAGAGGCAGTAAACGAAGCTGTCCAAGCAAGCAACGGCACAGAGGCAGCAGGACCGCAAGAGTTTGATTTGGCGATGGGTATCTATGACCAGGTAAAGCTATGTTGAGAGGACGGCATATGATAATGCATGTATGATGCTAGGATTATTTTGAATAATTATTTTATTTTCTGAATAATAGTAGGCACTGATCAGATCTGTATTATGTGTATGTGTGTTTTCACTTGCGCACACACGCAGACACGGACATATATATATATAATATGCGTCGCATATACACACACATATATATATATATATATATTATACATAACATGTGTATATATATATGTGTTTGTGTGTTAATGTTAAGTTCATATTAATAAACAGCCTCAATTAACCAACACCCACATTCCAAAAAAATGTTTGGCTACTTTGGGTTGGTCCCTCCCTATTAATAGACATGTGTGACCCCCCCCCCTGCTAAACAACAACCTGCTCAGAAGTCCTTTTAATTTTGTGGTAGTCAAGATAAAATTAGTTTTTAATGGCTTTAATTGGTTTAATGTTTGCAAAAGTGATGTTTTGAAGGTGTCCCATGCCCAATCTTGCAATTTCACCCCATTGGGAGGGAGGTTGCCACTGAAAAGAGAAATCTGGACCCATTGGCAGGCAGGTTGGTTGTTGTTTTTTAAATGTATGAAAGGCACTGAAAGGCCCTAGTTTATAATTGGTGGGGACTCTTACCTTCTAGGGGGGTGATGATTGCTATGAACTTGGCATTATTCATTTCTTTAAGCTGTTTTTATTGAAATATTTGAAATGGATGCTAATATGAACATCCAACCAGATGAAAGATCAGCCAGTCCGGCCGGAGCGATCAGGAGCTGCTGCGATTGTGGGTTGCTACATGGCTTTACGAGAGGACGACATCCTGCCTGATGAGGAGTTGCTGATGGGGTGTTGGCCCCAGGTGTTTCACTTGGAACGTGCCTTTTGAGACAGCAGGGTTTGATGTGTATCGCGTTGATTGTAGTATAGTGTAGTGGATGTCATGCGAAGTGAAATGTACATAATGTATCTTAAATTCATGGTTCATTGTGGACACAGTGTTGCATTTTCGTTTGTGTGGGGGTCCAGGTGCAGGAGAATCTCTTCCGAACATCCAAGTACAGTCCTGGAAAAGTTCGTTGAATTCCTGGAAGACGCCCTGGAGGATGACTCTGACGAAGACGAAGACGAGTGACCCCTGGTCCCAGAAACCTCTCGTTCGCCAAGTCGCTGCAGACTCGCTGGTGGAGAGAAAAATAGCCAGTGCATTGCTGCGGTGCCAAGTCTGGAAGTGATGTAGTCCACCTGTAATGGCAGTATGAAACGGGGAACACAAAGTAGGCCAGCTTGTGGTCATGAGGGTCAGCTTTCCCAAACAAGTTTCCCCTACAAAACGATAACTTACAGTACCTCCACCTTGACAACTTCCGTATACTTCCGTTGAATTATGATGGGGAGGATGAAACGGGACAAAAGGTCGACAATAAAATGCCAGTCTGAGGTTGGCGGTGCACTTCTTAGGCTGCTTTGCTGCAGTTTTCCACCTGTGTGCTACTGCATAATATATCCCAATCAATAGTTGAGAGCGACATTGTGGAACAGCCGTTTGCGCGGCTGTTCTCTGCAGAGAGGGAGAGATAGATGATGATAGATGGACAGATTCAGATTGACGGATTGTTTGGTCTTTGATTGACAGAGAGCTTGTGTTTTTTAGGTGTCAAAAGGTCTCAACACTCTTCATATTACTGCAGAACGTTAAAGTGCTGTGACTTTGCTGCACAGGGTCCAACATGGGATCAAGGTTACAACCTCATGACGTATGGTTTCGCTTTGGCAGCACCGTGCCTTGGTGGTCTTGGAAATGAAGCAAGCAAGCTCGGTGAAGCCGCTAGTTCTAGCAAGTGTGTCAGATGCAGATTTGCATGAGTCGTCAATTCGTCGCTAGTTTCTTTGCATCAGGCTGATGCCAGACTACAAAAACAACGTCAACAAGGAGAAAAGCTCCTGAGTCTTGAAACCTGCCTTGCGGCAGTTTGGTTCGTGCCGCTATTCTCGGAGACATGTGGCGACCTTGGTCCAAAGTCCAAAGCTGTAACACCTTTGCACATTATGCATCATGTTGACTTCGTCGCGGTGGTCGACCGTTTCTTTTGCCAGCCCAGCGCACGGATGTACAATCGATTTTCCTAGGTAGGACGATCCTTTGCGGCAGAAGACCGTAAAAGTAGGGTTTTCCGGCAACCAGCCTTCATAGACTTTTATTTTAAGCTGGTGGTCGCATTTTGTTTCACCCTTGCTTCTGTTTCCATCAATCCAGCAGTCCAAACAGTGATAGAAAATGAAGGTGTTGATGGTATGACTTACAATGGATATCCAGGATCATGATGGGTCACCAAAATGAAGAACTATAGCTGCTCCATTGTGAATGTTTTGAGATATTTTAAGCAATCAGTGGGCCTCAGGAAAACTGCAGCCTTGGAAAACAGCGATTTCATCCAGGCCACTGCTGGAGGCAAAGAACGAGGTTTCCGTCATTGCAGCATGCCTTTGAAGTTCCAGACTGGCAGTTTCTTCTAGAGCAAGCAGTTTGTTTCAGTTGAAAGTAGTTATATAATTCATGTTATATATATATATATATATCAAAGGGCTGGATGAGGGTTATTGCTCGTTTGCGGAGTATCTCGTTACAAGTGTCCATCTCAGGGGCTCGCCTGAAAATGTTTTATTCCCAGAATTTATCTCAGATAAAAAATCCCAGAAACGCGGCGCGCGACGGATGGACAATCCCAAGAAGTCGTCTCCAAACGGGTTGGCTCAGCTTTGCGGACTAGCTTCAATTCTACAGACTCTCAAAACGCTCTCAGCAATTTTTCGTTTGACAAAAAGTCTGGAAAAAACACATGAACCCTTGAGATGGGTACATACCATTGAGACGGGCACATAGGCTGTTTTCGTGGTATTTACAATGTTCGACGTTAAGTGCTCTTCTGTGGGGTATGTATCCATCTCCAGCGTCAGCCAAAAAAAGTAGAAGTAAAAAATAAAAACTGAAATGTGACAGGAACTTGTGAAAATCACTTGCAGTTGAGAAAGGCATATCAATATATGTGGGAATCCTGCTGGAACAGTTCATGCTTCCACCAGGACTTCCAAAGACAACATTCGCGCAGTGCAACGAACGACAAACGATGAATGGCCATTTCTCAAAGAACAGTTGAGATGGGCACATATCATTGAGAAGTTGCGGGGATTTGCAAACATCCCTTTGAATATAGATTTGTTCGGGCTTGCCAAGTGAGGGGCAGTCACCTCAATTTCCTTACAAGCATTGCCAGTTGCACAGCTGCGGCCAAAGAGGCCCGACTTTCAACAGGCATACTTGTCCAGAATATCGATGACATTTCCTTCATTCTTGTTTAACTGTTCTATATTTTGGGATTTTGGGGGTTGCTGTACTCCATGATGAACTCTTGAGACAATGCAATACTCATGCCATGCTGCATTGATGCTGGTTGATGCTGGTTGATGCTTGGAGATTGCCAGATGCAGCTGTCAGGTGGAAGTCACTGGCTTCCCTGGTTCGCCACGAGCCAAGTTCGCAGCTGTGATGTGCAGGAGACTTATGAGTTATCCAACCGAGGATGTCCGTGATGAACGGCAAGCTCTACATGCAGTGGCGGGCTGATTTGTGAACAAGAAATCTCGAGAACTTGGTTAGAGTTAGAGGGAAACATGATGAACAATATCAAATATCTTGATCATTCTTGATCTGTCTTGTCTAGATAGCCAGCTATTCCTTTGCTGTGTTGGAATATGTTCGTCGCATTTCGTCGCCGTCGCCAGGGAGGAGCCTTGGAACTGGCACCCAGCCTGGAGGTCCAAAGAAGGTGCCAGTGAACAGGCGCCGTCGCAGCGGGTGACAGCATGGCGTGTGTTATTTCGCCACGAAACGTAAAGGACTGGCTTAAATGAATTTAAATATATGATAATATATGGTACATTGCTCCGATTGTTGAGTTGTTTGAGTCTTTTTGAATAGTTTCAACATATCACAAAGGAGAGAAATGCTCGATATCCTGCATGCATTCAGCTGTGCAGGTTTTTCATGGTTTTTCTGTACCGAGATGCATCCAACACAAAATGGGTGTTGCCCTAAGCTATTCCCGTCTTGTTGCTGAGGGAGTTCTTGATGAAACCCCTAAAGAGAGAGAGAGAGAGATAGGATGGAGAGAGAGAGAGAGAGAGAGGATGGAGAGAGGGAGAGCGTTTTGAAGATTCATATGATATCATACCCATTACATACCCATTACATCCCATTACTATTCCAACTATTCATTGTGTGTATTCTCTATTATATCTATTTATATCTATTATTCTGTCCGGTCTTCTCTGGACGGGATGTGAGCTGAGAAGCTGAGAAGCTCATGCCTGGCCAATGAGTTGCTCAGGTCCTCGGCTTTGCTTTGGGCGATGGCCACGAGCGCATGGCCCGTGCCCCACAGGGATAGCCACTCTGTGGAGCTCGTTGTTTCTCGTTGTACCATAATAGATCATAGTAGCATGATGCTCATTAGCGTGTGTTGGATTCCAATCATGTTGGAAGCTTGGAAGATTTAAAGAGTTGGCTCGTTGGATATCATGTGACATTATAACTATATTATAAGTTGCATAGTAAACCAGTTTGTCCGATAGCAGCTCAAGATAGCTTAAGGAAAGGTTTGGTTGTAAGATGTCCGAACAGTGCCAATAGTGGCCAAGTGTCCAGAAGTGATCGCTTCCATTTAGAATATTTGGAAGTCTTGGACATCCGTCACAAAAAGACAGGTACACATCTTTATCATCACCTGCAGTGGGCCTTGTTTGGGAGGTTGACTGCTTCAGCCTCAGAGAGTTTGGTTTTGATCAGATCATTTTGGCGTTTACAGTGACATTGTATAGTTGCAATAGTTGCATCATCTAGCCAATCCAGTCCCTAGTGCGTTTTAATTCCTTCCTATGCATTTGCTGATCAGGTTGGACAACAGCAGGTTTTTGCAGCATGTTTGCTGCATTTGTTCTTTGCTTTAGGTGGTGATCATTGGTTGCCATGCTTGCCTGCGTCAGATCCCCAAAAACCCGCTGCCAGAGCCCGGTGCCGCATGTGTTGGATGCGACAGGACCGTCCGCACCTTGCAAAAAGAGCCGCAAAGAAAATCAAAGAAAGGCAGGGTGGGAAAGCTGCAAATTCGATGTATATAATATATTGTCTAACTTCTTCATACTTGTTCGGGAGCGAAGCTGTTGTTTCCCTGGCGGTCCAAGTGATCGATCGCAGAGGAATGGTGTCCAATTGCCTCCAAGAAATGGACCAAAAAGACCACAGCTGCTGCGGGACTTGGACCTGAACTGATATCGGCCATACAGAAGCGGACTCCGATTGAAAGATCCCATAGGATATCATGGGGTGATTCACATGGAAAAATCCATGCTGTATTCCTTGGCAGGTGCTCAAGATAAATATGCGCGTTGCAACTAATGATTTTGAACGGGACTCCAAAGTTTAGATTATTTGCAAGTCTTGGCGCGTGAAATGAATTCTAGACACTTGAAATGAATTCTAGACACTTAGACAGCACATGTGCCACTCAAGATATCCAAGTAACTCACAATCACTTCTTTATGTTGGACCATATTTGTGTTTGTGTGTTTTGTGTGTTTTGACTTTGGTTCTTCCCTCATTCTGAACGGTTCCTTTTGTGCAGTTTGAAGCCTGACCCCTATGGGATCCTATGGGTCTTGGTTCGAGCCATGGCAGCGGTCATAAGAAGTTTCCTCAGGCAGGTGATCGGAACAAGGCTTGCAGCAACGATTGCATGATTGATTTACCAATTTACAAACCATGATTAACCATTATTAATGACATTTAATGACCATATAGGCCATTATCAACCATCATTAACCATCATTCACCATCATTGAAGTAACCATCCTTCCCCATCATTACAGTAACATTTATTAACCACTATTAACCACTATTAACATTTATTAACCATGTTTAACCATTGTAAACCAATGGAAACAGCGTGTCCGACCTGTGTCATGGACAGAGTGGCAGCGCCAGGCCTTTGGTGCAGCGAGCTCCAGCCAGTGCTTGCCTTGAGAGTTGGACATGGCACTGTGGTCCTTGTCATCGTGGTCCATTTTTGGGGCCCACTCCAACACCATCTTCGGGTTTGTTTTCGTGGGCTAATTCTTCCATGAATATCATAATATATATATATATATACATATTATATATAAGATTAATTATAAAATATATTATGCTAAGATGTTTTTTGCACGTTGTCGCTTTTTGACATGACCGTACCCCATGTTGAGACACATCAATTGGCCATCCATTTTTCGAGGTGGCACAGGCAGTCGCTACTTTGCGGAGATGACAGCCACACCGCGGCTGTCCAAGGAGGCGGAAAGTGCCCTGGGCTCCATCAAGGCCAGGAGCTCTGGCAGAAAATTGCTCATGTTTGGCGCAACAGATATCAACAGACCAACAGATCAAACATGATGAAACATGATGAAACTATGTTAAGAGGTCAACATACATATGCTGAAACATGATAACAAAAACGATCTGAGATATCTGAACATATCTGAAGATACGTTTCAATTCCGCAGCTATAAAGGCGTCGTTTTTGAAGGGCAGGAAGATGCCATGGGTCTCCAGGAAGATCTTTTTCCAGCAGCACTAAGGCCACTATGCAGGCACAGAAGAAGGCCGCAGCTGGAATGGTTGATAACCCCATAAACCAAGCAGTACAATGTAGCATAACCCCATGCAGATACTGTAAAAATCGCCAACCATCCATCAACCCAGATGGAAGATCAGGGGAGTGGTGGCAGTTTTGAGCTTGCCGGTTGTTTGGTGAGTTTCCCATGCAGGTCACGCAAATTAATCTCTCTAAAGCTCAGAAGAAGAACTTCCCAGGCCACATCCACAGGCTTGGTTGTTTTTGGAGCAAGTTCAGCTGGGATTGCGAAAAGCTTCCGGAGAGCATCATCCCGTGGAAACTATGCAAGTTGCAAGATTTGTAGCATGACTTATGAAAAAGGGGATGGTAATCATGCTGAAATATCTGAAAATCACGTTGGAAGTCCTTTGGAGCGGCAAGAATTGTACACCGCAGTATCCTAGCACATGGAAATTGGTTGGTTGCCGCGGTTGCATTTGGCTCAAGTTAGAAGTCAGGTAAGCGGTTCGTTGGGCCACTTTGTTTAGTGAGCATTGAGCCAGGAAATGACAACGCCGGTACAGATAAGTTTTTATTATGTGCGACCTGTAAAGCTAGTCCAAAAGACTTGCAAGCTAACAGCTGAGCCTAAATCAGTTTACCTTCAAAGTTACAACAAGTGTAGATTATTGACGTGTCTCCTCGTGAGCGATTGCAATGGCAGTCCTGGAAAGGGTGAAAGCCGCACTGGAGGGCAAAGCCAGCCTGCAGGATGTTGATCAAGCCTTGCAAGACAGTGGCACCTTGACTTGAACCAAACTCCGGTTTTGGAAATGACATCTTCTTTCCTGAATGTCACTGAATATCCTGAAGATATATTACATTTATATAAACATGTTTGAACATATTTCAGCCATCTAAACCCCATTAAGATCATTAAGCATCATTAAGCTCTTGGGAATTTCCCTCCCTAAAAGCAATGACTTTCGATTGCAGGGCCATGCCTCAGGTCAAGCTCCTGAGCTGGAAAGCATCATGGCCGCGGTGAAGGCCCAAAATTCCCAGATGATGCAACTGCTGTTGCGGAGAAAAGCGGATGTGAATGCCCAGGAGCTGGAGATAGCTGGAGATAGCTGAGTGGTTCCACCAGGTTCAGACTCACTTCAGGTTTGGAAGACATTGGAGCTACTCATACCCTAAGGCCCTAGCTGTTCATATGTTATGATTGTGTCCCGTATAATATCGTATAATATACACACCTACCGCAACGGCGAAACATGCCTTCATTAGCACCAAAACGTGCCAGGACAGCAAAGGCGTGACTGCTCTACACATGGCAGTTTTTGATGGGAAGCCACAGCTAGTGAGGCTTCTCCTCAATGCTCAGGCAGATCCAAACTTGAAAGACTGCCATGGGCCTCTTGGATGCTGGAAGGTTACCATAGTTATCATAGTTTCCATGGGAGTTATGTGTTAAGTAGTGTAAATGTAGTAATGTATATTAGGTAATCAAAAATAGTATAGAGAGGGTGTAACATGTTATAACATACATCTAGATCATTCTGATATATATATATATATATTTACATAGTGTATAGGTTTTATTATTGACACCTGTGCAGCCCTCAAACTTGAAGAAACGTATCCTTTGGGATATGCTAACGAAGTCATTACATGTGATTACGTAATCCTTTGCGATCTGTGGATCAGTTGTCCAGCTGAGGCAATCTCCCATCTTCTTTGCGCCAAGCCGGCAAATCTGTGAGATGCTGATCCTTCGAAAAGCAGACCTAAGGTTTTCCAATGCCAAGAAGCAAACACCTTTGCACTTTGTTGCCCATGCCGGGCTGCATGACGCTGCAGCATGCCTGCTTGAGACCTTTCAGAACTCAGCTTTGGATTTTGAGGATGCAACTGGACATTCGCCACTTCTTTATGCAGCAAAGTCCAAGGTGAAGTCTATCCATTCCTTTTTGCAGGGCTTCAAGACCGAAGCTAAACCAGAGGTAGAAACAACTCAGTACCCCGCAGAGAAGGACAAGCAAACTGCAGTGCCAGCAGTTGATTTACAACCAGCTCAGGGGCAGACGGAAAAGGAACCGCTGCAAACTCCGCAAACAAAGTGTCCAGAAGGACATGACTTGATTCCATTTGAATCTGAAGAGGACGACTTTCTTTGCAGCGTTTGTGAGTGCGAATTCCCCATGGGGACCATTCTGTATGGATGCCGTGCCTGTGACTACGATCTTTGCAGAGAATGCTTGGCTCATACTGTGTTCCATTCCAGCGGAAAAAGCTTCGTGGCTGCATTTCCCGAGATGCAAACCTTCCAGAGTTTCGGTGGTAGCAACAAATCCCTGTTGCAAGGCCTGGTGCTTGATGATCGAATCTATCTTGATCTATTCGGATCTATTCGTTCAGCCTTCAATTTGAGATTCAGCCCACTTCAACCCTTGGTCCATAGCATTTGGCATCATTTGGCATCATTTGAATTCATGTGGCACTGGGAGCTGATGCCAAACCCTGGGCCGAATCTCGTCCCTGGCAGGTACTGGTGAAGATATTCGAGAGGCCACAGAATCAGAAGACGACTCCTTCGCTTCGCAGCAGTTCTTTGCAGAGGAGGCCTTGGGTGGCATTGAGGAGGAGCTACTCAGAGCAAATTCAGACGATTTCTGGTAAACCTGGTAAACCATACTCTGAATGTCCTGACAACTCCTGACAGTTTTGATAATTAATATTAATTAATCATGTTACAGTATATCATATCACATTATAATATTATATCCATTAAGCTTTCAGGAAATTTCAGGGTAATTGTTCTTGAGTAACTTCAATAGCACCGGATAGCACCGGTAAATATGTGATGTGATGGTGGTAGCCTAAGATTGGAAGTACAACCAGTGCTGCCATGGCCTTTCAGAACGGAGTACTGAATGGAGTTTTGGGCCATGTTCTCTGCGAGTCTTCTTTCCATCGCTCTCAGATGGTTTCACAGTCACATGTCATTCGCACAAGAAAAGTATCAAAATGCATCAACACACGCGCACATATATATATATATACATATATATAATTATGTATAATATATATATATATGTGTGTGTACACACGTATTTGTGCATGTTGGGGGTCTCCTGCTGAGGAATGGCTGTCTCTTTTGGCAAGTCCTTCTCAAGAAGGACACACAAACTCTTGAAGCATACCATGTGAAATGTCAGACATCAAACAGAATCAAAGAGGGTGTTTCTTTTGATTCGGAGTCTTGCAAGTCTTGCAGGGTGAACAAAATACTCGGACATGGTGGTTTCAACTGACTCCCTGCAGGACAAAGCCGAAGACAAATATGGTTTTGCTCAATCAAACGGCAGAGTAGAATTTGAGATGCTGCTTAACAAAGGCAAGAAGGAGAAAATGGAAGGTCCCAATTATTTAGTGGTGAAGCGAGTCTACAAAGCTGGTTTGCTGGCAAAGTGGAACGAGAGAGTGCCACAATTGGAGGTGAAGACTGGAGATCGCATCATTGCAGTCAATGACCAGAAGTCAGCAGAGGACATGGCTAAAGAGATCCATGCTCCACGGATTTTTCTGCAGGTGATGAGGCACCAGACTGCACGGGTGACTTCAGTTGTTGTTTGGGACATAGAGCGAGTAGCAATAGAGAAGGTCACCAGAGAATCTATCATTTCTCCTGATATATAAATGAAATCAATATATGAAACCTAATCAATGGCTACAAGGAGCCGGCTCTCCATGAGTCCCGGTTGACCTGTAACCCTCACCAACATGATTCCCCAATGGCATTCCAGACTTATTGTTTCTGATTGTTCTAACATGTTCTAATATTGTTCTTCCTGATTTTTTTATATTTGATGATATGATATTTGAATAGATAGTAAAAAGATGTAAAAAGTTTGATGAATTTCGGCCGGACTTGGTCCACGTGCGGTCCTTAAATGCCCAGTGTGTAAATAGGGAGACATAGAATGAAATAGACCAGGATTGTTTTTTCATGTTTTTGAATGCCGATTACATCCGGTTACTATACCTGCTTTGTTGCAGGTTCCCTGATCGTTTTATCGTAGCTCTGAGCAAAGAGAACGGCGTGAAGTTGGGCTTCCGCTTTGAACGACCACAAGGAAACTTCTCCGAGGACTGGCAGCTGCGGCAGGTGGGAACTATGGCTTTAGCTGCGATTACTCAATGGTTAACTATTGTAGTCACATTGTAATCAACCTTAATCATGGGTAATGTATGTCGAAATTCTGTTATAACACGCTTTCTCCCTCTCAATGGCATTGATCCTCAGCTTTGTTTGGGGTTTTGATTCAGAAGAACATCAATCAACACCTTTTGAGGAAGCTACATGCCCCAGAGAAAGCACAAGACGCAGGAGTGTGAAAATCTACTGGGGGTTCAGTGTTTTAACCCCCTTCAATCTCCTCAATTTCACCTCGCTCCCTCAGCTGCTTTCGATTAATATATTCAAAAAATGGAAACAGCGTTTCTGAGCGAGCATGTCCCCACAGACTTCCGAGTATGGCAATAGAATCCAATCTATGTCCATACAATATACATATACAATGTATATATGTATAGTAAATCATAGTAAGTAATATACATATATATACATATATATATAGATATAATGATATATAGATATATAGATATACAGATATATAGATATATACATATGTATATATATATATATTCATATTCATGCGAGTGGGATATTCCGTTTATCCCTAAGTTTGCTGCTCAACTACATCCCCCACGGTTGCTCGATATGAACATGTATACAGTACAGGTTGCATCACAGAATGAAAGGATCACATCGCACATTGAAAGCAATTGAAAGCAATCAGATTTTGACGCCAAAGATTATTGGGAAATGTGCAGATGTGGGTAGCTCGAGCCACGCCTGAAGGTACAAAATCTTACATGGTGCGTTTTGTCCCACTCAAATTCCGACATCGCAGGAAGTACGCATCACCGAGGTCATGGAAACTGGAGAGCCTTGGCTTGGCGCAATGAGAGTTTACCATGGGTTTTTGTACTCCCAGACAAAAAGATCCTTAAGGTTTCCAGTCCTGTCATGATTTGTCATTTTTTCCCGTGGTTGATGCGATTGATTGTCATTGCCAATCACTAGCACAGCCGTAAACTTTGCAAGCACTGCGAGGCGATGATGAGCTACAACAAGACTCAGGTGGGGATGGGCCAAAACCATTCCAACCTATATACATCCTGTGGATGGAAGAAATCCTGCACCACCTGGGATGGTTCGAACCCTATAAATAATGGGATAAACATGGATAAACCACTTATCAACTGGTCCACAGTATGATTACCACGTTTGGCGGAATAACTATCCATTCGGTCCATTCACCATCTAACCCATGACTCAGGTGGCTCTCAGTCGCTATGCCTTTGTGGTTTTGCCAGACATGCGCATCGATCGGGTCAACGATGTTTGGGGAGATGCCGAGCCTTGGAGCAGTTCTCCGGGAGTTGCAAGTCCCAACATCATTCTGCAAGTACCCTCTGGTAATTTAACATAGCTATTGAAAATGGCCATTTATAGTGAGTTTTCCCATTAAAAATGGTGATTTTCCATAGTTATGTTAGTTTACCAGAGGGTATATCCAATAGTGAATCCATATATTGTCCAAATCTTTCATAGATTCATAGATTCATAGTCTATCCAGGATTTCTTTGAATCTCTTTTCCCCGAATAAGAAGTTGGCAGGAACCCTCCAACTATATATTTTTCATTTTGAAATCCATAGTTTTCGGCAGAATCTCGTTTCATTGTCCTTAAACCAAGGCAACGATAATGATATTTCATTCTCAAAAGTGCTTCTCCCAGGAATGCTACATAGCATGAATGGGTATTATTTTCCAACTGTTTGGATAATACATATATTATATATAATATATTGTAATATTATATGACAGTATAGTACTGTATAGTATAATATAGTATATACATATTATATTGATGCACGCTTTTTCATTTGTCCATTTCAACACGGTTTCGGGGCCGGCCTCAGGAGCTCATTGCAGGGGAGCTCAAGGCCGCCACTATGGTGGAGATCCACATCCGCAGAGCTGAGCACAGCGGCACGCCGTCACCGTGATGGGTTTCGAGGATCCCGGAAAGAACTGGTCAGATGATAAACCATCCATTTGATCATTAAAATCATTTAAAATCCATTAAACAGAAACAGCAAAACAGAGCAAAACTATGAAACATGATGATGAGAATGATGAAAATGATCAGAATGATCAAAATGATGAGAATGATTAGAATGGTGAGAATTAGGAATAGTTTGCCATGTTGTTTCTATCAGCAATAAAGTCCGTAAACGACCAAACGTATTCAACAGTATTGAGAGGGATTCACATTGATTTCAAATGTATTTAACAAGATGATGCAAGATGATAGATAAATGAAGAGTAAGTGGTGAGAATCCACCATCATCCATCCAACCATCATTCATATGGGTACCCATATATGATCATATGAATCATATATCTATAGTTGGAAAACTGATGATGAAGTGCTGTAATTGATCATCCACGATCAGCAACGGTTACAGGATTCTCAATGAATGTGATGGTGGCCGTGTCAGGTGCCTCCCGCTAACATAGCCGCTTAGTCATGTCGATGAGGTCAAACCTCGAAATGCCCGGTCTCACCCTGTGCCGCAGAGACGGTGAGCTCTTCTCCCTAAGGGACTTCGGCGGACGAAAATGTGCCAGTGATGCCTTTTGAAGTTCTGATTGTGTCACGATGTGTCACGGCATTTGGGCCCAGAAAACCGTCAGATTGCAAGACTTTTTGCACAATGGAGATGTAGTGTGTCAATGGACAGGTATATTTGCATGGGTGGCCGCCCAGAGTTTCACAATGCCTTGACCTCAGCAACCTTTCACATTTGATCTCCGACTGATCTCCGACTGATCTCCCCATCTCTCATCGTCTCTCATCTCCACGCCAGATGGATCGCAACAGATACGGTCGGATCTTTGAGCTGAATCCCCAGATGGCAGTCGGTGGAGAGAGCATGATGTTCTGCTATGTTTCTTGCTACCATCAGCTCCTTTGAACTGCATGGAACTGAGTGAACTGCTGTATTGCTCCAAGAATTGCTGGCCCATGTGAGTGCAGATGTCCATGTTGCCATGTTGCCAATGAGGCCCTGGCACAACTTTGAGGTGAAAATCACGCAACTTGGCCTCGTGTTCAAGTCGTGTTCCTATGATTTGAAAAAAATCTCACATGCAGCCAGTTTTCCCCACACATCCGGCATAAAGTGCGAATCTTCACAAACTTGCCAACAGACCACAAAAGTTTTTGTCTTCAAGCCGTTTTTTTGGCTGGGATGGATTGAATTGTTTTTGTTGACGTTTTTGACTTGTGTCCATACTGTCAGTTCACCTTAGCTTAAGTCACGATCCAGTCAACAGTCGACTTCTGACCATGTTGGAGACAGCTTCTTGGAGCGCCGTAGGTCCTCAAAGAACAACTGCTGGATTACGGTGAAGAACAAGAGCAGGAATCTCAAGACGGGTTTTAACTTTGGTGGCATGCATGAGTATATAATTATATATATATACATTGTATTATATGATTAATTACACATGATTATACGTGATTACACATGAATATAATATATATATATATATATACGATTATTTATATTATATATGATTATCCATGGCCATTCATCATTATACATGATTACGTATTATTTCACATGATTACACATGATTATGTACATGAATTATATTTGATTATATTAGATTATTCATGATTGTGCATGATTATACATTGCTATACACATGATTATAAATGATTATATGACAATACAATTTTACATATCATCATACATTATTAACTCATTCATTATGTGTTATTCTATTTTAGTGGCTGCATAGTGCCAGGATGTACCAGGTGCCCATAGTTCTTGAACAAAGGCTGGAGACACCGCTGCGTCATCGTCTCTCATGCTGGCAATGTTGGTTTCCGTGGCGCAGCTCTGATGCACTTTCAGCATAGCGGTGAAGTCGTTGACATGTGTGCGTTTCCGAGGTATTCCTGTTTTTGGCGGCATGGTTGAAGAAATATGTAGGATGATGTAAACTGCGACAAGCTTTTTGGGTGCTGTACTTGGTGCTTGAGGCTATGAAAAAATCGGAAGCATGCACCTACGCGATTGCCGGGAACTCAGCTAGGTATAGCTAGGTTACATGCGAAGAAGGGCCCCCTGAGAACCATAATTGGGTTATAACATGTTATAACCCTAGTTACCTTAGTTTATGGTAGTTGTAACCCCACTTATACTGTACCGGGATACAAATGGGCGGTCAAAACATTTTACCATGTTCACCTCAAAATAGCGTGTACAATGTTGTAAATGGATGTAAATGGATGTAAATTGATATGGATGTTCGTCCCAGGTCATAGAGTCATATGATGTCTTATATGATTTATATGGCATTCTAGGTCAAATAATCCATTCAATCCATTCGTCCATTCCAACATGAGTACAACAATAGTACAACTAGTAGAGGCCCCTCGTCGTACTCCATGCAGACATTGTTTCTCCTGCAGGGCCTCAACATCGCCAAGAAGCTGCGACGCCTTGGTTTGGAGCCTGGTGAGATGCAGAGTTCATGTGAGATATCATGAGATATCCACATATCCAGGGATCTACCATATATATATATATATATTATTCCCCACCTGCCAGGTGAGGGTTGTTAGATTTTATCAGAGCTGTTCTCCTCATCCTCCTCCTCCTCGTCCTCCTCCTTCTCCTCCTCCTCCTTCCTCCTCCTCCTCCTCCGCGTCCTCCTCCTCTTCTACCACCTCTGCCTCCACTTCCACGTCCACTGTTGCCTTGCCAACTCTTGGCCAAGCTCTTCGCAAACTTCGGAGCTCAGTGCGCACTGCTGGACCTCAAAAGCCAGATAGAATGCCAGAAGATACCAGATAGAATGTCAGATAGAATGCGAGAAGATATGCCAGATAAAATGCCATAAGATTTGCCAGATGATATGCCAGAAGATATGCCAGATAGAATGTTAGAAGATATGCCAGATAGAATGCCAGAAGATATGCCGGATAAAATGCCAGAAGATATGCCAGATAGAATGCCAAAAGATTTGCCAGTAACAAAACGCATAGATGTCATGGTGGGGATAACTCGAAGTAAAGTAATTATTTATATAATTATTTATATATATATATATTGATATGTAACACATACACACACACATATATATATATTAATTATATATAGATTATATATATATATATAATATGCGTATGCTACATTCACCAGGAAGAGTCACTCCGTTGTCGGATTTTGACTTGGAATCTTTCTACGGATGTTTTTTGTTGGTCTAAGAGTCTATAAGCATTTGTGATTGTAGGCGTGACATGTGCTGAAGTCCAATTCAAGCGCCTTATGAAGGCGGGCGTCACAAACAGAATGTTGGCATATTTGATGGTGAATCCAACGCAGCAGATCGTCGCAGGTCGAGACTGTCCTTCAAGCCTTTCAAAACGTTGGATTGCAGGCCAGCAATGCTTCTGCATGTGCATGAGCCCTTATGAGCCCTTATGTACCACCAGACTCAACTGAATAAATATAATAAATAGGAGAACGCTATCTTTCTCCAGATACGCTTTCAGTGCAGTGCATTGTTGTACTGTACTGTGTCCTTTTTCCCCGCTACCTCGGCCAGATCACAAAGATGACCCACCAGCCAGGAACACCCCATGGTTTCTTACTTGCAATGGCGAATCATTGCAGTCGTCCTGACTTCACTGCTGATTTCTGTGTGCTGTCAACTAAGGAAATCCTCACAAGCCCAGAAAACCACGGCGAGTGTGATTGGGCGAAAAGTGTCTCTTTCTAGCCGATTCTCAAGGCCTTCTGCTGGAATGGACTTCAGCATTTGCAGCGTGCGGGTGTAACTGAGAAGATCCAAAAAAATAGATTGATGTGTGCAGTATTTTTCTCAGAGAAATCGACAGTTTCACCAAAAAGTTGGTTTCCGCTTTAGATTTGCCACCGCCACAAAACGGAGGAAAAGCATTGGCAGCAAGCGTCACGAGATGCTGCGTTGACAAGCCATTGTCATGCTATGACATTGTTAAAATGTGATCAAGGAACGGATACAGTACTCAAGAAAACTCATTCACAGAGAATAAATTTTACAGTGATGATCAACCATTGGACCTAGAAGGGAACATTCGTTTACCCAAAGGAGAACATGTTTTCCGAAAAAAAAACAACGGTCAGATTGCTCCCCTTGGCTTTTCTTGGCTTGCAGCAGCAGCAATGGGATGTAGCTTGGCCCCAAGGCAGGTCTCATGGCCCCTGGCTTCGGCAGTGGAAGCTTGGCCTTTGGCGAGCAGCAGCCGCCACAACGGCGGATCAAGGCAGGAAGATGTCCAAGTTCGATACCAGGATTTGGATGGGCAACTTTCGAGGTTTCCAGTAGATATTCCTTCAAAATCCTTCAAATTCAGGAGGGGGGAGAGATCTCACAGGATTTTCTGGCATGGTCAATGAATCTCACGAGTTTTTGTTTTAGGATGTTTTAGGATACATGAGGGATGCATGGGGCCTGGATGGGGATTCTCATTTGGGAACAAGTTTGAAAGCAAGTGTCCATCTGAGATGGGCATCAAGATGGGAACATGTGCTAGCTGGTGCAATGTGCGTGTATAATACGCGGCATAAAGGTTTTAAAAGGGCCCTCTCCAGCAGGTGTATCCTGGGGAAGGGAGGGGTTAATGATGATGAATATTATGTACATACCAGTTAACCTGAAATACAGGAATTACCTGTCCAATGTTGACATGCATTCGAATGGTTTCTGTAGCCTTGTGTCCCTGTGTGATCCCGTGGTTTCGATGATCATCCTAGAATAATAGGGCACAATAGGACTAAAGCTGGCAAAGCCGACAGGAATGGAGCCCTATCGATCGCATGCTTGCAGAGAAGGGCTCGAAGCGAAGGCTTTGGGCGGGAAGTGAGGAGTTGTGCTATGCGGGCTTGCCCTCTATCCAACCCATAAAGTCAGCTGACAAGATAGTTGAGAAAAACTGAGCCTGCGGCCTGAGTTTCAACAGACTTGGTGGAACAGCCTGGCTGTAGGATATACATATATATATATAATTATAATATATATATATATATATGTTTGCAGGCTTTGGTAGCCTGGCAGTGCTTAAAAGATCAAAGAGTGGGCTCTGAAGCCAGTTGGCCTTCCCGCACCTAGCAGATGGACCTCGATCCAGGTCTAAGACGGAGTTACCACCGCTCAGCCCACCACCACCTCCACCAGTGACAACTGCTGAGGTACAGGTGGGAGATTTGATCCAGGATGATCCTGGATACTTGTTCAAAGGTTCACTGGTTTGTGGTTTTCAATCATTTTTGATATATCTTGATAGTTACCTTCTTTGGGGACCTGATGACCCCCAATAGCTGATATGTTCAAGGTGGTGAAGCCACCAAGAAAAAATCAACTTGCTGGTGGAAGCTGGAAGCTTCCTTGAAGCAACATGGAACTTCTGAAGCATGTTGTGCTGGGCAGGTGCAGACAGAAAGCTGGGAAGTTCTCCTGAAGGAGGCTGTAGCTGCTGCCCTTGTTCCAGAGCATGAGAAGTACAAGGCTTTGCAGCCGCTCGGCTGCAAAGTCAGGTTTGCTGGAAAGGAGCTGGTAACTGTTCCTTCACTGTTCTGCATCAATGCTAGGATTCAGAAAGGTTGACCTTTCAAAATTTCATTGTTCAGGTAAACAGGATGCTCATGCTTCGGCTGGTAGTGGCAGATGGCTTGTCAACCTTTGGAACTCAGGGCTGAGATCAGAGCAATGCAGCAGCAACTCAAAGAGAAGGACGAAGAAATCGAGCGCGGCAAGCGGGAAATCGATCGCTGCAAGCGAGAAATTGAGAGCTGCAAGCGAAGCGCTGCAGAAGCTGTCGCAGAAGCTCAAAATACTCACACGGCAGAGCTGGCGCAATACTTGGAGGAGAAGAAGTCCTTAGATGACTTCAAGAGATTGGTGGAGAAGCAAAGGTCCTGGCCTTGGATCATCCAATGTTTTCCCTCTGATTTTCTTTCAGGTTTTTTTTGTATGTTTTTGTATGTTTTAGTAGGATGGCCCAGAACAGATGGCCAGATGGTCCCTAGGTTGCAGTGGTCACAGGAGCGTGATGCCTTGGAGGCTCAAAATGGGTCTGCGAATATCCCGAATGTCTGCTGATTTAGATGCCACCTTTGAGCGACAATAGGCCTGGCGGAAGTTTATAATTGATGCTTCACCCAATGTTCGAATCCAGACATGTTGGTGTTGACAATTCGCTTCAGTATATATATATATTATTCAAATATGATTAAATGTGTATATATATATATATACTGTATATATGTTATATATTAATTATTATATTGTAAATTGTAAATATTGTAATAAATTAAAATACAATATGATACCAGTAGTACCGCACAAGGCGGTGGCGGAAGTTTCAAAAATAGGAAACCTATATATAGGAGAGATTGGCTGTTGTGAATCAGGGATAGCAGAGCGAAGCCACTGATGGACCGAAAGGTGCTTGAGGTCTCCTCTCTTTCTCTCTCTTTCTCTGAATAGCTATCTATGTATTTATGTATCTATCTATCTATCTATCTATCTATCTATCTATCTATCTATCTTTAATCAGTGTCTACTTTTTCGACATCTTCACGTCAAAAAAGGCTCAAAACCCTCAGTTTTTTACACTTTTGACTTCAGAATGTGCTTCGTGCCACAACGGCGTGCACTTTTTTGACACTTTTTCGACATCTGAACCTCCAAAAGTGGTCCGAGACCGTCAGTTTTTAACACTTTTGACTTGGAAATCTGCTTCGCGCCACAGTGGCGTGCACTTTTTCGACATCTCAACTTCCAAAAGTGGTCCGAACCTGGTGTGTTTTGTACATTTTGACTTGGAAATGTGCTTCGCGCCACAACGGCGTGCACTTTTTCGACATCTCAACTTCCAAAAGTGGTCCGACCTGGTGTGTTTTGTACATTTTGACTTGGAAATGTGCTTCGCGCCACAACGGCGTGCACTTTTTCGACATCTCAACTTCCAAAAGTGGTCCGAAGCTGGTGTGTTTTGTACATTTTGACTTGGAAATGTGCTTCGCGCCACAACGGCGTGCACTTTTTCGACATCTCAACTTCCAAAAGTGGTCCGAACCCCTGGTGTTTTGTACATTTTGACTTGGAAATGTACTTCGCGCCACAACGGCGTGCAATTTTTCATCGCTCCTGTGGCCAGCTGGCTCCGCACCCGCCGCTTTAGCAAGCGTACTTTTCGACCCTCCGGAGCCACAAATCATTGGAAAAACACAGTGTTTCGCGACTTTCCTACCTTTTCGCGCATCTGTATCTTCTGTCCTCTTACTCTTTCTCTTCTGATCTTCTCTCTTCTAATCTTCCTCTTCTCTGTGCCTCTGCCCTGCTCTGCTTTTCATCTCTCCATATTGTCGGAAGTTTGACTTCTAAACTTCCTTCGATTAGATTAGATCGTTCATGTTTCAAGTGAGTGGCAAAGTACTAGTGAGTTCACAAGCTTTTGAACACAAAGGAGCGTCCAAGGGAATGACTCTCAGAGAGGTGTAGGGTAATCATTTAATATTATCATTTGAAATGGATTTCCAGTGGATCGATGTTATACAAATATTAAATCGATTAATACAGTATCATTCAACAATTTTTCACCATGATGGGTTAAAACTTGAACGATTCACATTTGTTGAATTTGTTGACCATTTTCCCTCAGTTTCCAATTTCTGCAGGGCAGTCCCAAGTAGCTGCGCCCGGCCAAGCCAGGCTTCTCAGAATTTGCTGCGTGCAGAGCTACAGTCAGCCAGAACTGAAGCCAGTGACGAGCGCTGGCAAAAGGAGGACGCCTGAGGGTTTCAGAAAGACATGGAACGATGAAGCCGTTTCTGCTTCATGATGTTGTTTCATGTCGTTTCCAAATCATGGCAAAAGAATGCAAAAGATTGGTTTTCAATGGTTTAGATATGTCTAGGTGAGATTCAGATACTGTGATATGTGTGATCAACCTGGCTGATGGTGCGTCTATAGGTAGATGGTAACAGTTAAGTTTTTTTTTTCCGTTGGATCAGGAGATGGAGAAGGACCTCTCTTCTCAGCTTGAAGCTGCCCGTGTTTGGGCTGCATACTTGTCATTTTTCGTGCATGTGTGTTTTTTCCGGAAAAATGCTACATTAAGTTCTCTTTGCAGGCTATCATGTACAGTGACTATTTCAGTGGCGCCTCCCTCGCTTGGCCTAGTCTAGGTTTTCCAGCCTAATTGATAAATGCTATCCGGCGTAAGATTTAGCACAAGAATGTGTCGCATTGTATGATTTGTATGGAGGTGGTGCTTCATGGGCCACAGAGTTAAAGTCCAATGCACCTTGTTTTTTTTTTCGAAGGCAAAGCTCGGGCAGATTGCCGTGAAGAAATGGACGCCTTGCAAGATCAATTGCGGCGGACCCAGGCACTACTGCGCATGAGTCATTACTTATAGGAGGTAATAGGAGAGTCAAATTGAAACAGAGCCAAGGCTTCAAGGTGACAATGCTTAGACCATCAAAAGCCAAGGAGAAAAGAATAACTATAATTTTTGCACAGTGCCATATTATAATGTTAACAGACACTGCAAACAAGTCTGAAAGCAGCGGCAGAGCTTTTCGCAGCTGCGAAGGATGATATGAAATCCCTCCAGAAGCAGATGGCTGCCTTGAAAGAGGAACACCGAGCTGTAGCCAAGGCTGGAGTGGCTGGGAAGGCGGTGGCCAACGATGGCCAAGGTATGGCTTCACAGTGTGCGACTGTGACGCCAGGAACGAGATGATCTTCTACAGCGGCTGGAAGATGAGCAGGCGGAAATGTGCCTTGCCAAAAAGTCGTGGGACATGAAAGTTACGTAAAGTTACTGTACATGAATTTAGTGGGTGGGTATGATCAAAACACTTCAAGCTTCAGATTGCTGACAAAGCTAGGGATGAAAGGTAGCAAGTTGTGGCACACCAAACTCCAGCAATGTGCCACTGGGACTTTAGAATTTCTAGAGGGAATGGAGGTTTGGAGGAAGGTCAGACAAAGCTGAAACATCTTGGGGGCCACGGACATGCCAAGGATCGCCCGCGTGGCTGCTATGGAAGAACAGCTGTCAAAGAGGGGCAGGTAAAACAGCTCCTGAATTGACCATGAAACTGTAGGATACTGTAGGATACAATTACTGTACAGTTACAGAACCTCCACGTTTGGACGCGGCTTGCCCGGTATGGTGCACATATTCAAATATTGATGTATACTAAATACTGTAGTGAGTTTCTGTAGTGTTGCTTGTGCTTGACCGGTATGGGACAAAGGCTTGTGACATCTTGTGACTAAATATGCGAGCTGACATGCTGGAATGGGAGCACATGTTGTTTTTCGACGAGATCTTGCTTGCAGATCATGTTTCTCTCTGAGTCCTTTTGCTCATGACTCTGACTCAAACCAAACAGAAGCGGAGTGCAACGCACCAATCGATAGCCCAAACTGACAGAACGAGACTTCAAGAAAGAGTGTTTTTTCAAGCACCATGGTTCAACGTCAAGTCTGCAAGTGAAACTTGTCAAGGAGACGCACATCAAGCGCTAATCATGGCGCATGGCCGTGTGTCGAATTCAACGTGTTTCACTTGAAGGTCCATATCAAGGGACAAGAGAGGAGGCAAAAAAAGCAAGCAGCCAGGGTTTGCATGCATTTGATCGCCACATCATTGATGGTTCCATTCTCCGAAGCGAATATGCGAATAGCCTAGCTATTCCTCAACATTGCCACAAGCATCCAGCTTAGACAGTCCAGTTCAGAAGTCCAGTTGCTTGTGCAACCGGCTGCCAGACTCAATTGTACATATTGTACATTTCACGAGTTTTTCATTATTATTGATAAATATATTAAATATCAAAAATTATCCAAAAAAACATATACTGTAGCTATTATATGTGCATATATGTGCTATTATTGTGTTTTATTGCTTGGTATTGCAAAGAGCTCCCCTAATCGCCATGCTTCGTTTGCGGCGCCTCACTGGAACCCTAGGCCAAGGGAAGCCCTGGAGCCATGGACGCCGGGCATCAACTTTGGATCCAAAGGCTGTGGCAGCCTTCGCCGCATTGGAACATGAAAATTGGGAGAAGGCCAAGCGGTTCAGAAACGGCAGTGTAAAGGATGTATTTTGGGACACAACAGGATTTAAGATGATTTAAGATTGTCAAGATATTATTAAAATGTATGTGATGGAGTGATGGTTTCGTACAGGTGGACTGGGTGAGTACAACTCGAGTTGTACTGATATATATATATATATAAATATATATAATTATATGGAAATTTGCACAACTAGGACCAAGTTGTTCAATGTTTTAGATGTGAAATCGATGCGAATTGTCATTCACGTGCAACGGCATAAGACCACTCCGAAAAGGCCGTGCTGGCCTACGACAAAGGCTTCGGACCTTTGACGCGCCAATGTATCCCCGAACTGTTGGATGCTGTTCACTGCAAACCTGGCAGCAGGCTTTTGGATGTTGCCACAGGACCTGGATTTGTTGCAGAAGCTGCAGAAAAGGCTGGAGCATCGGTGACTGCCATGGACTTCTCTAAGAATATGCTTGAATTGGCTGAGAAGCGCTTGAAGGCAGATGTGAAATTGGTCGAAGCAGATGCCGCGGCAATGCCTTTTGAAGCAAGCTCCTTTGATGCGGTGGTGTGCAGTTTCGGGGTGCTCCATTTGCCTGTGCCAGAGGACTTTTTCGCTGAATCGCTGCGGATTTTGCGTCCAGGTGGCCGCTTAGGTTTCACAGTTTGGGCAGCAACTCCAGCGACTGAAGCCATGGCATTGGTTCATGAAGCAGTTCAGCTGCATGGAAATCCCAACGTTCCTTTGCCAGAAGCTCCACCCTTTTTCCGCTTTGCCGATGTGAGTGATACTACGACCACTCTGGAGACCGCTGGATTTTGTGCTGTCGAATGCAAGCAGGTCCCAATGACTTGGGATCTCCTGGACCCCACAGAGGCCTTCGTGACGTTTCGCGACGGGACTGGCCGCACAGCTGCGCTGCTAGCTGGACAGACTGAGGATCAGCTGAAGGCTATAGAAGAGCACATCACCAAGGGTACTGAAGCGAAGAGGACTGGAAAGATGTGCCGATTTCAGATGCCATGTGTTCTCACCATGGCGCAAAAACCATAGATTTGGACTGACCGCCTCAGAAGAAGGCACAATGGGGAGCACAAAGACATGATGACACTATGTGTGACTCTTAAAGTACTTCAAACAGTTGGATTCCTAGTCTAGCAGCACCATGTTCCACCATTGATTGATGCTAGTCAGCCCTAGAAGCGGAGCTGAAATATCGGCTCCAGCTGTGCATGTCACTTGGCATTGGTAACCACCAGCCGTGTGCCCGCTACAGTAACTCAGTACTGATCGGAAGATGTGGGGTTTTCATAAATAGAATGCATAGTGTAGCAATGCATAACGAGCTAAGACTTAACGACAAAGTATGATTGCAGTTGTTGATAGCTTTTGTGAATTCTGCGGCGACCATGTTGCAACATGTTGCAACCTTGCAATGCAGTGGGAGTCTGGAACATCCCCAATTTTACCACAAATGGATACAAATGGGCTGCAAGGATCAGTTGGATCAGTTCAAGATTTATGGCAGGATGCAGTAGGATGCAGTGGGTTTATCAGGGTTTACTGATGTTTACTGCACATGACCTCAGCATACGTCAGAGAGCGACCCACCATGCTGCCAACCATGTTGCGTCCTTGTCAGCTACAGCGCTGCAAAACCTGGGCACTCAGAGGCCCCGCGTCAAAAAGCAGGGGTGGGAAGGCAGGCCTCATTTGTTGCGGCGCAATCAAGGGCTACCAAAGTAGTATCAATATGACAATATGATACAATATGATACAATATATGTATCAATCATATTCAATTTGACCTTCTTATTGCTTTAGATAGAACTATCGATATTATACTGTAATATATTCTGGTGTGCAATGATTGTACTGATAGGGAAGTGTTCAGGGGAAGCCTGATTTGCCGGCCTGTTGTTAGGATCAGCACTTCAGACGTTCCGTGCCAATCAGCTTCGGCCTTTCAGCGACGGCAAGACGGAGGAAGGGGGTGACCGGCCACAGAGCAACGTCGAGGGCAAAAGCTTCAAATCGTGTCCAGTCTAAGTCACCGGAATGCCATGAAGATATGAAGGACCTCCCGGAAACGTCCCTTTCAAATCAGAATTTTTGGGACCAGTAGGACCAGTAGGATCAAAGATTTTGCCTTGGCATCCCACCCTGAAGGAGTGGCGGACCATCCCAAATGCCTTGACTGGATTGCGATTATGCGCTGTGCCGGGAATCGTCGCAGCATGGCAACATGGATCAGCAGATGTTTGGAGCATCAAAAATACATTTTGTCAATTTTTTGTCATGCAAATACACAAAGAAAAAAGAAAAAACAGGTCAACACTGATCATGATGATGGGATGTTCCATCCTTTTTTCTGCTCGGCGCACAGGATTGCAGATGTTTATAGGTGAGCCACCAGCCTTTCCAGATCTTTCCAGAGATTTTTTGATGCAGTGGGATGGCTCAGGTATTGGCCAAATCCTGCTTTGGCAGCGGGTCTTTTCGGAGCAGCAGCCATCACGGACAGGGTTGTGGCGGGCAAGTGCCCCCCACTGCCTCAGAATTTGTCCCCACAGGGCGACCATTCTTGTGACAAACCGGTGTCACTTTCATTTTGGGTGATTACTGGTGCTGTTTGTGCACCTTGTATCGCTGGAAGTCCAGCGATTCACAAAGTCCTTTTCCTAAGGACTTATTTGGTACGGCCTTAGGACTTATATACTGTACAGGGTATCTATATAATTCATGAAGGCCTTTCCGTCCTTTGTTTCTATTTGTGTACAGCAAGGGACTGCTAGTAACCAGTTTTACACTGCATGGATCTGCATGGCTTGTGCCAATTCTGATACCTTGTTTGGACTCCATTGTGGCCCATGGTTTGTGAGATATTTGCTTTGCTGCTTTCTCTGTCCACTGTGTGAGCAGGACTGGTTCGATGGTTATTTGGCACGACGTTGGAATCAACAAACTTCGTTGGGTGCCTTGCTGGATCCCCTGGCGGCAGCCAGGCTCAATTTTTTTGTGCTCAAACATTTGGTTTGCCAAAGGACCAACTTGCTCCCAAATCACCGACAAGCCATGCAAGTTGTACTTATTTTTCCCGAGAGCGCCTGCGAAGGGTTCTTCGTAAAAAAGCAGCCGTTATACTAGATCTTCACACCTTCACACCTGCAGATCTAGATCTTCACACCTTCACACCTGCAGATCTAGATCTTCACACCTTCACACTTCACACCTGTAGATCTAGATCTTCACACCTTCACACCTGCAGATCTAGATCTTCACACTCTCACATCTGCCGATCTACATCTTCACACCTTCACATCTGCTGATCTACATCTTCACACCTTCACACCTGCAGATCTAGATCTTCGCACCTTCACACCTGCAGATCTAGATCTTCACACCTTCACACCTGCAGATCTAGATCTTCACACCCTCACACCTGCAGATCTAGATCTTCACACCTTCACACCTGCAGATCTAGATCTTCACACCTTCACACCTGCATATCTAGATCTTCACACCCTCACACCTGCATATCTAGATCTTCACACCCTCACATCTGCAGATCTAGATCTTCACACCCTCACATCTGCAGATCTAGATCTTCACACCCTCACATCTGCAGATCTAGATCTTCACACCCTCACACCTGCAGATCTAGATCTTCACATCCTCACACCTGCAGATCTAGATTTTCACACCCTCACACCTGCAGATCATTGCAGATCTAGATCTTCACACCTTCACACCTGCAGATCTAGATCTTCACACCTTCACACCTGCAGATCTAGATCTTCACACCCTCACATCTGCAGATCTACATCATCACACCTTCACACCTGCAGATCTAGATCTTCACACCCTCACAGCTGCAGATCTAGATCTTCACACCTTCAAATCTGCAGATCTCCTCTCGCTCTTCTTCTATTCTCTCTTAAGGCGGGGGCGGTGCCGCCGGAGTGCCACGAAACGCAACCCTTTCGCACGAAATGGACATTGGACGTCCAAAACCTAGGTAAAATTGCGATTTTGATGCGTCGCGCGCAACCCTTTCGCACGAAATGGACGTTGGACGTCAAAAACTGAGGAAAAACTGCAACTTTTATTGGTCGCGCGCAACCCTTTCGCACGAAATGGACGTTGGACGTCAAAAACTGAGGAAAAATTGCAACTTTTATTGGTCGCGCGCAACCCTTTCGCGCGAAATGGACGTTGGACGTTAAAAACTGAGGAAAAATTGCGACTTTGAAGTGTCCCGCGCAACCCTTACGCACGAAATGGACGTTGGACGTCAAAAACTGAGGAAAAATTGCGACTTTGAGTTGTCAATCGCAACCCTTACACACGAAATGGACGTTGGACGTCAAAAACTGAAGAAAATTGCGACTTTAGTTTGTCAATCGCAACCCTTACGCACGAAATGGACGTTGGACGTCAAAAACTGGGGAAAAATTGCGACTTTACTTTGTTATTCGCAACCCTTACGCACGAAATGGACGTTGGACGTTAAAAACTGAGGTAAAATTGCGATGGACGCTTTCGTTTGTGTAAAAGTGCCTGTGTGTAAAAGCGTCTGTGTGTAAAAGCGTCTGTGTGTATAAGCGTTTGTGTGTGAAAGCGTGTGTGCGTGTGTAAAAAGCATCTGCGTGTAAAAGCGTCTGTGTGTAAAAGCGTTTGTGTGTCAACGCGTCTGTGTGTAAAAGCGTTTGTGTGTGAAAGCGTGTGTGCGTGTGTAAAACGCATCTGCGTGTAGAAGCGTCTGTGTGTAAAACCGTCTGTGTGTAAAAGCTTTTGTGTGTAAAAGCGTCTGTGTGTACAAGCGTCTGTGTGTAAAAGCGTTGCGTCTGTGTGTAAAAGCGTCTGTGTGTAAAAGCGTTTGTGTGTAAAGGCTTTTGTGTGTCAAAGCCTCTGTGTGTCAAAGTGTGTTTGTGTAAAAGCACCATGTGTAAAAGCGTTTGTGTGTAAAAGCTTTTGTGTGTAAAAGTGTCTGTGTGTAAAAGCGTCTGTGTGTAAAATCGTCTGTGTGTAAAAGCGTCTGTGTGTAAAAGCGTCTGTGTGTAAAAGCAACTGTGTAAAAGCGTCTGTGTGTAAAAGTGTCTGTGTGTAAAAGCCTCTTTGTGTAAAAGTTTCTGTGTGTAAAAGTGTCTGTGTGTAAAAGTTTCCGTGTGTAAAAGCCTCTGTGTGTAAAAGTGTCTGTGTGTAAAAGTGTCTGTGTGTAAAAGCGTTTGTGTGTAAAAACGTCTGTGTGTAAGAGTGTCTGTGTGTAATAGCGTCTGGGTGTAAAATCTTCTGAGCGTACAAGCTTCTGTGTGTAAAAGCGTCTGTGTGTAAAGGAGTCTCTGTGTAAAGGCTTCTGTGTGTAAAAGCCTCTGTGTGTGAAAGTGTTTGTGTGTAAAAGCGTCTGTGTGTAAAAGTCTCTGTGCAAGCGTCCGTGTGTAAAAGCCTCTGTGTGTGTGTAAAAGAAAAGCGTGTGTGTGTGCGCGCGTGTGTGTAAAAGCTTCTGTGGGTAAAAGTGTCTGTGTGTAAAAGTCTCTGTGTAAAAGCTTCTGTGTGTAAGAGCGTCTGTGTGTAAAAGTGTCTGTGTGTAAAAGCTTCTGTGTGTAAAAGCGTCTGTCTGTAAAGGAGTATGTGTGTAAAAAGCTTCTGTGTAAGAGCGTCTGTGTGTAAAAGCTTCTGTGTGTAACAGCTTCTTTGTGTAAAAGCGTCTGTGTGTAAAGGAGTCTGTGTGTAAAAGTGTCTGTGTGTAAAAGCGTCTGGGTGTAAAAGCGTTTGTGTAAAAGTGTTTGTGTGTAAAAGTGTCTGTGTAAAAGTGTCTGTGTGCAAAAGCGTCTGTGTGTAAAAGCGTCTGTGTGTAAAAGCCTCTGTGTAATAGCATCTGTGTGTGAAAGTGTGTGTGTGGGTAAGTGTGTGTGTGTGTAAAAGCGTCTGTGTGCAAAAAGCGTCTGTGTGTAAAAGTGTCTGTGTGTAAAAGCTTCTGTGTGTAAAAGCGTCTGTGTGTAAAAGCGTCTGTGTGTAAAAGGGTCTGTGTGTAAAAGTCTCTGTGTGTAAAAGTGTCTGTGTGTAAAAGTTTCTGTGTGTAAAAGCGTCTGTGTGTAAAAGTGTCTGTGTGTAAAAGCGTCTGTGTGTAAAAGCGTCTGTGTGTAAAAGCCTCTGTGTGTAAAAGCTTCTGTGTGTAAAAGCCTCTATGTGTAAAGGAGTCTGTGTGTAAAAGTGTCTGTGTGTAAAAGCGTCTGTGTGTAAAAGCGTCTGTGTGTAAAAGCGTCTGTGTGTAAAAGTGTCTGTCTGTAAAAGCTTCTGTGTGTAAAAGCCTCTGTGTGTGAAAGTTTTTGTGCGTAAAAGCGTCTGTGTGTAAACGCTTCTGTGTGTGAAAGTGTTTGTGTGTAAAAGGGTCTGTGTGTAAAAGCGTCTGTGGGTAAAAGTGTCTGTGTGTAAAAGTGTCTGTGTGTAAAAGTGTCTGTGTGTAAAAGCGTCTGTGTGTAAAAGCGTCTGTGTCTAAAAGCCTCTGTGTGTAAAAGCGTCTGTGTGTAAAAGCGTTTTTGTGCGTAAGTGTGTGTGTGTGTAAAAGCATCTGTGTGTAAAAGCCTCTGTGTGTAAAAGCCTCTGTGTATGACACAGGTTATTTCATTTTATTATGGAAAATCCCACATAAATGGCCCAAAAAAGCTCGGTACCATGATGCTGTGTATGACACATGTTATTTCATTTTATTTTGGAAAATCCCACATAAATGGCCCAAAAAAGATCGGCACCATGATGCTGTAAATGACACATGTGACAATACTTCACTAGTGAAATGTCTGCAAACGTTTGCACAAAAAAAGGTCCAATACCATAATGCAGTAAATGACACGCGTTATCTCATTTTATTCTGGGAATATCCCACAGAAACTATCAAAAAAGCTCGGTACCATGATGCCGTGTATGACACATGTCATTTCATTTTAGTATGGAAAATCCCCAGAAATGGCCCAAAAAAGCTCGGTACCATGATGCTGTGTATGACACATGTTATTTCATTTTATTATGGAAAATCCCACATAAATGGCCCAAAAAAGATCGGTACCATGATGCTGTAAATGACACATGTGACAATACTTCACTAGTGAAATGTCTGCAAACGTTTGCAACAGAGCTCGATGCCATCATGTGCTTGATGTCAAAAACAGAACAGTTTGAGTTCAGGACCATAAAATGTCATATAGAGACACTCTTCAAAAGCTTCTGTGTGTAAAAGCCTCTGTGTATGAAAGTGTGTGTGTGTGTAAAAGCATCTGCGTGTAAAAGCGTCTGTGTGTAAAAGCGTCTGTGTGTAAAAGGGTCTGTGTGTAAAAGTCTCTGTGTGTAAAAGTCTCTGTGTGTAAACGCGTCTGTGAAAGTGTTTGTGTGTAAAAGCATCTGCGTGTAAAAGCGCCTATGTGTAAAAGCGTCTGCGTGTAAAAGTGTCTGTGTGTAAAAGCGTCTGTGTGTAAAAGTCTCTGTGTGTAAACGCGTCTGTGAAAGTGTTTGTGTGTAAAAGCGTCTGTGTGTAAAGGAGTCTGTGTGCAAAAAGCGTCTGTGTGTAAAAGCGTCTGTGTGTAAAAGTCTCTGTGTAAAAGCCTCTGTGTGTGAAAGTGTTTGTGTGTAAAAGCTTCTGTGTGTAACAGCTTCTGTGTGTGAAAGTGTGTGTGTGTGTAAAAGAAAAGCGTCTGTGTGTAAAAGCTTCTGTGGGTAGAAGTGTCTGTGTGTAAAACGGTCTGTGTGTAAAAGCGTCTGTGGGTAAAAACCGTCTGTGTGTAAAAGCTTCTGTGTGTAAAAGCGTCTGTGTGTAAAAGCGTCTGTGTGTAAAAGCGTTTGTGTGTGAAAGTGTGTGTGTCTAAAAACATCTGCGTGTAAAAGCGTCTGTGTGTAAAAGCCTATGTGCGTAAAAGTGTCTAGTGTCTTTGCGTAAAGGCGTCTGTGTGTAAAAGCTTCTGTGTGTAAAAGCGTCTGTGTGTAAACGCTTCTGTGTTCAAAAGCGTATGTGTGTAAATGCGTCTGTGTGTAACAGCTTCTGTGCAAAAGCGTCTGTGTGTAAGAGGTTCTGTGTGTGAAAAACAATACGAAGGATAGGATGCAAACTAGTGTTTTGTACTTGTAATATATTGTCTTGATACTACTTGTCTCGCCTGCCTAAAATACATCTTTACTATATTGTCTTGCAATATAGTGTCTCAATACTAACAACAGAAGACCCTGCTCTCTCTCTCTCCCTCTTTCTCTCTCTCTCTCTCTCCTCTCTCTCTCTCTCTCTCTCTCTCTCTCCCCCTTTCTCTCTATCTATGTCTCTCTGTGGTTGCAAGACACGTGTCATATGATGCCCTTTACCAAGCAGCACAGTGCATATGCATGGGTTGTCACATGTATCCTCTTCTTAATCAATCTTACTTTTCACAACTTACCCCTCCATAGCTCATATAAAATTCACCAACCATTCACCGACTATTTTTTACGACTACCATACTCAGAGCTGCTTGAAAAACGTCTTTTTCGCTCTCGGGCCAACCGTCGTCTAGTTGTTGTTTGCAGCTGATATCCATTCGGTCTCTCTTCTCATGAATTTCATGGTTGGTGATGTTTGGCACAACCCAGGATAAGCTGCTGGTATCCACGACATTGGTTCTCCTGGTTGAGCATGCAGTGAGCCCACAGGCCAGGGGAAAAACTCAGGAAGATGTTTGGAGAAATAGAAAATCAGGTACAGAATGGTACAGATACTCCAGAACTATGGAAATCCTGGGGAAATTTCTGCGTGACACTGGGTTAGAGTTCCACACCCAGCAGGTGACGGTACCGGCAGCGTTGATTCTGGCGAGAGAGCTGGGCGTGTCATCCTTGCGAGAGTGGGCGCAGCACCATCGCCCTAAGGCGCAATGAAATCAAGAAATGGATAGGGGGTAGCAGAGCACTGGCAGAGCACTATTCAAACATGGTCAAGTTTGACCAGGAAGCCGGGAGAGTTTCAGTGGCCTGGCATGGCAACTTGGCACAACTGTGACATGATCCATGCAGTGTATTGTGGAGTCATGCCTTTCATCACAGAATTTAGCCGAAGATAAGTTCAACATCTTTAACTCGATGTGTAAGTGTAAGATGCAAGGCAAGGCCAAAGCAGCCCTGCAGCTGGTGGCCTTGCAAAGCTTTCTGGTGGCATTGGCCGTACAAGGAGCCTGGGGGAGATTGGCTTCACCGAAGGACCAATGTTGGTATGACACTGTAGCTGCTGTAGCTGGTACTGTTTTCACAAGAGATGATTCAGCATGCTGGGCAGGCGAGGGTGGGGAAGATGCAGAACAGGAAAGTGGCCAAAGAAAGCAAGTCCTCTCCTCAGTCCAGACTTGCCAATGTTGATGCCAAGCTGAGCGACAGGCGGTCGGAAGGCCATGTCTTACAGATTTTACAGAGAGACAGACGGAGGGAGGGAGGGAGAGAGAGAGAGAGAGAGATTGATGGATGCCCAGCTAGGCCCTTGGAACTACGCTCTATACAGGCAGGTGTGGTTTCCTTTCCGTGAACTTAGACCTTGAAAATATTGAAACTGAAACTTCCCATGGACTCTTGGACCAAAGAAACACATTGCTTCACTCCCAAGTTGCTGGTGAGGCAGTGTAGTACTCTTGTGGCTTGCAGCCGGCCTTACAGTGACCTCGGGATTGCAATACGCACGGGCGATGAGGACCGCGGTAGCCAAGTCATTGATGCACGCTTTGCTGCACAAATGGAACTTGTCTAAATTGATTAAGTTGTGTGATGTTGTGTGCAGGTGACTGAGCCTGCTGGTGCAGCGTGTGGCCAAAATAGAGTTGTGGCAGCATACTTCACTGTGTATTTGAACACGTGGCAAACCATTTTGAAGACATGAGGTTTGACTCCAGTCCTGCAGCCTTGCGTGCTCTGAAAGTATCTGAAAGTGACATAATTAAGTAGACTGAGCCTACATACCTCCTACACTCAATATTAATCAATATTACTTAATTCCAAATGTCACAGCATGATCAAGGGAACAGTTGTAGTATGTTGTAGTGCTGAATATCCAAGTCCCTTGGCGGGATCAAGCACAGTACCACCAACACTACTGGTTCGCAGCGGAGATCTCCAAATTGGGGAAGATTGCTTTGGTGGCTTCTGAAGACGTGAAGACTTGCAGAAGAGAACCGTCCACGACACCTAGCCTGCCCTTGGCAACGGGGTGCTTTATTCTGGAAAAGCACAAGATGAGCAGACCAACACAGACCATTCCAAGAAGATGGATCAGGAAAATTCATTGATTCATTATACCAAGTCCAATTAAGAAACAGCAAATCGGTACGTCGATCTGTGACTAGCCTGCTGCCGCTTCAGCACTGCATGGAGGCAGGTTCGGTCCGTCTTGGTCCGCTGGGTAGCGAATCCTGTCTGCCACAAGGAATCGGCGCGTTCGTTTTCTGGAACTCACCTTAATTATGACGTGCCCAACGTGCCCCTTCACATCATGGAATGTTGGGAACCACCATTTTCTTCTCCATTTTTAATAGAAGAAGGTCCAATCTGGTCCAAAAAAGGATCACAATTTTTATCAATAATTATTTGATTTAATGATTTAATCATGTTTTTAAGATCAAGTCTCTGATGCAAACCCTCCGGGAATTCCGAGAGCCATGCCATGCGCAGGTCCTGGTTGAGGCAGCTGCTGGCATCCCTTCGGATGCCGTGCTATCCCTTCGTTTGGGGCCGACCCGCAGGCAGGCGCCATTGCTGCGGGGAGCCAAGTTTGATGTCAAGGTGTGGGATGTGGCTGATGTGGCGGTTGGAATTGGATCCATTTAAGCCCATTGTAATTGTATGTAATTGTAATGAATATTAATTATTGCATTTATAGCTGGAAGCTGGTGACTTGTGGTATAGGCGCTATAGGCATCTATATAGGCTAAAGGTTTGATGTGTGAGGTGTGTTTTGGCTTTTTTGGGTTCAAAGTCAGCGAACGAAAAGATATGACTAGCATGAATAGCAGTAGCACCAACCAGATAGATCAAGCAGCAGTCACTGTAAGCTCGGAAAGCTCCAAGTCTTTTCGTCAAAGTCAGAAGCAGGATTGGATGCATGCTGCTTCATGAATTGCCACTCTTCATCACTCTTCCAAGCTTTGGGATCAGTCTTTATTTTTTAGTTCCACTTGCTGCTAGATGAAGCGGTTTCAATCCTTGCGCCGCTTCAAATGGTCTGACGTACCCAAGCGTCGGCGTCAGCTGACGTATATAATGTCAGCGGTGGCCTTTTCCACTTACACCTTGGAGAGCAAGTTCAAGGAGCGCCTTCCAACTTCCAAGACCATGCAAGAGGAAAATTTAAGTATATTAGTATATTGACAATTAATTACCAGAAGGGGCATTTCACCCACCACATTTGTTTGCAAGGCGAGGCTATAGGTTTGTTTCGCAATCGTGTTTAACGACCTGGCCTTGTCCTCATCGTTGATCATCGGATCATCATATTGCCGCTCCAGGAATGTATCGAGATTGTGGGAAATAAGGCCGACATCACTGAGCCGCATACCATGTTTTGGCTGCGAGTCCTGTTTGGGCGAATGCGATCCAGATGGGTCGGCGCAGCGACTGACATGCGAGTTCCGGTTGCTTTGCGATCCTCATTGTACAGCCTTTTTGCTTGGAGATATGGTGTTGCACTGGAGGCCCGGATTAGACAAAATGAGCAGATATGAGCAGAATGGGTTCAGCCGTGTTCGGCAGGGAATGAGGCCTGGCTTCTTTTAATAAATGAATACTAGTCGAAGGAAGTTTAGAAGTCAAACTTCCGAGATGGAAAAGCAGAGGGGTGAAGAGTCAGAGAATAGAAGAGAAGAAGAAAGAAGATCACAAAAGAGAAAGTTTCAGATGTTTCAGAAGCAAGAAGATCCAGGTGCGCGAAAAGGTAGGAAAGTCGCGAAACACTGTGTTTTTCCAATGATTTGTGGCTCCGGAGGGTCGAAAAGTATATAGTCTCGCCAAAGCGGCGGGTGCGGAGCCATGTGGCCAGATGAGATGAAAAATTGCCAAATAGTCCACGGCCAGCATCCATCTGAGCAAGCTCTTCCAGTTTCAAACCTTCTTGGGGTTCAGCAGGAACATATGGGCTCGGAGTCAAACATGAAGCTATCGGCATTGATTTCGGAACCACCTACGCTTACAACTTCCTGTCCACCAACCTGTCCAAAAGAAGGCAAATGTTCATCCTTCTTGTGCAAAATGGGAGCCATCTGGGGAGATGAGAGATGAACAAGTGCACACCGCTGTGGCGCGAAGCACATTTCCAAATCAAATGTACGAAACACACCAGGTTCGGAGCACTTTTTGAAGTTGAGATGTCGAAAAAGTGCACGCGGTAGTGGCGTGAAGCACATGTCCAAGTCAAAATGTTGGAATCACCACATGTTCGGACCACTTTTGGACGTTCAGATGTCGTTTTGCGTGGCAGGCGCCACTGATTGTGCACCTTGTCAAAGGTGAGCAAAACGTGATGGTTTTGTAGCAGTTTCAAAAACGATGGCAGGCGTGGCATTTCGTGTGGCAGGCGCAGTACCAGAGACATGTTCATCAGAGATGTTGGGAGATCAGGGCGTTGATTTCTTGAGAGGGGTTGCATTTTGGAGCACAAATTCTTCAGTTTTGGGAAGATGATTTTGCGTGACAGGTGCAGCACTTCGTATGCTTTTTCGTGTGTACTTTAGACAGATGGAGTGGAAAAATCGCAAAACGCATTGGTACGAGGCCGTGAGCTCTGCACTCAACTTTCCATTTTTGAAGGAAGCCTCGCAGAATTTGATGTTGTCAACTTCGAAAATTGAGGTAGTCTCGCAGACTTGCTTCGTTTCTGACATTGTCAAGTTCAAAAATTGAGGAAGTCTCGCAGGATAGCTTTGTTTTCAAACTTGCAGAAAGACAGACAGACAGACAGACAGATAGATAGATAGATAGACAACTACAACTGCAACTACCACTACAACTACAACTACAACCACACTACACTACCACTACAAATGCAAAAACACATATACTACGCTACAGTACACTAATTACACTACACTACACTAATTACATTACACCACGCCAATTGCACTACACTACGCTACTTGCACTACAACTATAATTACAGCTACTACAACTATAATTACAGCTGCTACTACTACTTACTTACTTACTTACTTACTTACTTACTTACTTTCTACCTACTACTACTACTACTACTTACTACTTACTACTTACTACTTACTACTTACTACTTACTACTTACTACTTACTACTTACTACTTACTACTTACTACTTACTACTGACTACTGACTACTGACTACTGACTACTGACTACTGACTACTGACTACTGACTACTGACTACTGACTACTGACTACTGACTACTTACTACTTACTACTGACTACTGACTACTTACTACTTACTACTTACTACTTACTACTTACTACTTACTACTTACTACTTACTACTTACTACTTACTACTTACTACTTACTACTTACTACTTACTACTTACTACTTACTACTTACTACCTACTACTACTACTACTACTTTTACTACTAAAGCTACAGCTACAACTACAGCTACAACTACAACTACACTAATTACATTACGCTACGCTAGACAACTACAACTACCACTGCAACTACAACTACACCACATTACACAACGCTACGCTACACTAATTACACTACACCGCAACTACAACTACAACTACCACTGCAACTACAACTACACCACATTACACAACGCTACGCTACACTAATTACACTACACCGCAACTACAACTACAACTCCAACTACAGCTACAACTACAACTACAACTACACTACTTTATACACTACACTAGACTACACTACAGCATACAACGCTACAGCACACTACACTAGACTACGCTACAGCTCACAACACTACAGCACACTACACTACATCACATTACACTACACTCATTACAACACACCACAACTACAACTCCAACTTCACTACGCTGATTACACTACACACAACTACAACTCCATTACGCTACAGCTACAACTACAACTACAGTTGCGCTACACCACACTACATCCAGCAGTTGTGGCTGCAACCACTGCAACCACTCCAAAAAGACAACTCCAACCACCTTTCGGTTCATCAGTGGGTTCGCTTTTCCATGCATGCATCACAACAACTCACCTCTTCCATATTGTATATATTGTCCTATCCTCGAAATTATTTGTAAATAGGTAGACATGTAAAAGTGGAGAGATGAGACTATTAGAGAGGGAATCATGTGATCATCCAATGCTCAGGAGGTGAGATATCCATTGGACGCTTTCCCAACCTTCAACGACTTCTTCAGCAGGAAGCTAGTGGAGGGCGCCAGGCCAATCTCTCATGTGCCCAAGGGCTTAGTTAGTCCAGTGGATTGCACAGTCACCACCGTGGGCCAAATTTCTGAGGACAACAACAGGGTAGAACAGGTCAAAGGCTCCACTTACAACATCCGATCCTTCTTGGGTTTTGATCCTCGGGAGAATGCCAAAGAGGACTCGGAGTTGCACTATGTGGTGCTCTATTTGGCACCCGGCAACTATCATCGGATCCACAGCCCTTGCGAAGTGACCGTGAGCAAAGGTCGGCATTTTTGTGGTGAACTTTTGCCGGTGAGACCTTGGTTTCTTCAACGTTTCAATGATGTCCTTGCAGTCAATGAACGAGTAGCACTCACTGGTCAGTGGCAATTTGGGCTGATGAATTTGGTGGCAGTGGGTGCGGCCAACACTGGAAGCATTTTCTTGGACTTCGATCACAAATTGAAGACCAATCGGCTTCGAGATATTGCCGTGCACTGTGGAGGCGACATTTCCGACAAGCTCTACCCGAGTGGAGTGCAACTCCGTTGTGGTGACCCTGTGGGAGGTTTCCGCATGGGCTCCACTGTGGTGCTTGTTTTCGAGAGCCCCAAAGGCTTCGAATGGTCAGTGGCACCAGGAGATAGCCTAAAGGTTGGCCAACCTTTGGGCCAAGTTGCCTGATTCCGCTCCTTGGATTTGCTGGGTTAGATTTGCCTCGATGACTGCATACTATGATTACTATCTAAATCTATTTAATCTATCTATATTCATGCATACTGTATATTCTATGTGTTATGACACATGGTAACACATGGTAGTACAATGTAAAAATGTAATACATATTATGACTCCATGATACCAGATGTGACTGGTATTGGTTCGTTTGATTTTGGATGGATGGATTGATTATACGTAAATGGGTTACTTGTTGGTCAATTGGTTTGGTTCTGTTTTGTTGCAATGTCTAAGAGTTTGCCTTTGGGGTGCCAACATCTGTCATGTTTAAATGTTTTTGCCTGTTCCATCATTTTATCATTTTTTGATATTATATAATAGATTATGATCATGTATAAATATAGATCATATGCTACCATTTGTTTGATAATAAACAATAATATTGGATACTTATTCCAGAATATGAACTCAAAAGCTAGCTTTTGATAGCTGAAGTCCCTATTGCTTTAGCAATGTATTGGCATGGGCTGGAATTGCGAATCACATGAAAATTCACAGTTAACTTCCCCCCTCCCCCCAACCTGGTTGAAGATTCAGCAGCCTTGCCGTGCCTCAATCCCCAACTGGGACATTGTCGCCATATGGTTGCCATATCGTCGCAATCAGCATCGTCAGCATCAGCAGGATCATCAGACTTACTTTACACTTAGTATCTCCCAATTCGGCACGGGCCTCTCTTTCACCACCCCTTTCCCTTCCCAGCTAGCTTTCGCCCCTTACCCCTTCGCCCAAAGTATGAATGGTTTGATTTGCCGAAAAAACACCGACTTGAATATATTATATATATATATTATATATTATATATATTATATATATATATACACACATAATTAATTATATGGATTGCAACAGTTTTGCCAGCTTGCCCTTTGCAACATCACAGGCTGGTCACTCTCCGTTCAAAACTATGCCTTCGAAGAACAGTTTCCAGCTGCACAACCGAAATGGGGTCCACTATGAGTTTGGGCCGAAAATTTTGCCCAACCTTTGCCCATCAGTGTTCAGCTGTCAGCTCACTTGGGCTATGGCGTTGGGCACCACGCGTTGCTTGTGCATGCGGGTGAAAAGGATGGTCCTCAGATGTCCTCAGGGATTTCTTGGGAAGAGAGTGCATTTGTTGGTTTACTCATGACCAGAGCCCTGGCAGCTCTTGCGATAGTTCCATTTGGCCAATTTGGCCTATAGATTCTATATACTTGTCAAGTGCACCTCTACCATTTCGTTCGTTGAAAGTGTTGTATCCAACTCCGCGTTCAGAGTGAGACTAGGTGCAGTGGTATGTTGATGATGGCTGAGGTCGGCGCTATCTCACCCGTTCAGATTCGCGACAGCTCTGGATGAAGCCTGCCTTTTGGAATGTGTTGGCAAAGGTTGTTTCCTGTTTCTTGCTGACCAAACTCCAAACCTTGTGTTGTGGTTGAACAAACATGACAATAATAGATAGATATAGATAGTGTAACAAGGATAGTAACAATCATCATCATATACATATTATCCTTTACAGTATGAGCGGAATTCATTGAATCAAAGTGGAAGGAAACCACATGGAGTATGGAAAGCCGGTAAAGTCGCATAGTTCCCCATCAAACAAGTGATTCCCAGAGTCCCTTCTCTCAGGTCAGCCTTTATGCATTGATGTGATGCGACCATTGGCCACCGCTCAAGTGGCAATACGCGCAGAAGAGCTGCGATACTCACTGCCACTGAACGGATGCATCAAAGCCTCTTGCCTTGAGCTGAATCATCCGATGAATCCGATAAAATGCGTTAAATACATGCATTGCTCGCGTGACTCTATGCATCTCTATGCATTTCAGCAAGGCCACAAATAGGATGCTCTTTGATTATATACACATATATAAACATAAGATGTCATTTCAGCAGAAGTGTTGAGAAGGACCCCACAGACAGAGCGAGTCAATGATGCAAAACATTGCAAAACGAAGTGGTCTGGGTCCAGAAGTTCTGAGTTGCTGATTGAACCGTGTTTGATCTCTGTTTCCTGAGGACATGGCTGTATGTTTGAAGGTTAAGCCGGCCAAGCCTGGAAAAGCGGCCTTGGATAGGAATATAGAAGGATGGGAATCTTGGGAGACCATGGGAGGCCCCAAACATGCTTTTAGCATATCTTAGCATATCTTAGCATTGCTTCATACCTCATGAGGGCAGAGTCATTGTTTTCCGGCTTGTCTTCAGGAGGGCCAGCGGAAAAGCTGTCGGCCAGCTTGAAAGATTCCACGGCAGTGACCAGGGACCGTTTGCTTTACTCGGCTTTGCTGCACTTTAACTTAGACTGAAGATCCGAACAGGCCAATCAGGGGCCAATCAGGTTATGCGTTGGTTTGATGCTGTTGGATGGACGCCAGATGTCGTTTCGAAAGCGTCAAGTGTGCAACCACAATGCCATAATATGGAACAAGAGTATGGCACCAGTCATAGCACTCAGTGGAGATATGTAAAGCTGCCTTCAACTATTTCCATTTTGAGGAAGAATGCGGCAAAACGTTGTTCTTCCTCTGCCTTAAGCTCATCAGAAGCCCGTCAGAAACCACCACATCCGCCCAGCGGCAGGACTACCTGGAGCGCCACAAGCTCCTGCAGTATATCCAGTCCATGCTGCACGCTGTCATCCAAGCAAAGCCGCATGAGACTTGCACCAAGCCGTGAGATGGCGATATGAGATGCACATTGTCAATCCTACGGATCCTATGGATCCTATGTGATACAGTAATCATAATCAGAATGAACCAGACAGCAATGGAAATCCTGTAGGATTCACATATATTCAGTCACATTAATTTTTGGATGCTCACATATTTCTATTATATATGTTTTCCCTGCGTGTGGCTGCGCGTGTTTTGCTTGTTATTCGTCATGTCCTTCTGCGCTCAGGATCCATTCCCTTTCATGATGGCCCAGCTTGCTGCTGCGTGCGCACGGCCTTCGAGAAGAGCTAGGAGAAACCCAGAGAGCCAGATTGAAACAGACGTACACATAAATATAGATAAATATATATATAATTATATATAATTACAGAATATAACTATTTATGATATAATAATATATTATATGTAATTAATGTCAAGTTAGGATTATATATATCTACTAGGGATTAATCAACCACCACACAGGAAAAATGTTTTGGCAATACTAAAATGGATTGGCCCCCGCTGATTAATCAAGGGGGGAATCACCCGATTGAACAACCACCACACAGAAAATCCACTTGTTTTTTTAGTTTTCTTCTAGGTTTAAAAGGAATATCAATTGAAAGTAGATTGATATCAATTCGAGATTGATCTCTTATGACTTGAACTTACGAGGTCGATTATTTAGGGGTTGAACCTTAGCAGAACCTTCTTGGTAGGTACCTACCTAACTTATCCTAACTTGAGATTATATATGTTATCTATATATGTATATGTTAGATAGAAATATATAGAAAGCAAGAACCGATATTAGTAGAAAAGGCTTGAACCAGGGAGCAAACATGGTGTCTAGACACCAGCAGTTTCACCGGTTTTCGGATCTTTGATGGGATGAGCGAGGAGACATAGCTGTCCCAGCCCAGCACAACCTCCCAAGGACTTGAGTTGTTCGTCACAGGGAATGGTAACTGAACAGCATTGACATGGCAAGCCTCAACATGTGCGGATAGCTCAAGAAGTGCTCCCTAGATGTGTTAGATGTGTTACTGAGGGAGTTAATGATGTTAATGATGTTCCGCTCGCAATCCCCATTTGCAGGAAGTGACTGGAGGGAGCCGGGTAACTGGGCTTTAAAATCTTGGAGTGGTGGCTTATTTACTCCAGTTTGCCTTTGACATATTTCAAGATATTTTAAGATATTTTAAGTATCTTTGGGTTTTCGGATGTTTCGACTATGTTGGACATTGTAGACGTCACATTCGTGGAGTTGTTCAGTTTGACCTATGTAATACATCATTTCAATACTCTATATATATATATATGTGTGTGTGTGTACCATATATATATATATGTGTGTACCATATATATATATATATACACACTATATATATATACAATATATATATATATATACACACTATATATTATATATATACACTATATATAATTTGTATATATAGATGGTACTAAGACAGCCTGTGACTTCCAAGATATTTCCACCAAGATCCAAGGACTTGGAGCTGGCCTCCGACCCTGGCTGTGTCCCATCGGTGTGGCGGCCCAGTCACGGCCGCCATGGCCGCCACGGCCACTCCGCTGGACATGGGATCAGCTGAGGTGGCCAGCACAACGTCAGGGGCACCGGACATCTTCTCAGATCCTGGTTGCCACCAAGACGTCCAAAAGGAGGTTCAGTTATGGAGTCAATATGTCATCAATGATCATCAATGATCATCAATATAAGATATTGAGCACAATCTAAGATCTAAGAGATCAATGATGTTCAATCAGTGTTCAGAATCATGTGCGAAGCAGGTCAATATGGTCGAGGAGTCTTCGATGGAGCCGCGAGAAGCACTGGCTTCTCTCCCATGGCAAGTTGAAGCTCCACCAAAACCAGCTGTGCAACTGGAAGTCCACAACCAAGTGCTATCATGGCATATCATGGCTATCATCAGCAACCCACTGAATATAAGATTCCATGATAAGATTCCATGATTTGGAAAGGATGAAGACGATGAAGGTGACCCTCAGAATTGAAAGATGTTGGAGATATTCCAAGGTCCAGCGACGACCCAGTGTAGATGGCAAGGCGGATGGATTCAGATTTCTTCGGACAGGGCTGCATCTCCAGCGACGAACCAGTGCAGATGGCAAGGCGGATGCATTCAGATATATTCGGACAGGGCTGCATTTGGTTACATTCTGCTCCTTTATCCTCCATGAGCCTTTCGTTGACTTGATTCCATTTACAGGGGAAGTCATTGGTGGCTGTTCCACCAACCAAGCAGGAGCCGGCAGATAACGCGGGAAGAGATGGGCTGCGTATGTTTGTGCCATCTTCGGCTCCTGGCTTAAGAAACATGTGAAATCCCGTCCACCTTGCCCCAATGCAGTACTTATAGACGGGCATCTATTTAGACATCCTGAAAACCAGGTTGAAAGATGTTGAAAGTTTAGTGAGTTAGTTTCAATACATGGAAATACTGTGCAGCCAGTTAGTTCCACGGAGTCTCTGAAGTAAAACATGTCGGCTTGAACTGGAGCTGGAAATGGTCGAGTTTAAGACGGTTATGGCTGGTCAGGTCGGATCTCAGCTGGTGTAGTTCAATGCGATTTTCTGTCGCTGCTCATATCGTTTGGAATCATCCAATGTCTGCCGCTAGTTTCAGAAGCAAGAACAGTTGCAAGTTTACAGAACAATGTTCCATATCTTCCCCCATGTTTTCGAATGCTCAGCTCCAATCCATGCTGATCTTTGTTTTGGGCAGGAGTCCATAGCTAGCAAAGCAGTTGCAAGGGAGCTCATTTCTGAGGAGCGCTGGATGTGCTGGGGCAGTTGCATGTGTGATTTCGACCTTCCCTTTCCCTGCCATCCAGGACAACAAGAGTCAGAGTGGAGAGCAGTACAATGAGTAGCTCGGCTTTGGCAAAGCCATGGATGGACACAGACTGAGCGGCCGTGCATGCAGGCTGGCAAGGCTTCGCGGCAATCTACGACGGCAACTGGAAGAGGCTGTAGAAGACGGAAAGTTGGCGAGACACTCAGTGATAGCAGTGATACCTACATCAAATGATTTCAATTGCCTCATCAGTACCTAATGTATATACAGTAGTATGTTTGGTAGATTTTATGTTTGGTAGATTTTATGTTTGGTAGATTTTATGTTTGGTAGATTTTGGCCGTATAATCCTTTTTTGATCATCAACCAAGTGGTGTTTTCGAGAACTGGGTAGAACTGGCTTCAAGTCCATAGGTGAGCGCAGTGGAAAAAGCTGTGAGCCTGATGACTGGTCAAGAGGATGACGAGGCCTCGGAGATGCGAGTTCTTCGCATCATGTCGCATTTATACATGGACTATCATTGTGCACCGTTTCATTTAGGGCCAAGGGAAGTAGATAACCCAACTACGCTGAACATGTATGAACATGTTGCTTTTGGTACCACTTGCTGCGAGATCTCATAGGACCTCAAAAAGTTGTTCCTCAGACTTGCCGGGCACATGCTCTTCCATTGCTATGCGTATTTTGTTTATGTTGGATTGTTCTCGATGGTTCTCTCGGATTTTCAATATGTCAGAACCATTGGTTGCGCAAATCATAAGCATTGTAACTTGGACATGTTTTTGCTCATTGAATCATTCAGACTTTCCAACGCCCGAAAATATACGAAGGTCCGAATACGCAGAGAACTGGTACAACTGAAGATTGAGCACAAGGAACTGAGCCTCTACTCGGACAGGTTGGAACTGCACTTGAGAGATTTGGTGAGTTTGATACAAAAGGCCCTCATGCGTGAACAGCGGCTGGAATATCCTTCACGAATGCTTAGAGCACGACAAGTATTTTGGCAGCTGCAGATGCATAAAAGATGCATATCAAATTGATATTGTGATATTACTGTATAGTACTGCATTATACTGCATATGATATGATACAATACATATATATATATATACATATAGTACGTGTGTGTGAATAATCCTGCATGCTCGGGAGTGTTCAAATTGATTCTGTTTCTTGGATCTGGAATGCGACCCGGAGGTTGAAGCGTGACCTCCGGGAACTGAGACGGGTGAACTTGGACTTACGTCGGCGCTTGGCGCAGCTCAGCATGAGCAGACCGAATGCCGAGGCAATGGCAGCACCAGCCGTGACCTGTTGAAGCGATATAGCCTGATATCACTATTTTATCGATTTTGAATCAGCCATGAAGTTAAGTGAAATCATGTGAAGTCATTTAGTTCGCAGATATTTGAGGATGAGGATGAGGATGATGCTGTCCTAGATCCTAAATTGACGTCACGGGGACATGTCAGCTAAAGAGACTTCTTTAAGGGTCCGGTGCTGGCGTAGAATCAGCCACCAAAACTTGAAAACTTCTCCATCGCAGTTCGGGGACAGAACATTTGTCCCCATAGGCCAAAAGATGCCAGCATTTGCCAAAGTTGCAATCAAAAGTGATGCAGCATGATACAGCGGATTGCAATGGATTGCATAGAGAAGTGACATGAAGTGACTATCCCTATACTTCCTGAGACGTATTCGCAATGCCACAGGCAAAGAGACATGCAACTTGCGAGGTTTCACAGATGAGCTTCGATTTAGTCAGCTGATGCGGTCAGACATATTCTTGAAATATATCGACATTGCATGACATGGCATGCTTGCCACACCTATAAGCGGGATCCCACGTGCTGCAGAGTGAAAGCTCAGAAAGCCACTGTAGTCCTGTCACTTGGCCATGGCACTTCAGGAGATGGGGCTTCTGTTTGACCTTGTGGGGGCGCTTTCGATCGCTTTCGCATAGGTACCCGATTGGTTTGTCCCTTAAATATTCCTTAAATGATTGCTTGATGCTGGAGCCAGTCAAACCAAGGTTTTATAGACTGTAATTCTGATGACCCGATAGCTGTTTGCCCCCGTTTGGCAGTTTGGCGTGTCCATGAAATTTCCGAAAGCCAATTTCAAACGGTTCAGTGAAGCATGATGCATGGAGAGTCTGAGTCCCCTACCGACAAAGAAAATGATGAAGACAAAAGATGAAAAAAGGAAAACAACTCCGCCGGAAATACAATTTAATCATGATGATAATCATGCGATTTTTGTTTGAAAACGCGGTGATTTATGCATGTTAATATGTTGGAGAAGGGTGAAATTGCAATCACATGCCCATTATACAGCCGATTATTTTAATAATTAGATGATTTGTATTGTTGGAGGTGGGCCCAGGGCCAATTGAGGAGCCTCGTCGCTGGATGCCAGTGCTTGCTGCCACCACGGCAGCATCAGCCACCGCCTTTGTGGCAGGCACCGGCCGCTCAGGCAGGAAACGAAACTCCAACACTGAGATATATATTGAAATAGTATTGGATATTGAAATCCAGGATCCTATGGCCTGTCAAGATTTATCATCACTCATATATCTCATATTCACTTATCATTTTTGTTCCCTATTGGAATGCCATCAATCGTATCCATCAATGGCGAGCTCTCCTCTACAGCTGTTGGCCCGAGGAAATAATGAAAGACATGGGCAAATCCAGAGGCCCCTCAGTGCATATGAGGGCTCCCATAGCTATTCAGCTGGTGGTTCTAGAAGCACCCAACTGGGGTCATGGTACCAGTCACATAGTCATACAAACCGCCTTAAAACCCACTCATGAACCCAGCGAACACTTGGTTAAGTTAAGGTGAAATGAGGTGAAACATCAGTTTAAACACCCATAAAGATCCATAAAATCCATGAAGCCAGCTCAAAAGTTGCTTAAATATTGGTTAAATGTGGTTTAATGAGGTGAAATGACACAGTGCAACAATCCTTCGGACCCTGATCCATTGCAGGCGCCCCAGCACGGCCTGTGGCTCCCGCGGCTCCGGCGGCTCCCGCCCTGCGGGGAGCACCACACGTTGCAACGTCGAGCTCGAGCCTCGCGGCGCCGGCCGTGCTGGGCCTGGGCGGCTTGGGCGTGTGCGGAGCATTGGCGCGGAAACAGCGGAAAGGAGGTCAGAAAGGATGGGAAGACTTGAGAAGACTTGAGAAGACTTGGGAAGATGGAAGTGTGGAGGAACCAGAAATTTCCTTGATATATCTTGATATATAGGAATATGATGTAATGTTGGATACTGATTTGTGTAGGGCTCTCCCAAACAATTTAGGTACGGTATTATCTATTATTCAAAGTTTTCTTGGGACCAGGTCTAGGGAACTCAGGATGATTAACTTTCGTAAGGATTTCAATTGATGCCAATCTACGTTCAATTGATTTTCCTGTCAAAGTAAGTCTAACAAAAGTCGGACTAGTAAGGATTTCAAGTCGTTGAATCTACCTTTGATTGATGTTCTTTTATAATTTAAATGAAATCTAAGGATAAGTAGGGATTTCAATTCATGTCCATTTGCGTTCCATTAATTTTCCTTTGGAATCGAAAAGGACTCTATTGATACGTAAGGGCTTCAAGTGAAATCGATCTACTTTCAATTGATTTTCCTTTGACATTTTAAACCTTAAAGAAATCCAAGGATAAGTAAGGATTTCAATGATTTTCAATGTATATCAATTTTCTTTCAATTATTTTCTTTTTCACCCTAAAAGAAGTCTTAGGATAAGTGAGGATTTCAGTTTATATCAATCGACTTTCAATTGTTTTCTCTTTTCCTAAAGGAAATGGAAATCTAAGGATAAGTAAGGATTTCAATTTCAATGTATATCAATCTATACATCAATTCTTTTTTTTTACACTAAAAGAAATCTATATAAGGATAAGTAAGGAGTTCAATTCACATCAAACAGTTTTCAATTCATTTTCCTTTTGAACCCAAAAGAAATCTACGGACAAGTAAGGATTCCAATTCATATCAGATTGCTTTCAATTCATTTTGCCTTCGAACCCGAAAGAAATCTAAGGACAAGTCAGGATTCCAATTCATGTCAATCTACGGAAACATACCCCAAGAAGGGCCTGGACCTAAACGATATTTTTTCCTTGGACCTGTTTTTTTCTTCTGAAAAATGGGGTCTGACTTTTTTCCGCAATAGCGTTCCACCTAAACAATTTCAGGAGACTGAATTATGTTGGAAAAACTTTTTACAATAGGGCCTCATCGCACTAATCGGTATACTACATTAATACATGTAGGAATGTGACAGAATATATGATATATATATATATATACATAGGGTATAATATCAGGAAAATATTTGCTGGGAGAGAGAGAGAGAGAGAGCGAGTAAGAGCATCTAGCTTACAATGATGTATAATTAATGTGGAATAATCATCATCTACAGTGAAGAAGGGTTTGTGGAAGAGCATGAAAGATGGTCTCGTGAAACAATTGGAATGGGGAAGTGGCGCTCATTGTGTTCCACTATTGCCTGATGACAGGTGTGACTGCAAGGAAAGCTACCATTACTGCAAGCATGGAGACGCAACCGGCCGTCGAAGAAGAGGCCTGGGCGTGGGCCAAAAAGGTCAGAAAGTATAGGTGGAATGCATTTGGCGCATTTCTAAATCTAGCATAGTCCAAAAGTGTCGCATCATTTGACCATGTCCAAGCCTATGCTGGAAACGAAAGCAAGACATCTTTCTCATACAGTATATATACTGTTCTGCACCGGGTGTAGCTCAAGCACTTCAGGACTCCACCCCTGTGAAGAAGACATCGGTGCTGGTGCTTGGTGCTACCGGTACCATCGGGCGACAGATTGTCCGGCAGCTGTTGATGCTTGGATGATTTTGATGGATTTGAAATATTGAATGGTTCTAAGTTCTAAGTATTCTTCTTTGTTGGGGGAAACCGTGTCATCCAGATTCTATGTCAGGAGAGTGCTAAAGCCTCTGCAAAATTAGAAAATTAGGTAGTGCTTGATGACTTTGGCATCCAGTTGCGTGCACTGAGGAATGCAGGCTACTCCGTGCGCTGTATGCTGCGGAATCGTGCTGACCGACCTTTCTCATTCTTGGTGGAGCCTGGGCACGAACTGATGCAGCTTGAGAGCAGGCGGTAAGCGGATTGATGGAAAAACATGAGATCTGAGGATTGGGGCGCAACAGTGGTGGAAGGCTCCCTGCTCCGACCAGACACTTGGCCTCATAAGACATACATACTATATATATATAATATTATATTATATTATAGTATACTATAGTATATTATATTATATTATATTATAGCATCATATAACCATGTAGCATACAACATGTTACAACTAGAAGGCTTTTAATTAGACAATTCTTGAGACACAAGGAACCGTATACCCCATGCGTTGGTCATGGTGGCCAAGGGTGGCCCTAGGGTTTGCCATCCAGGAGAGCTTGCCCAGTGCATTGGTGGGCATTCACACCGTCATTGACTGTGCAACCGCGCGGCCAGAGGACGATTGATTGTTGATGATTGTTGACTTCATCAGATTGTGTCAGTTGCTGGCTTCAATTCTGCATACGAATTTCCTTTTCAAGAACTAAGAGGCAATGTCAAGCACCCGAAAGACTGGAAATTTGATTCTGGCTATGCCATGCAACCGTAAAATCTCAAGTTAGGAAGGCAAAAGCCATCGCAAATATTATCTATCAATCCATCAGCAAGTTGTTGTCAAACATTGTTGTTTGCCACCCATGTGTGTCAAATTCGGACAGATGCAAAGAAAATCGGACTCTGCGCCATGCAGGAAGACGTCTACAATATTGATTGGGAGGGCAAGAAGCGACTTATCCAGTGCGCCAAAGAGATGAAGATTCAGCGCTATGTTTTCTGCAGCATCAAAGACTGCGACAAATATCAGACTGCGGCTTGGCGCTAATGGAGACACATCATGTTTATGGTGTTTGTTCCTGCAGATGCCCTGTTCAAAACTGCAAAGTAAGTTTTCCGGATGTGTGTGGAAGGATCGGCGGTTGCTTCCAGACTGAATCTGTTCTTTTTTGGCTGCCCATTCTTGCAAAATACTGCTACTCACACAAGTCAGACTGTTGCCATTTCCTGCCATTTTCCTGTGACTTCCCAGCACGATGGCATGAGGTGCCATTGATGCAGATCAAATATTTGACGGAGAAATTCCTGAAGGACAGCGGGTCACTTGGCCTCAGTTTTTTGAATAGATGCACCATGATGCACCCATGGGTGACGATCTTCGCCATGGAGACTTTGCCAAGGATTCGCCACACCATCCTCCGGATCAGCGGCCTGATGCAACCACTCATTTCGCAGTATGCAGTGAGTCGCCTGGCGACCTCATAGATGTGAAGGTAGCAGCAGCAATATGCAGCAATGGTTCCTGAATGTTCTTGGTACATCGCTTGTTTTGTTGATGTCAGTAGAAAGATTCCAGCTTGCATTGACTGCAGCAACGCCGGTATTACAGTAAGTGTAGTCAGGCAAGCACGGTGTTTACAGCAGCAAAGGAATTGAGGCACTCCTCACATGTACCACAGTAACTGGCTTTTTTATCTTATTTCAATTAATTATTTCCCTATTCATATCTATTCATTCATTTATTGCTGAGGTGTTCTGGACGATCAGAAGGTCTGGGGAGATGATGGCAGCATGCCGGGCATTGCGTACATCGATTCCCAGGATGTTTCTCGCATGATGGCATCTGCTATGATCAAGGACAGGCTCCCCGGAAAAGCACAAGATATAGTATCACCATTGTGTTACAATTCTATGCCATATTATTGCGCACATATAATCTGATATCCTACTTGCATGTATGTATATATAGATATATATATATATATATATGTAGATGGGATGCAGGATGAGGCAACTCACAGCAATGACATCCGACCGCAACGTGTTTTTCCCCTCCCCAGGAGCGCACCGTGGGTCAGACGCTGACTTTGACGGGTCCCAAGGTTTGGTCCACCAATGACGTGATCAAACTCTGCGAGGCGCGGGCAAGGGCTGGAGAACATATGAGACTCACTTGGCAAATGAATATGATATATATATATATATACATACACAATATAGCTATAGGATTAAAGATGATTATCAGATGATTAAAGAATTAATCAAAGATAGTCAAAGGGGTAGTACAATAATTGGCTTGTGCACATTTTATTATTAGATATTGATCTGCATGCACAAACCACATGCTTCATTGCAGTTGCTAAAGGTCTTTTGCCAACTTTTACCACCTGTGCCATGAAGATTCACTATATGGGGGCCGTCAGCATCCTCAGCGAAACTCCGGCTGAAATCAATGCTCAGGAGCTCTCCGGCAGGGACGCAGATGTCAATGTAGTCTCCAATCAACAGATGCAACTCACCATGGCAGCTGCAGGCAGGATCCCGGTTGAGCAATGTAGGTGAAACACTGCGATATCTAGAATATAATATAGTATGATCTAAGCCTAAGCTATATCAAAGTCGTCATGAATCTATACTCTTTATTTTCAGCATTTGTTTTTTGAAGAGCTCCTTTCAACTGATTCAGCTACAATGCCCCATGACATAATGTTTAGCAGCTTGCGCTCGAAGGTTGCTTCGACTGGACCGTGGATGTGGCGGAGCGATTGAAATTTGTGGAGGTCCAACTTGTTTTCTCAAGTTTGGCTATGTCTGGCTTGTGTATGTTTATCGGATTTATCGTTGTTTCTTGTGTGTCCATCTTTGGGAGACTTGTTTAATTTAGATGTCAACAGCTAGCAGCATCTGAGCCAGAGGTGAACTTTGTTGTCAATTGCCTCAGGTGAACCAACAAGGATCTCCTGACTCGCCCATGCTGATGACAGAGGCCTTCCCAGATTCCCAGATGTCAATCCTGTGCTTCTCTGATTCTCCAATCCTTTGTCCAAAAGCTCGCGATCATCCTCCAGACAAGATGATACCATATGATACCATCATCCATCGGAATTTTTGAATGAAATTCAAGGAAGATGGATGAAAACGAACGAACCTGTTTATTATTTATAACTATATATATATATTATACATACATACATATGATTATTTGATATGATTATTTGATATGATATCCCTGCCAGATCCTGCCAGGATACTTATCAAACTCTTGGGATGGAGCCTTCGGGCACCCGCAAGTTGGAGGAGTACATCGGTGAGTACTACAGGCACCGGTTTTAACGACGGGCTTTTGGACCGCATGAGACCATGGATGACCATGGATGACCATGGTGATGTCACCATTTTTGCTGCCCGAAATCTCTAGGGTCCCCAAGTCTCACAATCGTCTTGTGACAGGAGAGTTTTCAAGAAGCTCACGAAGGCTCCAAGTGGTTGGATGATGTTGAATGTGTGTGATATTTGGTGCTGGCTTGCTGCCCCTGGCCTGTTTTGCCATTTGAAATTCATAGAATTTCTCCTGCTGAGGGCAAGTATGAGGCTGAGCCCGGAGAGTTGGAGAAGGAGAAGGCCCGCCCCCCGCGCAAAACTTTCCAAAAGATTTGAAAGATCTTTACTAAAGATTTCCAAAAGTAGATGAACCAGTTATAGCCAGATTGGATCTGCACAAACCTGCTGTGAGGATTGAAAAGCTCAGGAGGCATGAGATGAAGTGTTTCTTTTGTTTTTCAGGCCGAGTCTGAGGCTAAGCTGAAGCAGGCCCTTTCACAGGACTTTCCTTCGGCCTCTTCAGTGCAAGCTAAAAAGACTGATTCAGAACTGGTTCATTGATGAATATGATGATAATATGATGATTCATGGCATTTCATGGCTGTACGCTGAGCTTATGTGCTCTATCCTTACTAGGAATTAGGGAAATATGAGACTGTACGTTTGAAAATCTATTTGTTGCAGCTCGGGACACTGGTGCAGCTCCAGGACACGACCGACCAATTGCCTGCTGGTCAGCCGGAAGAAGAGGAGGTAACCGTTGCTTATCAGCGGGATGTTGCGGAGCGGCTGCAGAAGTTCTTTGAGGCGAGGGAGACCTACAAGTGAAAGGATAAAGGTGTGTTACTAGTCGGGATTGCACTTATTGCACTTGCACTGATTGAAGCAGTATGATGACTATTGTCTTTAGTCTTTATAGTCATATACTATATTATGTTGATATATGTTCATTATTATTATTACTATTGTTCATTATGGTTGAATCTAGTTTGATCATATTTGATTATTTAACATTAAATGTTAATTACATGCTTTATGAGAAATTGCTGTCAGGACAAGGTGCTCTCAGAGATGGAAGATGAGAAAAACGCTCCTCGTCACAAGATGAGTTTCTTGTTGTCGCCTTTTTTGTGCAGTCTTGACAGGCTACACGTACATAATATTGGATCAATTGCACATAGGATATGGAATGATATGCACAAATGAAGGGGTAATCGCAATAGATAGGTAAAGTTCAGAGTTGAACATGTCAACGCTGTACCGCTGTAGCGTCCTAGAGTTTGGCGAGTGGTCTGGAGTTCTGCAGGCGTGGTTTGGTTGGGTGCCGCTTGCTGAAGTTTTCAACGGGCGATCGGCACCTTCCCTGGCACTTGGGTGGGGAGAATCAGAGGTGTGACTGTGCCAGCAGAGCTCACCTGAGCTTTGCCCTTCAGTGGGTTTGCATAAAGTACGGCTTCATCCACCGGTCAACGATCTTACAGATTAAATGGCCTTTTGGAGGGCATACCAGCATACCATGGTGTAAGACATCCAAGTGGTATGAACATAGATAAAAACATTATAAAACATGATAAAGCCGAAAGTATTTAATTGAAATGCCTCGGGCACTGGGTTTGCGTTTTTCTGTTCGAGTTGCAAGGCAATGATGGGATTCTCCCTGGGCTTGTTCACCGAATGGGCCACAGATGTGGACGTTGCCAGACAGATCGTTCCTTGGCTTGGAAATTGAAGCTGGGTCAGGATGGGCATATGGCCATGTGCTTCCTTTTATTTGCAATCTCCCCGTTTTCAGGAGGAAAAGGGGATGATTGGTGACGATTGCACATATTGCACCTTGAGAAGATTGGTTTAGATATGCTGACTCAAAGAATGTCATTTCTCCTGCTATTTGCGTTGCTGATTGCTGATAGTGTCAGCACCAAGGACTTGGTTCTCGCCATTTTCTCTCCACCATCCTGAGTGGTGATTGCTTCTGGAATGGTTCAAGATGTCACAGGCACAGTAAATCACAACTTAACCCATGAACCTTCTGAACAACGCAGCATCGGAAAGCAATCCGAAGTCAAAACCCACACCACTGAGCGAAAAAGAGGCACAGAAATGGCACAGAGCAACTCAAGAGACCTGTATCATTCGCATGCTGAAGTTCCCTGCTTTTCAGGTCCATTGATTGTTTGAAAAGCAAGATGTCTCCAATTCACAACTCGGTTGGCAATGGTTGTGGTCTGATGGTCTTCGTGGGATACTTGTGAAACTTCACCACCTCATTTGGACAGCACTTTGGCTATTGGTTCCAGACTCGAAAGGTTGACCGACCCAGATTTGCCAATTTGCACATTTTCGGACGGCTGGCTGCCAGCCGTTTCTCCCGCTTTGGCTGCTTGGCGCCTGTGCCACTGGCCCACAGAATCCCGATTCAAAATCCCGGCGCCAGCCCTCAGCACATGCTTCCACAGACTTGGGCCAGTGGCATTATGTGAAAAGATTCTTCATCCGCAACCACCATTAGTGGGGATAGGTTTGATTCCACATTAAAAGGCGCTTAAGAGATCTCTTCAAGTTACCCCATGGGTTGCGATGCTAGCTTCCAGGAACTCGATCCTTTTTAGGGTCAAAGTTTTCGATTGCCTGCTCAAAACGGAGGAAAAAAGGCTTGCGGTCGACTCGCATGACAGTGGTGTCGACGATGAGCAGAGATATGGCTTGCACATTTTGGTAACCCTCGTAATTGCCAAATCCCTGAAAATTGATCCAACATGGAATCCGCTGACACATTTCACATAAGCATAAACACTATCAAGCATAATCAGATCCATACATGCCTAAACCATGATCACATTGATCACCATTTAGTGGCGCATTCCTTTCTGACCTAGTGGCTCGTGGATCAAGCCAAAGAACGTGCAATAAGAAAAGAATGGTGGAGGGGGGATGGAAGGTGGCTTCCTTCAACATCAGGATGAAGACGCAAGAGCCAGACCCAAATGACAACTGGGATTTCCGGAAAGATGCCTTGCTGCAAGAACTGGTGAACAGCCAAGCTGCGATCATCGGACTGCAGGAGGGCTGAACTCCAGCTGTGTCGAGCATTTTTGCGTGTTCATTCTTCATCATTCTCCCATCATTTCCCCATGGTCACAAAATGTCACAAAGAACATCAAAGAACCCTCATTCATATCGTTCATTTTGTCAGGAGGTGAAACCTGAGCAGTTGGCCTTCCTGAAGTCGTCGTTGGCAGAGCATGGCTTTTCAAGTGTGGGAGTTGGACGAGGTTCCATCCCATGATGGCATCATGTATATATATTATATAATATTATATATTATATATATTTATACACAATGGGGGTAGATGCAAAGACAAGCCAGACATATCCTGACAATGATTGATTTGCCAGCTGAGACTTCTACTTTGGGATTTGTCTATTGGATTGATCCAGCAGGTGCTAATGGAGATGATGAAGCAAGTCCCATTTTCTACAAATCGGCTGAGCTCCTTGATCCCCGACGTGATGCAAAACAGTGGGGAATGAAAGTAACAGCAGTCGTTGCAAAACTTGTTGAGAAGCTACCAGCTGAAGACAGCTAAACATTTCATGATGGCCCGCAGATTGCACACGAATCTGAGGTTCCAATTGGTGAGAGAAGGGCAGAGATGGCTGTCGGCAAGCCCTGCTATACCTGGTTCGCGTTTGGAGGGAGCAGGCCTGAAGCTTGTTCTATCCCTGCTTCACCACATGGGGACCATTTCCCAAAGGCTGCATTTGAAATTGAAAGGACAAACAACACTGCAGGCTCTTTCAACTCAAAGCTTTAATTAGTATGATTCAGCAGTTCCATTCTGGTTTGCTACTTGTAGAGTTTGAATCACCAAATTGATCGCTTATTCACATGCGTTCACAGAGCATGCTTGCACAGGCTGTCCACGCGTCGTGACACAGGCACTTCTAAAATGTTGCCACAGTGGCAAGGCGCGAAGGCTGAAGACATTGTTCGAATGTGCTTGGACTTGGAGTATTCGTTGCAGTTGCTAAAGTTTGTTAAAGCTTGTTGAAACTCTTTAATGCAGTTGCCAAGCGTGCAAGATGCTGCAAGATGCTGCAAACCTCAGGAGATCTTCGTGTTTTGCACCCATTTGGATCACCGTGGAATGCTAGAAGCGGCACGGCCGTTCTCAGCTGGGCTGCAGATCCAGGCAGCACAAGGAGAGATCCTTTTGAAGGAAGTTGAGGCATTTTGTGATGCCGATGATGCGGATGCCGATGTTCCACGGCTGGTACTGGGAGATTTCAATTCATGGCCAGGTGCTGGGGCACATCCGGTGTTATTGCGACATGGGTACCATGAAGCATCACAGAGAGCATCAGCTCAGGCAACTTTTGTTGGCTTTGGTTCAGGTTCTTGGCTGGCACGTTTTCGGGAGTGGATGTACAAAGTGCAGATTGATTACATTTTTGGGACTAAAAACTTGGAATTGAAAGGATACAGCGTACATCACAATACCTACAAGGCACATGATGGGAGGTCTCGCAACTTGAGTGACCACTGTATGATCAGTGCTCAAGTCAGAATGACAAGAGCAGAAACTTGAAAGCGCAGATTACAAGGCGCAGTCGATGCAGCCATGATTAGCACAGCTTGGCCAGCGGCATTACGTTTGCGATTATGTTTGCAATGCCTTCGTGTACGTGGCTGTGACCATGCATGACTCCAACCTACTGATCTTTGGTCAATGTGGCTTATTATTGCCAGCATTTACCAGCCCTTGGTGATGACCCCAGCGCCACGCAGCTTCCCGGCCGAACGTGAACCTTTCCTGAAGATTCTGAAGATCCTGCAGCCGGAGGAAAAGACCGATGGGATGCCTGTCCAAATTGCTTCGATCAGTGATCCCCGGTGGATCCCTAGTGCCTTGTGAACGACACTCGTCAAATTCACATTCTCCGTGTTCAAAGGGCGACCAGTCAGAATGCATCATACCACGGAGAGTTACAGCAGAAGGTATGCCATGTCATGCGTGCAATAGTATTTGCAATAGTGTCAAATAGATCCCAAATGATTCCAAATGATTCCAACTGTTCATCAACAGGCCTCACCATGCGCTGAAAAAAACTAATAGAAAAGACTAACTACATAATCAAACATTTAAGATGTTTCATGACTCAGGTGGAGAATGTGCATTGGAAATTTATATATATATATATAAATAAATATAAATATATATATACACATCAATCTATGTTTCTCTTGGGCAAGGTTTCAAGGTGATCGCTCCCAAGTTACCCAGCTTTTGCCATGGAGCAGCCCTTGCGTTGGAAGAGCGGGATGCTCAATCCACCAGCAGGCGAGGGCCCCAAGCATTGTATAGAAGGTGGAGATCATCATATTAACAGACAGACTCCATCATCCGAATCATCCACGTATCACTGGTACATGGGTGTATCACCCATCATCCTCATCCTGCTGACCTGTTTTGCGCACTTAAACAGTTCAACACGACATTGGAGCCCTTTTGCTTGCTAGGCTCTGTGGTGGAGCTGCCCTTGCCAGTGGCTTGGCTATTGGCACATGAGTAGTGTGGGATCTATGAACGGGTATCAGATTGGTATAATGAAGCAGAAATGCACCCATATTCATATATTATATTTCAGTGGCGCGTTGCGATGTGCAATCAATTTGCTTGGAGTATCTTGGAGTGATGTTTTGATCACCACAGGTTCGTGCCCCAAAACTGAGACAGAAGTGTGTCCCGTGCCGACGTCGCAAGGACATTGAGATGCAAGAACTGGAGCTCTTGATGACCTACTATGGCTGTATACGACAAGCGCAGGAGGACGGGGATGTACACATTTTGAAAGATAAGGAACGGAGATGGAACGGAGATGGAACAGAGCTACACACAGCGCACCCCCAGTTGCTTGATGTTGCTTGCCTACGCAGAAGATAGGCTCCGTCCCAGGATCGTCGCAACGGGATCGATGATGGCATTGCAGTGGATGTCCCCGAGTGGGCGTCCAACCTATTGCTTAGCAGCCTGAAGCTGAGCCTTCCGCTAGCTTTCTGTAAAGCACAGCGTTGCAAGATGTTGCAAGACGGCGAATTCCCATGTCTTGCATACAGCATGTATTGTTTGTGATGTGTTCGTCCTGCTCAACATTTGAGTGTTTCAGGTGGTTTTGGTTGGACAGTGCCACGAATCCAAGCTCTGGTGACTTCTGCCTCTTGGCTGATGCTTCACTGCTGCACTTTCGCCCAGCGGTTCCGAGTTTGGTTGCTCAGGTTTGCGGCGAATTGGATCCCGAGCCAGACACGGAGGCCAAGCAAGTTTAATGTTCGAGAGAGATTGATTTCGTTTGCCATGTTGATCATGTTGACTAGTAGTGCTCAGGAGTTGCCAGACGACTCACCAGACGACTCACCAGACAACCCAAACTTCCAAGAGGATCTTCCACCGAGCCACGGTGAAATTGCTTGACACTGAGCCGTGTTGAGTCAAGACTTACGGAGGCTGAGTGCAAGATGTATCAAGATGTATCAAGATGATCAAGATAGATATGCTAAGGCAGTGGAGGCAGACTCAATGGAATTGCAAATGTCTCAAGACGAGCCAAGGCAAGGCACAATCAGACAAGCATTTCCATGAAGTGCTTCCATCATCTTCCATCCTTCCATCCTTCTGTCCTTATTGTTGCATCGTTGTCGCCGTCAGCCGCGTCAGCAGCATCATGATTCTTCACTCCAAGATGACAGGCCTTCCCTGGAGCAAAGACCTCCAGACCTTCAAGGCCTTCGAAAGGCCCTTTGCGCAGTCCATGCTGCGAGAGATTTCTGTGAGATGTCCACATATGTGATTGGTACGATTGGCTCCGAATCTTTGAAAGCCAGCTGATTGTCAACAGTTTCCAACATTTGATACAATCAATTGGGCACCAATGGGCCCACAAGATTGGTCACCATTCCAAAATGATCCAAAATGGTGGTCGTATGGAGCCATACCCATATTCCCCCAATCCTAAAAACTATGGAATCTATGGAGATTTGTAAGATAAATATGTGATATCGAGCCAAGCCCACCAGCTTCATGTCAGACACGTTGGGGCCGGTGCATGGCACCCTGGTGCCGAAACTTGGCTCTGCAGCCAGTGCTGGGCAGCCGAGGACATCCCAGCGGCGAATCAAGACAGTTGGAGTATGTTACTGGAACATACTGGAACTAGATGCTACATATTATGATTAAAGTACAATACATGTAATATACATTTAAATCATTTACACACGCAACTCGGCTTCAGGACCATTTCTGAGTTGCTCTGCCAAGAGCGGCTGCCGCTTCAAGAAGGACAACTTATCGAAGTCATGCTTGAAATGTGGACCATGCGGGGCTTCTATAGCTTTCACTACCGGTTCATCACATGACATGTTGCATTTGCCACATCGGATGGGACCCGGTGGGATGATTCTGTTCTGATAACGCCTGAAATGGGCTATGCCGCTATGCCTTACCAGCTGCCAGGAGTTGACAGTTGCGCAGTGGCGGACGTTACCGAAGAAGTGGCTGAATTTTTGGCCCGTCTCTTGGGTCACTTGGAGCCGCGGTTGGGCCAAGATGTTGAGATGTGCTGTGTTGGATCAGGGTTGCTTGCGTTGCTGCTTGGAAAGGTCCAGAGGGGTTCCACAGACTTCCGCACCATGAATCGCAGCGAGAAGCTGCAAGATGCATCTAGGGATCTAGGGTTTGTCGTTTGAAAGAGCGGACAATAAAGGGCTCAAACTGCTTGAATTCTATCAGGCATTATCAGGCTATTCTTGGAATAGCTTTCTCCCTGGCTTGGGACAGAAAATATGAGTGAAGAAAAGCCTCAGGCTGGAGTCAAGCCGTGGCTTCGACCCAAGAGGCGGCCGTCAGATGGTGGACGCCAAAGTTTGCGGGGATCATGTGACCCAAGTCAAGGAATACGGTACTCGTAGTATAATGTTACATAGTAACACCTAGTCTATATATAGTCCTCTATATATATATATATAGTCGTATATCAATGTATATCAGTACATGCTAGCATACAGGATACAAGTCGGATACAACATCCACAAGCAAGGCAGCATGGCATGAAAGCTGGATGGTTTTGGGCCGGAATTGAGGATTTCCCACTGGCCAGGCCCGTGTCATCTCTGGGCCCACCAAAGCCGCGCCGGATCTCACGTGCGGCACAGGCTTGGGAAGCTGCGCAGCGTCCTCAAGCTATGGCAGCTATGGGTGTTTGAGGCAGTTGAAGCAGCTGACAATTTCGACCCCTTCCTGTGGAGTGTTGTTCCTCAGGTCCGTGCTGAGATGAACTTTGGCCAGCTGATGATCTCATAGTTTTTTTGGCATTTGACTAAGGTGCTGAAGTCCAATGTTTCCCCAGTCCAAGACAATTTTTGTAATTTTAGAGCAGAAGGAGAGTAGAGGTGCTTAAACCTCTGACGTGTTTTATTGGAGTTCTTTGCCTCGCTATGTTGCTGGGGGGGCCGTTCAGAGCCCTTCCAATGGTGTGTGGCAGCGAAAATGCTGGCCTCCACGCTGCTACTTGCTGTGTGTAACACTGCAGCAGGTTGCCAATGAACCCGGGGAATAAATCCACTATAGCTTTTTGTCAATGACAGCCACAGTGAAGTTACTTGATATATCATGACATTTTCCGTGGCTCCAAGATTGTGCAGAGCCAGAAACAGAGGTTTGAAGTATGATCCCTGCTTCCAAACTGCCAATGACTAGCTTTGTACTTGGAAGAAGAGAAAGTGTTTTTGGATGCATTTTGGAGCCTTCGAATCTATGTTGCACGGAAATCTTTTACTGTAGTAGAGCCTAGAAAATTGGATTGTCTTCGTGCATGGCCACCTGTGCCTCTGACCATGTACATCGAACCTTTGGTCGGCAAAGACGACCTGCAAATGATCTTGTAGCTGATGTTTCTTGCAGCCTGCACAGGCTGCACCAACTGCTTGCTGTGTAGGCATAAAAAGATCATAAAAGCAGGTGCCCACGGCATCCTACAGCATCCCACAGCACCCCTGCATTAACTTCGGGTTGTGCACCCCAAAGTGATTGGCAGGTGTTTGACACGGTTACATAATCATAAGTGCTTAATGAGCAGTTCAGCCTGTCATTGCACAAACACTTTATGCTGCTGCAGGATGTCGAAATGTTGCATGGCGCCCCTGTGCCTGTCATGTCCCTGAAAGCTGCTTCAAATTTATAGGCTAGCCGGTAATTAGCCACATGTTGTGAGCACCTACAAGGTACAAGCAAGCATCAAGTTGGAGAGAATGTTTCATTCAGACCATTAGACGGCCGGAGTTCACCAAGCTTTAAAAGTGAAGAACACACGCAGCCTCCGACAACAAGACAAGTACCTTGTGACCTAGCAATAACGTAGTTTTTTTTACACACCCATATATTATATAATAATAAAAACAATAATAATAATAAAAACAATAATAATAATAACAATAATAATAATATAATACACATATATATATATATATATCACATATATACATATATACATGTTATATTATGTTGTTGTATGCAGCATATATCAACATGTACTATACACTTAGGCCGAGGCAGACCTTGTCTGAAGGCGAGAGAGATATATGCATAATGTATCACAACACACACAAGATCAACATACCAAAGGAAGACATCAGGTACTTGCTGTCCAATAACCAACCAATCCAGCCCAACCAGCACTTGAAACAGATATACCGCCCTGGTCAAGTTCCGCCCCAAGGGCTTGCTGGCCATGGCTGCAAGCGATGTGACGGTCGTCAGAGCAGACCTGCTTCTTTGACCTTCTTGGATGGTCCATTTGATAATGTTGGGGTTTAACGGTTATCCAAGACTTGGGTACCCAAAAATTCATCGAAACAAAACCCATCAAATCCCCGTCCAAAAAACTCTAAACATGATTACTGTCCTCTAATTCCATCTATGTCCCATATGAATAAGAATAATGGATGGTTATTTCGTGTTATTTTGGGGTGCACCCAATATTTGTGCAAACCGATAGCGACCGTGATGTCACCTGACCTAGCATCGTGCATGGTGACTTTCCTCAGATATGTTCAGAGAATTGCTGGAGAATTTCTCAAACCGGAGTTGCGTTGACATATCATTCATCCACAGATCCTCAACAGGAACAATATCACTCAGGATGAGGCTTCAGATTAAAGTCCCTTGTTGAATTTCCAAGCTGCGGAGTTGGATCAATTCCAACGAATCTTGAGGACGACGTTTGCTGTCCGTCCAAGGCTCCAACGGCTCAAACAGGGCGAAAGCTGTTTGGCTCTCAGCTGCTGGCAGATTTTAGATGATTTTAGTATCTTTAAATATCTTTAAGCCACAGCCAGTCACAGCTTTGGAAGCTGTTTTCCCGCAAGGTCGACTGGTACTTGGTCCATGCCCACCAGAGTTGCTGGCAGACAAGGAGAGTTTCACTAAGCTTCGCTGAGCTTCACGCACATGTTTCAGAGTACTGCTGGGCCGTGAGGATCTGATGCTGAAAGCTTTGGAATTCAATGCGTATGCCGTCGAGTCTTGGATGGGTATGCTTGAATTACCTAATACTCCTCTTTAACATTCTTTTCTTGAATGGCATATTGCATAGGAATGACGATTCAATGAACTCGAGCTGCTGGTACAACTTGCGGTTCCTTTTGGCCTTAGAACCCTGCAGCAGAACAATGGAACTGCAGAACCCTCATTACGGCCAAGGAGTATTTGGCAGCGCCCTTGCTTGAAGAGCGGGAAATTTGGATGACAGCCACAAAGCAGAGCCTTGGTTGAAATTTGGAATGTTTGAGGCCTATTAGTACAGTGCATGCTCAGAAAAGTGTTTGCTTTTGCGGCGTTGGCAATTTGCCACGTGCACTCCCTTGATCATGTTTGGTTTGGAAGCGAACTTCTCATACAAGTCAATAATACACGTCATACCCAAGATATTGGACCTACTCCAAGAAAATTGCCGAGCTTATCCCTGACAGTTTCGGAGCCTTTGATCTGTATGCCAAAGTTGGCACCGAGGAATTTCCATGCACTGCGGTCCTGCGTGCTTCTCAATGATTTGGGAATGTGGAGTTTGCTATTCCCTTGCATCCAGGTGCATGATGTGTGAGGGTGAGGATGCCTCATGCGCCAGACATGGGGTTTGGGGTCATCATTGTATACTTAGGTTCTGCGGATTTGCTTGGTGACAAGGTGCGGGGCACGGGGCAGTATGACAAGTCTTTTGCAGCAAAATACAGTTGCTCACTGGTCAAGGTCAGCACATGCTTCATGTCTTGCCAGAAAAAGGCCACCCAAAATCAACAAGTGTGGGAGCAAAAACATGAATAATTATATGAAATCATATGAAGGATCCTGAAGGCCTTGTCCTACTTCTGGTGGATGTTGAAGTTGAATTCTTAGCCATGGTTGTTGAGGTTTCAGTTCCTCACCTTAAACCCGACTCGCTCAGTCTTGCACCTCATCAGTTGCTTCAATCTTGGCGGTCCAAGGAGACAGCGCTGTCACTGATTGAAGCAGATGCCTTCGCTTTGCGATATTTGTCACCAGAGCTTCGCAGTGACCGAGAGGCCCTGAGCACATCTCCCAAGTAGCTGTCTGAAACTTCGGGATCCTAAATGATTCTGGGGCATCTGGGGTCATATTATAATACTTCAACATACTTGAATATACTTGAGATAATCTTTTGATATCTTGAGATTACTTGAGTATATTTTCAGCAGGTATAACACCTGCGCATGCCACATGTAGGGTATACAGCCACCGGGTGCCTTGCCCTGGCAGGTGGTCCTGCAGGCCTTGAAAGGTACCGGCTTGGCCCTGGAATTTGCCTCTGCTGAGCTTCGTTCTTTGCCTTGATCTTGAGATGCCTTGCGACAAGTGATGAACTCTGACGAACTCCCCTACTTTTGATGGAAATGAAACAATGAAGAAATAATGAACTTCAGATAGATTCAGATAGTAAGATAGTCAGTTTTGCCATCAACATCCGAGTCTCTGAGACGGATTGGAACCGGGCGTATAGTTGTGACTGCTTTTAAGCAACCTTACGCAGTTGCTGAATGCTTCCCATCCACGAAACGCCACGGCGCCGTGACGGAGTTGCCCTTTGGGTTGACGTCGTATGACCTGAGGTGCAGAAAGAGAAGTAGCAGCTTAGCAAAACCGAGAGCTGGAATGAGCTCTGGAATGAGCTGGGTACTTTTCAATGTTCAAACTTTTTCAAGCTCCTATTGAGGTCATTTATGTATATTTATGTAATATCAGTTCTTTTGTGGCCTTTGTCGTTGGGAGCCCATGCGTTTGTTGAAAAGTCTTCAGGTGGAGAAGGCTGTCCAAAAAGCAACTTGGCATCACTGTATTGCACATATTTGCAGAAAATGATGCTTTTGCCTCAGTTGCCTCAATGATTCATGTATATGTATATGTATATGTGGTATGATCTTATAGTAGTTACAAATACATGTATAATATAATATCTAATACTAGTATAATATAATTTAATGCTTCATAATATATTATAATATAATATTATGTTTTTGTTGTGCAATGGTGTTATTGTTGTTGCATTCAGGCCGATCCCCCCAGCGCAAACCGAGGATGGCTTGGCACTGGAGTTTGCTTCCCTGGAGCTGCAGAAGGATGAAGGCATTGCACTCGAGGCCGTCAAGAGCAACACAGCCAGGCACCCAGAGAAAATCCCAGGGGAATAAACAATTAGTCAAACAGCATCAAAGCAGCTGGGAGTGAAGATCAAAGTAGCTGGTTATATGCTGCTTACATGCTGATTGATGTTGATTGTACATGTTGTAGTGATTGGCCGAGGCTGTGATTCGGATACTACCCGAATCGCTTTCTCGAAGCATGAGTTTTCTGCTCCTTAGCTGTCAAGGGTTGAAAACAGCACCAGCTCGTTTGGTCCATTTGTATCCATTTGTTCCCATCGCAGATCCATTTCAGCAGCAATTTTGTGAGCACGAGAAAGAACCAGTGTTCTTGCAGTCCTGGAATTTTCAGAAACATTTTTTCAGGTACCTTCCAACTCAGGTTGCAGGCTGCAGTGGCTGGAGGAAGCAGCATTCTACGCTTCGTCGCTCCTGAGTTTGCTTCAGACAAGGTGACCCAATGACTGAGTCATAGCAACACTAACGCCATGACCCTGACACCATGAGGAGAATTGTACATAAAACTCCTGGCCAACAGGACATGTTTGTGCCCATGATCTTAGAATATCCTGCATGTTATTCATCTCTTTCGCTACTTCTACTGCAGTTTTCTCACCGCTAACGTCAACTCAGTTGCTGGTGTGCAGCCACGCTGGATATGGAGAATATGGACAAACATATTATATATACGTATTGAATAGAATTAAATAGTGGGTTGTCTATTTATACTTCAATTAAACTTTGCTTCCGAGCGGCCTTGCTTGCAGGTTTTTGTCATGCACGTCATCAAGTCAGACTGCTGCTCGTTTGCTCATAGCCAGCGGATACCAGTAGCATTCATCACGACAGTCATGATCATCGAATTGGTTGAAGTTGAATGGGAAATTTGCAGGAGACCCCAATATTTAGCATAATTTGGCAGTACAACATGTAAAAAAAAGGGTTTGCATTGATTTCCTCAAAGAAAAACATGAAGTCCACCGGAACGTCAGCCGAAACCAGCAAGGTACTGCCCTGAAACACTGCCCAAAGGAGTTGCAGGAAGATCCCAGCCTGCAGCTGGCAGCTGTGGAAGCAGGTGGTCCCCAGGGAAGCGCTGCACTGGAGCCATGGCAACAAGTTGAGCAGATCAGATTGATCTTCAAGCTTGTCAATCGTCACATTATATATCTATATATACACATATATACATATAGAGATATATAAAATTATATATATACACATATACACGTATATTTGTATAATGTTATACAATTAAACACCCACATCTCTAGCAACATTTTTGCGCTATACGCAACACTGCTTGTCCTCTACATCAAATATACCTCCCAAATAGTCAGTTCCACACACCCCGATTAAACACCCTCGTCTCTGAAACCCTCAATGTTGTGTTTTTTCCTCTAATAAAAAAATCAATTGAGCGCCTTTAGTTTAAAATCAAAAAATGCAGCCTTCAGCCTTTTGGTGAAAGAAAGGGTGATACTGAGGGAGGGTCTGGGTGCAAGATGTGTTGGGGAGGGTGTGCTGTGGCCTGTTGAACCATTGGCTTTGATCCTTTAAAGAACCCATAAATTCATGCAGATCCCCACGTAATCCCATTGGTTTTAAAGTGGAGCAATGTCAAGTACATGATTCATGGGCCACTCACTATTCAGGCGGTGTCATGCGGTGTCCATTTTTGATTTTTGTTCATGCATGGCATTTCACAGCGATATGTGGGACAAGCATATAGGCTGATCAGCATGAGCCGCTAGCTATAGCAGCTAGTTCAATTCTTGCCTGCGTCATCCTGCGTCATTGCCGGTGTGTCTTGCTGGCTTTGAGCACAAGGAACTGGCACCCCAAGCTCTGCGCACTGATCGTGCCTTTTTGCTGCGCTGTGCCAAGATCACACCCCAGGAGCGGCTGTGCCATTGACGTCTCCGAAAAACCATGGGTCTTCTTGAAAAACCATGCCAAACAGCAGGCTCCTTTTTTTCCATGCACACCTATATGCACATTGCCACGGCGTGACCGTTTGTCTCATGTTTAGATGAGGGAGCTTGAGGTGATCTAGAGATTTGCAGACTCCCAAGACGTAGTCTTAGTTCAAAAGAAATGTCACCTGGAACTGAAGCAAACTGCCACAGTCCTTTAGAATCAATCCTTTAGGGCTCTGTTAAAACGTAGATGTAGAACTCTGTGGGGTCCAGTGGTGATGGGCCAACTGCGAGGCCCTGCGACTGGCACCGGAGGAGCTGCAAAAAGATCGCAGCTTTGTCATGGAGGCATGAAAAAAATAGAACCATATAGAGATCACAGTGGCAATCCACATTACCGCTATTTCCCACCTGAAATTGGCGTAGTTTTCAAGTTTTCCTTCACACAAGTTCCAAATGGCCTCGTATGTTCGCTGATGGCACCAAGAAGAATGGGCTCATACTGTCGTCTGTCGCCTTCTCTAGCCGTCATGTGACAAAAGAGTAGCCGATGACAAAGCACCAATCATTTACCTTGTCCTGACATGTTCTCAGGCCTCGGAAATGTGCATCATAAGTCTCTCGTGTTTAGGGCTTTTAGTTGAGTTGCTGGTCCGTCATGCTGATTTTGTTTGTACATCGATGCTTGATGATGCTTGGAGAGGCAGTGCGTGCCAGAGGCGCCGCCCTTCAATTTGCACTGTTCGAGTTTCGCATGGACCATGATGTGGTTTTCGAAGCGGTGAAGCAGGACCTCCCCCTCTTCCATCCTCTTCCTACCATTTGGATCCATTTGGTGACTGCTTTAAGCCCTTTAAGCCTTCTGGCAGCGCTTCATTGAATTGTGCAGTCACCATGAGTGTAGAATCATTTGGATCGGATGGTGCGTGCGGAGAGTCAAACTTGTTCAGTGTGCCTTTTATTGATTCTTGCAGCGAATATCATGGACCTTGTTGTGCAGGACTTGGGTGCTCTAGCGCTCCTTTGCTTCTATGGATCAGTGGGGGGAGATCAAAGAGGGATGTAGAAGATACATATATATATATATATAGAATTATGATTCCCCACCTGCCAGGTGAGGGTTGTTAGATTTTATGTCAGTTGCCTCCTCCTGCCTCCTGCCTCGTCCTCCTCCTCCTCCTCCTCTCCTCCTCTCCTCCTCGTCCTCCTCGTCCTCCTTGTCATCCTTGTCGTCCTTGTCGTCCTCGTCGTCCTCGTCGTCCTCGTCGTCCTCGTCGTCCTCGTCCAACTGCGACCCGCGATCCACAGTGTTCTCTGCCGGACCTCAACCACGACCATCCACACCCAGTGTTCCCTGCCGGACCTCAACCACGACCATCCACGCCCAGTGTTCCCTGCCGGACCTCAACACGACCATCCCCGCCCAGTGTTCCCTGCCGGACCTCAACCGCGCCCAGTGTTCCCTGCCGGACCTCAACCGCGAGTATCCACGCCAAGTGTTCCCTGCCGGACCTCATGTAGGAAGATATGGGACAAAGAATGTGCAGAAGAAAGTTAGAAAGAATGTCAGAAAGAATGTCAGAAGATATGCCAGAAGATATGCCAGAAGATAGCCAGAAGATGCCAGAATATATGCCAGAAGATATGCCAGATAGAATGCCAGAAGATATGTCAGAATATATGCCAGAAGATATGCCAGATAGAATGCCAGATAGTATGCCAGAAGATTTGCCAGATAGAATGCCAGAAGATTTGCCAGATAGAATGCCAGAAAATATGCCAGAAGATATGCCAGATAGATATGCCAGAAGATATGCCAGAAGATAGAGATGCCAGATAGAATGCCAGAAGATATGTCAGAATATATGCCAGAAGATATGTCAGATAGAATGCCAGAAGATATGTCAGAATATATGCCAGAAGATATGCCAGATAGAATGCCAGAAGATATGTCAGATAGAGTGCCAGAAGATATGCCAGATAGAATGCCAGAAGATTTGCCAGATAGAATGCCAGAAGATATGCCAGAAGATATGCCAGATATGCCAGATGCCAAATAGAATGTCAGAAGATATGTCAGATAGAATGCCAGAAGATTTGCCAGTAAGAAAATGTATAAATGTCATGGTGGGGATCACTCGAAGTAAAGTAATTTATGTAGAATAGAAGGAACTGCAAACAATCTATCTTTGGGCAGCTGGCAGTAGAGAAACTGCAACTGATACGTTTCAGCTTTGCCACAAATCTTTTGGAGTCACAGCTAAGGTTTGCAGATACAAGTTTGAGTCACCTGACAGCACTTCAAGCTTTTACCATCTCTAGCAGCATTGAGAACAATGGCGATGCAAAGGCATCCGAAATCAAAAAGAGACACCGCCCCCCTTCAATGAAATTGATGCTAATTTATGATATTTATGTGGGTCCAAGCTGCCAGATAAGGCTTCCAAGATGCTTCCAAGATGCTTCCAAGATGCTTCCAAGATGCTTCCAAGCTATTCCAAGCCTCAGGACATAATGCGAAGTTCAAGGAAGAGATTGCCTATTTGCAGAAGGGCATCCAGGTTTCGATCGAGGTTTCTGGCGAGTGACCCCGTTCCTTGCCTGTACCAATGAGATCCTACGAGCTTCAAAGGATTGAGGCACCACTGGGTACTACACTGATACGAGCTGGTATGAGCTGGTAGAATTCAGATGAATTCAGAAACCTTAGCCTTAGATTACTTGGACTTTCACCTGGAGATCATGATGGACCATGATGGACCTTGCATCAAGTGGGATAGTCGCGCCTTGATGATCTTCTGCAGCACGACGTCTCCAAGGATTTCCGAAAGTGTACTTTGCATAAAACTACTGCATTCAATGTATTGATTCAATAGCATTGAGATACACTTTTACATTCGTATGCACAGTGCAGACCCATAGTTATATACAGTGGTATTATAATCATTATATAATTGTACATACATATATATATAATATGTGTGTGTGAACTATATACGTCCACGTAGACAAAATGTTGGCAATGTTTTGGCAGCTTGCAAAATTATATAGACAATGTGAAACTTTCAATGTCTGAACTTTGTCACTCCAGGTGTCACAATGGTTCCAGCCTCTCCGACGCGAGTCTCACACCAGATTCCAAGCCAAACGCTTGTCCGGCAGTGTTTTTTCGCGGAAAAAAAGGTTCCGTTTTGCCACTTCCGCACAGTGCTCTTGAAGAGTTCACAGCAGAAAACATGTGTTGGTGCGTTGGCGCTGGCAGTTTCGGCCAACGATTGAACTACTGAGGATTGGGGATTTTGCTGACAGGCGTGAACATGATTTGAGGAATTCAGGAATAACAAAGAATAGCAACATCATCATCATCATCATCATCGTCATCATCATCATCGTCCTCGTTGTCTCCCCATCCTTGGCCAAAGGATCTGCACAGAGAACAACAACATCCAACAACTTACGGCCTCGCGGCGAAGCCGTTCCTCGCCATGGTATCCACGGTGGCGAATCGTCCCCGGGCATCAGTTGTTCAGAGAGGACAGGCGGCCGTGCGCAATGCGGCTCCATCGACATGCGATGAACCGAAACCATCACCAGTGGCACAAGGATCGAGCGAGGAGCCAAGCATAGCCAAGCGGTGGGGAGGATATGGGAGGATCAACCGAGGGAAACCCCAGCGGACGAATTCGAAAGCTGGAGAGGGAAATTGGCAAAAGATGGTAAATGGTAAGAGAATACCCGTTGAAATTTTTGTTACTAAATCTGAGGCCTCAGGGCCGTTACAGAATGGTTTTTGGCTACCATTTTGTGCAAAATTTTGACCCTGGGTTCTGCCATCTTGTAAGTGGACCCCCCCCCGGTACCGGAATTTTGCATTGGAAGTGCGAGTTTGTTACCCTCCAGTCCCGACCATTCTGTCGGAGTCTGGAGGGCTAATCAATAACCACTACAAATTGGATGGATTCAAAGCGTAAATGGATAATACTCAACTATAGCCCCTACAAACTGGATGGAATCAAAAAATCGCAGAATAATTTCATAGCCTTGGGAGAGGCCTTGAAAAGTCTGATGCGTCTGAGTGGTCATGAATGCTCCAGATGAGTCACATCTATTTAAATATATATATATATATATACATATATATATGATATATATATATATCTTATTTTATATCTATATATTATTATATATATATATATCGATATTTATATGTTTTGATTATGACATCCAACGTTGTATTTAATGTTTAGCTTGGCCACTCAGACAGCGTCACGCCAAAACAGACGGATGAACGCAAAAGAACGGAAAAAATGAACCGCGACTCGGGTTGGCCGGGCTGTTGCAGGTTACTTCCCAGGGATCCTAAGATAGTGCGAGTATAGCCACCCCCAGTCCCCACCATTCTGTAAAGGGCAAATCGAGCCAACGGATGCGAGCGGATGCGAGTCGAGCAAAATCGGTGACTCATTTTGTAACTAGGGGTCAGATAATATATATATATATATATATACATATATATATACATATATATATATATACATATATATATATACATATATATATAGATACATATATATATATATACATATATATATATATATACATATATATATATATATATCGATATATTTATATTTTTTGATTATGACATCCAACGTTGTATTTAATGTTTAGCTTGGCCACTCAGACAGCGTCACGCCAAAACAGACGGATGAACGCAAAAGAACGGAAAAAATGAACCGCGACTCGGGTTGGCCGGGCTGTTGCAGGTTACTTCCCAGGGATCCTAGGATAGTGCGAGTATAGCCACCCCCAGTCCCCACCATTCTGTAAAGGGCAAATCGAGCCAACGGATGCGAGCGGATGCGAGTCGAGCAAAATCGGTGACTCATTTTGTAACTAGGGTTCAGCTTGGACTGCCATTTTGTAACAAAAACCTTCCTCGGTGAACGTTGGGTTCTGCCAACTTGTAAGAAGGGCACCTTGGGGACGCCGTTCTGTAGCTACAAAATGGGGCTCCCAACCCCTCGGGTCCAATCTGAACGGGGATGTAAGAGAAATGGTAAGAAAAATCCTCCCCTTCACTGGAATTCTAGAGTTAGCATGGCCATTGGCCGATCATGAGAACTAACGACCGCTGGGAGCAGCCCGACAGCAGGAGCACGGCCACTTGGCGGGCCGCTATCCCACCTCACTCGTCTTGGCCATGGTCATGATGGATTTGCTGCCAGGCATTGTCGAGTTCAGAACAAGCCCAGCACTTAGAAGCTGCACTGAGAAAATCGATTTATAGACGTGTTTACTGTTCCATGCGGAAAGCCAGCTTACTCAGTATTGGATAGTATTTGTCATGAGGCACGGGCGCTTCGGACTTTCTTGACTTCCGTACGCGCGTTCCAGTGCTGAGATTTCAGAACGGACATTGTGCAACTATGAATGATACAATGTGTGAAACCGCTGCTGTTTGAATATATTAATTGTTGTGCGGCAGACTTGAAACAAAACGCCAAGACCCTAGGATGTCCTGAGTCATGCGTCAAGAATTCAAAGGACAAGATGCCATGACATCATTTCAATTCACACATTCGCATTTTCGATCATTTTCGCATACATTTGCACGCTGTGTTTCTCTCTTTGCTTGTTTTGAGGTTGGATGGCTGCTCATCAGTAGGCTCAGGACAAGTGGTTCCGTGGCTGCATCGCAGCAAATGCGCATGCCAAAAAGTTCACCTCTTGGATTACTGGTGATTACTGTACTAGTACGTGGAATCGGATTGGATGAAAGCATTCATTGATTTCACTATAGCTTTCATGCCAGTGCTTGCGCCTGGCTATTATGCTGTTGCTGTTCCTTTTCAGCTGAGTAACTGTCTGAAACAAATGTAAAATAAGGATCGCTGAAATGGTATGAATGATATCATGGACAAATATCAATCCATTTTTTGCTTGCTTCGGCTGATTCAAACAGCCCGTGTAGATCCGTGTACGGTAGGCCTCATTTTGTCAGACAGATCCTTTCCTTGTAGATGTTGCATCATGTGTTGCAGCTGCAACACCCTCGCATGGATGACATTGAAGCATGATTGCTCTACGATTCCCTCCAGTCAAATTTGAAAAAATATGCGGTCTAGCTTAGCTCACAGACTCACTTTTTCAGCTAACTGGCTTGGCTTCAGTTAAGGCATTGCCTTCAACGTTGCGTGTCTGCTGCTGTCCCTGCTGGGCTCTCCTGCCAGGCAATAGTTTTGAAGTCACGTGTGTAAACACATTTGAAGGCTTTAATGCTTCAGTTTTGAGACCAGTGATGTCCCCTTTCCGTTCTTGCGGCTTTGCAGCAAGTGATGTCAGGCTGGTATGTCCGCTGCTTCAGCGCTTTCCAAAGTGTTTCCTCTTCGTGGGATTTTTGCTTCGGCTCTTGGAAGAGTGCGTGAGTCCAAGGCTGGGCGTAGACTAATTGTATCTAATTGTCCCATCGGCCCCGTTGTGACTTTGAGGCCAATTTCTACAAAACACCGCGGTACTGGTACAGGTGGTTTTCTCCGAAATGATCATCAGATCCACTGGTGACCTTCTATGTCCTTTATGGAATGATAATTGAAGGAAGTTTAGAAGTCAAACTTCCGACAATATGGACAGATGAAAAGCAGAGAACAGAAGAGGCAGAGAGAAGAGAAAGATTAGAAGAAAGAAGAGTAGAAGAGAAAGAGTCAGAAGAAAGCAGATGCAGATGCGCGAAAAGGTAGGAAAGTCGCGATTCACTGTGTTTTTCCAATGATTTGTGGCTCCGGAGGGTCGAAAAGTAGGCTCGCTAAAGCGGCGGGCGCGGAGCAAGCTGGCCAGATGAGAGATGAAAAATTGCACGCCGTTGTGGCGCAAAGCACACTTCGAAGTCAAAATGCACAAAACACACCAGGTCCGGACCACTTTTGGCAGTTGCGATGTCGAAAAAGTGCACGCCGTTGTGGCGCGAAGCACATTTCGAAGTCAAAATGTTAAAAACACCAGGGGTTCGGCCACTTTTGGAGGTTCAGATGTCGAAAAAGTGCATGCCGTTGTGGCGCGAAGCACATTTCGAAGTCAAAATGTTCAGAACACTAGGGGTTCTGACCACTTTTGGAAGTTCAGATGTCGCTTCACTACACTACATTACACTACACTACAGTCCACTACACTACACTACACTCCGCCACACTCCACTACACCACACTACATTACACTACACTACATTACACTGAATGACACTGCACCACAGATAGACAGGTAGACAGATAGATAGATAGATAGATTAATTAGATAGATAGATTAAATAGATAGATAGATTAAATAGATAGATAAATTAAATAGAGAGATAGATTAAATAGAGAGATAGATTAATTAGATCCATAGATTAATTAGATAGATAGATAGATAGATAGATAGACAGACAGATAGATGGCTAGACAGATAGATAGATGGATAGATAGATTAGATAAGTTTAGTTTAGATTAGATTAGATTCAAAGGGATGTTTGCAAATCCCCGTACCTTCTCAATGATATGTGCCCATCTCAACTGTTCTTTGAGACAGGGCCATTCATCGTTTGTCGTTCGTTGCGTATCGCGCATCGCGAACTGCGCAAATTTTGACTTTGGAAGTCTTGGTGGCAGCATGAACTGTCCCAGCAGGATTCCCACATATTGATGTGGCTTTCTCAACTGCAAAGGATTTTCGAAAGTTCGAGTTACATCTCAGTTTTTATTTTTTGTTCTTATTTTTTGGCCGATCACGGAGATGGATACATACCCCGCAGAAGAGCACTTGACGCCGAACATTGTAAATACCACGAAAACAGCCTATGTGCCCGTCTCAATGGTATGTACCCATCTCAAGGGTTGATGCGTTTTTTCTCATTTTTTTTCAAAAGAAAAATAGTTGAGAGCGTTTTGAAAGTCCGTACAATTGAGCTAGTCCGCAAAGCTGAGCCAACCCGTTAGGACACGACTTCTTCGGATTTTCCATCCGTCGCGCGTCGCGTTTCCGGCATTTGTTTATTATCTATAAGATAGATTCTGTGATTCAAACATGTTCAGGCGAGCCCGTGAGATGGACACTTGTAACGAGATAGTCCGCAAACGAGCAAGAACCCTCATCCAGCCCTTTGATAGATTAGATTAGATTCGATTAGATTAGATAGATAGATAGCTAAAAATACAAACATAGTACGCGACATGACGCAACACTAATTACACCACTATACATTATTTACATTTAATTTCACCACACTACACGAATCATTGATGAACTTGCTGCTTGTTGTGATGGCCGTTGATCAAGCCAGGCTCTACAACAATAGAACCATAGGTGCCAGATGAACCATGTCTTCTTGGTTTCTGTTGCAATGTAGGAATCACCCAGCGCCACACGAGCAATCTGCACTTCCATTTGCCATAGAAAGCGCTCTCGCAAGTTCGATGGCCGAAGGCCTCCCGAACAATAGAATTGGCGTTGTCCCAAGCTGTGCCGTGTAAGAGGATCTTCTCATTAACATCAAGAGCCAAGAGCTCGCCACAGTCGAAGGTCTGTTGAGTGTGGGCCCCGACTTCACTTCTGCCATCTAGTTATTATTGTTTTACCACATAAATAAACAATCGAAGGAACTTTAGAAGTCAAATTTCACCAAATATGGACAGATGAAAAGCAAAGCAGGGCAGAGGCAGAGAGGAGAGCAGAGTAGAAGCGAAAGAGTCAGCAGAAAGAAGATGCAGATGCGCGAAAAGGTAGGCTCGCTAAAGCGGCGGGCGCAGAGCCAGCTGGGAAGATGAGATAGATAGATAGATAAGATAAGATAAGATAAGATAAGATAGATAGATAGATATTCCTGGTGGTGAGAGGGATGGCGCTGATAGCAGACGGAGCTACGAATGAACCGTCGGGCAATGTCCCGGCGGGACCGGCTTGGCGCACGACACTGCTCACGAAGGTCGAAATTTACGAAGGGCACCTGAACGCAATGATCAACTCTTTGGACTGGTCGAATGGTGCTGACTTGGTATTCGGCGATCTGGCGAGCGGGTGTGTGCTTGATGATGGCATGGCTCGCACGACCATAAGAGGGACAGCCGGGTGGAAATGTTCCACCCACAATCAGCAAGGGTCCCGGTTTGGGATCTCAGGTGTGTGATCCCCGTGTCCTGGGGGAATAATGAGCGTTGGTCAGATGACGGCGTTGTGAATTTTCAGTGCAACAGTTTCCCGCTGATTCCGTTGAATTCGGCATTGAAGTACTGGGAACGCACAAGCGAGGATTTGGACTGGCGCAGGATAGTCCCTGATTTGGGAGGACCCGTAGAAGGGTGGAGTGCAACCAGCGGGCAAAGCCTCATTCGACGGATCCTCCCAAGGACAGAGCCAAAGGTGTATTCGCTACGCCTATGGCAAAAGCTATGGCTTCAGTGGTTCACATGCATGGCTGAAGAGTCTATCGCTGATCAGGATCAAGGACTTGCAGGCCCTACCTGGGCCGCCACTCGCAACTTCAACAACACCGTGACGATTTACAACCGAGCAGTGCAGAATGTCGCCGCTCCTCCTGGACCAGTTTGTCCGGCACAACCGGCGGACACTTTGGGCCTTGATGCGCGCTTGGTTGCTTATTTGTATCTTGGTATGCCAGTGCCTGGTGGAAATATTGTTCTGCCGCCTGGCTGGCCGGACGCACAGAATCGCACGGTGATTGACAACGATGTGACAGTCACGATCACAGACATAGACTACAGATTATCACTGGATCAGATCCAAGTGTTGGGCGGTGTGATTGGCAGCACACTCCCACAGAGGCGACCAACGACTGCAAACTATAATCGAGGTGCAAATTGGTACGTTGTGCCAGGGCTATGGAGGATCAGGCCATTCACAGGAATGATTCTGCTTGGAAGAGACGGACCAGCACTTCAGCCGGCAGCATTCATGCAACAGGTGACAAGTGATATGATGCTGCACCTGATCGATGTTCTTGAGAAGATCCGCCCTGATGCAATTGTGTCGAAGTATGGATCATTGACTGTGATTGACAAAGTGTTTGCAGCAGATATCCACTGCAGGAACTTGCCAGCTGGGAATGGTTTTGGATTCTTGCGTGGAGCTTGAGGAGATTTTCATCTGCACTGTATTCAGATGTCCCTTTGGCGTTCAATGGCATGTTCGAGACAGTATCACCAGCAGAAGGATCGATGACATCGAAAGTGAATCAGCTGGGCGCAGGCAATGTGTTCAGTGCGTTTGCTGGACAAGCGGCTGCGGCCGCGTTATCGATCACATCTGCTCGCGTGAAATTTGGAACCACTCAATTGTGTGATCCAGCAAATCAGTCTCAAATCCTTGCAGCCATGAGGCCTTTCTGGACGTCTCGTGAATTTGGAGAAGAAGCATCTCTTCCGAGGGTTGATGGATACAGGAGAGCATGGCTGACAGCAGCAGGAGCTATGGCAGCAGATGAGCTGGCAATGAAATTCAGAGGAATGGCATGTGCAGTACGCACACATGAAGTTGGGTGGCTACAGATCTTCAGGAACAACAATGCTGCACCTGACATCTTGTTTGCCGATTTGTACAATGCGGCTGATCAACGTGGAGCAACAAGTATCGGATGTTTGCAGAATGTGCAGGAAAAGGACAAAAAAATCTTCAAGAAGGTCTGGAACGTACCAGCAAACACCGCAGAAGTCCAGACATTTTCATCCACGACGAAGGTTGTGACAATGCCCATCAAGGCTATCTCTTGGAGATTTGGATGGGACAACGATCCTGAAGTTCTGATGTACTTAGGATGCGTGCAGCACGCGTTGTGGGACGCTCTGCACAGAACAGATGGTGCCGCCACTGATGATGCGGAGGTGGCAAGTGATGGCGCGGGCGCTGGTGATGCTGCTGCTGATGGAGCGGCAAGCGCTGGCGCTGCAGCTGGTGATTAGCGGCTGCGGCCGCTGTGGTGCGTCGATTTGGCGGCGCTATCACACTCCAAAGAGTTCTTCGACGAAGGTTGTGACCGGAGAGCCTTTGGTGATCTACCAGCCTGACAAGGTTGAGAGAATGGCGGATTCAGGGATGCTGACGATACTTCCAAACATGGATGACAGCTTTGCGAAATCAATGAAGAACTTGATAGCATTCAATGCCATATTGATGGGAGCAGTATCTCAGAATCCTCCGAATCCAGTCTTGCCTGCTGTCTATCCGAACCAGTTGTCAGTCTTGGTGTTGAGGGCCTTTTCATTTGCAAACGACAGGCCGGTTGGAGCGGTACCTCCACCAGCTGGATTTGAACCAGTGCAGCCAGTCTACAATGGGGATGGCTCAATGCTTCCTTTCTCGATGCCGGTGTACTCGGCGTTGGTGGGTGGGAAGATCGGCTTCGAGCTCATGTACAACCAGCAGTTAACATGCAAGAGTGGTCAGAGACA